CAAATGCGAGTGATCGAGGGAGCGAGGGAGGGTGCACCGGTACCGGCGCTGTTGTTAATATAATCTGGTGCTAGCTGCTATAACGGATATAAGAAGAAGATGTTTCTACAATAATGTGGAGGGAGAGTCCTCTCCAGTCAGACTGAGAGGCTGATAGGCTACTACAGCTCAGTGAGGTAAAGGACTCTGAGTGTTTAGATAGTTCACTTTAGTCTAAGTTCAAACGGTTTGGTCACAATTTATGTAAACACACCAAGGCACTCCTTTATAATTATTGGGATAAACATGTTTGAAATCATTCCAATGTATACTATAGGTTAGTAACCAAAAATATCCTTTAAAACTGGAGAGATACAAACAAATGCATAAATAAATAAATGTTAAGGTAAAATAAGATATGAATGAACAACATAAATAAAATAAGTTACACTAATTTATTATTGGCTATGGTAGGTTATTGGTTATGTTCACATACTTATTTGATTACATCCACTTTTCTAAGATGACAACAGAGACTTTCGACCCAAAACCAGCAGCTAATCGCAGACAGCTACCATGTCTGACAGAGAGGAAGACAGTGAGGAGAACAGTCAGGAGGGAAGTGATGACAGCTTGTAGGATTACTGGTCATGCTAATGTTGTCTTGTGTTCACCTCTGCATGTGTGTTCTGTGTTCACCTCTGCATGTGTGTTCAGTGCTGTGTGTCTGGCAAATAAAGTCAAGACCCCTCAAAAGTTACGGTTTATTTCATTTTAAGGATGAGCACCAAGCAACATCTCCAGGTGCTCCTTTGAGAACCAGGGCAAAAAAGTTGTGTGCACCCCTGCTTATAGGACTTATGTTAACATAAGATTGGTAAATTTACCAAAGATCAAAATTCAACAAAAAACTATGCAGACTGAGAGTGACTGATTCACTACTATGATGAAGAGCTTATCACAACATTTGAGGCACATGAGGATGAAATGTTGTGATAAGCTCTTCATGGGTGTGATCTTACTGGTGAAAATGACCACAATGGCTGACACCCAAAATGTCTATTAGACCCCTCCTTAACAGCAAACACCCAATGAACTATATTACATGATATTTTTTCGAGTAGGATCAGTTGGTTCAGCCATCCCGGTCAGGAGCAGGATGAGGATCATGAGAGCAGCCGAGATGCTACTCGAATTGGTGATACCATGGCTCACTCTTTGCCTTTTACCACCTGCCGCCAGCACCGGTATGTCATCTCAACTCACACAGAGAGAGCAGCGTATATCAAATCTAACCTTAATGCCTTGTGCTTTATTTAAAGTAAAAAGGACCCTATCCTGGGAAGAATTGGGTTTGGGGTAACAGCTGTTGGAGCATATTGTATAATTTAATAACAGCATATTAATACATCAGCATTAAACATCACCAGCTGATTACCTGCATTAATAAGTCTATCTTTATATATTTAGTGTTACTCTTTATCCTTTAGTTTAAAATGTTTTTTTATTCAATAGTTGATATGGTGTTAAAATGTGTAAATGAGGGATTTTTTTATACTTAAAAAGAACTGCAGATGCAAATGAACAAAGAGTAGTGAAATTAACAACTAGATGTGTTTTTTTAGATGTTTTCTTTCTGTTATTCTGAAAAAGTGTTTTTTCATGTGCATACTGTATAATACAAATATCAACAGCATCTTTTTCTGACAATATTGATCATGTGTCTTTTTTTTCAGTCATAGTTCAGACCATGCACCAAATGCCAGTAATTACAGGTGATTTGTCTTTTTTGTTTGAAGATGCGAGATAACAAAACAAACATCATTTTCAGTTTCCACTAAAATGTTATTTGTCTCCATAAACTAGAATTGAGACCAGCTCACAATGAAAAGATCTGCAGTACATGGGGCAACCATCATTTCAAGACGTTCGATGGAGATTTCTTCCAGCTTCCCTCACCTTGCAACTACATCCTTGCGTCCCAGTGTAAGGGAACCTACGAAAATTTTAACATTCAGTTCCAACGGCAGGAGATAAATGGGGTCCCCATCATAAAGAGGGTCACCATGAGACTGGACGGGGCTGATGTGGAATTAGACAAGACTTCCATCAAAGTCAATAATGAACAGTGAGTCTGTTGTCAAAACTACTTTCCAATACCAGCTGATATACGGGTTGCAGTGATGGTTGATGTCATCTAACTGTGATGATTTATTTTTGTCCCCCTTTAGTTTCACTTTACCATTCAGCCGGTATGGCATTACAGCCGAAAGGACTGTCTCCTATGTCAAAATCGAGGCAAAGTTGGGCGTGGTCATCATGTGGAATGAAGAAGACGCACTCTGGGTAAGTGCATTTATCATGTGCTTTCTATTGCACAAATTATAACTCATATTGCTTTTGAAAGATATTTTGATAACTAAGGAAAATAATCAAATGAAAGCATTCACTTTTTAGAATTGATTCAATAGACATAAAGAATGAATCCGTAGCAAGTCAAAGGAAGTTATTTCTGAAAATGTGCATAATGATAAAATAAAAATAATTTTAATCTGTTTTCTAGGTTGAGCTGGATGCTAAATTCAAGAACCAGACCTGTGGCCTGTGCGGTGACTACAACGGAGTCCAGGTTTATGATGAGTTCTTTAAAGAAGGTAAATACTAAATAGTAAAGCGCAAACCAATCTGCACAAAATCTTTACATTTGCTCATATAAAACCTCTTGTTCCGGCAGGGAAGACTGTAAGCCTTGATTATTTTGAGGAGACCTGGAAAGTCAATGGTCCTACCGAAGACTGTGAAAAAAGCTCCCCTCAAGACAAACAGACCTGTGAAAATCAAGTATGTCAATTTGCTTAAAAGAATTCTCAAACAACTCAAATGACCTTTCACTTATATCATCTACTGTCTTTTTAATGTGTATTTACCTTTGTTTAAATATGTTGCACTTCTTCTTCTTCTTCTTTTTCTTCTTCCTCTTCTTTTTCCTGTTATTATCATTAATATTATTATTATTAAATGAAATGTAGGTACAATTTAAATACAACATATACTTTGACCCCCAGATCGACCTCTGCTCAAACTTGCTGTCAGGCCCTGCCTTCCTCAGCTGTAATAACCTGATTGATAAGGACTCTTTCATCGGAGCGTGTGTGAAGGACATTTGCAGCTGTAACAGCAGTACCACATGCTTGTGTTCGACCATATCAGAGTACTCCCGTCAGTGCGCTCATGCAGGCGGGAAACCACACAAATGGAAGACTGCACAAATGTGTGGTAAGAACAGCAATCAGAACATTTAGATCATCTTTTGTATGTCATTATTTTAAAATCACTGTTTCTAAATGACGTTTTTTTTAATAGCAAAAACCTGCCCTTTTAACATGGAGTATCAAGAATGTGGTAGTCCTTGTACTGACACCTGCAGCAACCCCCAGAGAAGCGAAGTATGTGAGGATCACTGCCTAGACGGATGCTTCTGTCCATCTGGTAAGTTTTCTTTCCACAAACTTAGGGGGGAAAACTGAAATGTTAAAGGGTTTACTCATTTTACACAAGTGATTTTTTCATTATTTGTACATACCTTTCTTTGGCTCTTGACTTTTGCTATTTGTGTGCATAATTAATAATTCATGCTGTTAAATTGCAGTCAATAAGTTAGTTGTCTACAAATACTGAATTAATGTTGTTAATGAAGTGAAGTTTACATTTCTCAGCTCCCAGTTGAGATACTACATTGGACATAGCTTAAATTACGTGTCATATACAACTGTGTAGTATAATATAGTGCAAAGGTATAATCCGGTTTAATGTCTGATGTTTGTGGTTGGTCAATTTTCAACTCTTGTCCCTAGTTTGGCTTTACATGTGCATTGCCATTAAAATAAATGGTGAAAGTTGTCAGGCCATGGACAAAGACATCTAAATTAGGTGGATTCAACGCAGTTTGTGTTGATTCCAAATATTTGTAAACTTGTATTGCTTTTTAATCGTTTTTAGTTGTTTTTTTACCATGAAATATGCCTTCATTTGGGTTTGCCTGAGTATACAGTTGTTACATCAGAGAGTGTATTAAGAAAATATCCATTGTAAAAAACAAAAAAATTAGTTACTGTTTAAATGAAATATTGTGTACAAATTCTAAATGGGGTTTGCAGTTTACTTCACAGACCTGACTATTATGTTTTTCTTAAGGGACTGTCTTTGATGACATAACACAAAGTGGGTGTGTTGCTTTTGACAAATGCTCCTGCACACACGATGGCAAGTCATACAAACCAGGAGAATCATACTCAAGGGCATGTCAAAAATGGTAATGGTTGACTTGAATATCATTTTCAAATTCAAATTTGTATTCAAGCTGATTTGTTTGATCTAGTGAACTCTGTTTGCAGCACCTGTACCCAGGGTCAGTGGAAATGTATGGATATGGACTGTCCAGGTATCTGCTCCATACTGGGGGGCTACCACATCTCCACCTATGATGATAAAATATATAATTTCCATGGAGACTGCTCTTATGTCCTCTCCAAGGTGAGGCATTCATATTTAAATGTTATCATCCTTTAAAAAAGATCGCAATCTTTGTAAATAAGCAAACCAATTGTAACCATGTGCATTTGTATCTTCTTGACTTCAGGAAGCTAATGGGACTTTCAGTGTCCATGGTGACCTTGCCAAATGTGAAATATCAAAAAAATCAACTTGCCTGGGAGCAGTCACCCTAAACCTGCCTCAAAACATGGTACAGTGTGTTATGGTTTTCTCTTAATAAAGAAAAACTATGTTTATGATCTTCTCCATTTCTTATCTGTTGAAAAAGTTTATATTTACCCAGAAGTTTTTGAAATATTGTATTTGTTTCCCACTGCAGAAGATTGTAGTGCAAGCTAACGGACATGTTATATATAACACAATGAGAACTCCGTTGCCTCTTTTCATGGGTGAGCTATTATTTTCTAATAAGTCATGCACGGGAAAAAATGAAATGTTGACTTTAATAAATGCATTATGACAACAAATGTAACAAAACTATTAGGTTACTTGAAAGCATTCATTTTAAGTTTAAATTGGTACAACTTAAAGGTCACATATCATACTATTTTTAGGCTATAGCATAGGTCTCAGATATATACAAATATATAAACTATGTTTTGAAGTGTTTTGCTCAAAATACTAAACAGATCACCCATTCTAGCCATGCGTCATATCCCTCTATTTCACTTCCTGTTACTAAAGTGCTGATTCTGGTTATAAAGCTTTAAAAAAATAAATAAAATAAAATAAATAAAGAGGGGGCGGAGCTTATGCCTGCTCATGCGGGAGATTTCTACCGGCACATACTGCCATGATGAAACGTCCAAACCACATCAAGGATTATTTCTGAAACAGTATCAAATGCTTTTTCTCTTGCCGGTTTACCACAAGGTGAGTTCCTTTTTATTTCCTGCTTCTTCACACATACTCTCTCCAGTACAGATTAGCTCTGAGTGTTAGCGATGCTTGCTAATGTAAACAAAGACCATATTACGTCGAAAACAGTCGGGCATTGTTTCTGATAGCAACGTTTCTGATAGGGCCGTGGGTCCGCATTGCCGATATTACATCATATTGGACGCAAATCTGGATCCGCTCCGTTGTTACCCCGTTTTTAGAGATTTGGGTACAGAGGAAAAGAGAGAAGGTGTTATTTTTCTGACGCTGTGTGAGTTCCGTGACACACCGGGGACACATACATGTATTTATGTATAAAATACATAAAAAAGTGCATGTTGCATGATAAGTCCCCTTTAATATAATTGCTTTCACCTAACCTAATACAGTTTTGTTAAATGTGTTGACATAATACATTTAATTAAACTCAACTTTTCAGTTTTTTCAGTGTTACATAAGTTTGCTCAAATAAACTAAACAGTCTCTTTATTCATAATGAAAAACGTGTGTTTCCCCCGCAGATGACATAACAGTCTTCAGCCCATCGACATTCTTCATTGTAATCCACACCAAATACGGGCTTGATCTTGAGATTCAGCTAAAACCCATTATGCAGGTCTACATCAAAGCCAGTGTTCGAAATAAAGGAAAACTCATGGGTTTGTTATACTTCTTATAGTAATAGTGTAAAAACATCCACATTTTGCAATGAATGTTTTATTAAGTGTTAAGGAATCATATCTTGTCCAGGTCTTTGTGGAGATTTTAATGATGTGGAAGCTGATGACTTCAGAACCACAAATGGATTGATTGAGGGAACAGCGTGGGCATTTGTGAACACATGGAAGACTAAGCCAAGTTGCCCAGATGTTACAAACATAATTGGGGACCCCTGCTCATCGAGCTTAGACAAAGGTAGGTCACATACATAGTACTTTATATTTCAATATCATTTTCTCAATGTACCCAAATAAATATGTTTATTTGTGTTTGTAGATAATTATGCCAAGCACTGGTGTGGGATGCTGTCAGACCCAAAAGGGATTTTTGCAAAGTGTCATACTGAAATAAACCCAGAATACTATCAGAAAGTAAGCAGATCTTGTTTTTGTCTGCAGTCTAATCTATGTGTTCATGTGTTAGGGTTATTTTACATACTTAACATTTCTCTCTGCAGTCTTGTATTTATGACACCTGTGCCGGTCATAGCAGTGAGGAGTGCATGTGTGCTGCTATATCCTCTTATGTCCATGCATGCGCTGCTGAAGGCATCCTGTTGCAAGGATGGAGGAACACCATTTGCCGTAAGTTAAACCCAAACTTTCAAATGTGAAATAAAAAAAATCCTTATTCATTTATAATATTTAAACAAGTGAACCTGTTTCCTTTGAAAAGAGCGCTACACAACTGGCTGCCCTGCTACTTTTGTGTATGAATACGAAATGACAAGCTGTCGTCGCACCTGCCGCTCTCTTAGTCAGTCAGACTTAACATGTGGCATTGAGTTTACCCCAACGGATGGCTGCGGCTGTGCCAAAGGAACTTTCCTGAATGACCGGGATCAGTGTGTGCCAGCCTCACAATGCTCTTGCCAGGTGGGAGACACACTGGTGCACCCAAAGCAATCCATCACAGTCAATGGAAAAACCTGGTGAGGATTTCAAAATGTCCTTTAATATTCCAGCAAAACAATATTTTCATATGATTGTTTTTATTTTATTGTTTTAAGTAAGCTGATGGGTCCAATTTGTCATATTTTAAAGTCTAATGTTTATCTAGCGCAGGGTTTATTTTTGATTTTACAAGTGCAGTTTCCCACAAGTAGATCGCTTGAACATCATGGCAGTCCCTTTAGGTCCTCCAGTGCTTTTTGCAAGATCCAAACAGTTGCTATAAGGCAACATTTGATTTCACTGAAAGTGAACATTAACAAACAGTGTCTTGTAGCAGTGAAGTAGGCTACTGCTTGTAACAGCCATAGCTAGATTATAGCAAAAAAAAAATCATGAATCTAATGTTTTTATTTATTTTTACCTAATTATTTTTGACTATTCACATGCTATGCTTTAAATACAGTTTATTTAAGCCTACATTTGTTCTAATTGCTGATATATTCGATCTAATGTTGTTGGTTTTTAGGTTGTAATTGCAATTCCTGCAATACTGTACCTTATATTTCTTCAGTTCTTAAGTTGAATTTGCACTTTTATCTTAATTGTGTTGGTTCAGTGGACATCTGGGTTTGACCGATTGTTTTGTTTTTTCTCAAGGCTTTGGTTTTATCCCTAAATCCAAACCCTTGACCTGTCAGCTCAGTATGTGCTAAATAGTCACCAGCTCTCCTGGCCAACCAAGTTAGCCAAAGTGTGTAACCTTGATTTGGACATAAGAGAACTACAAGTCCTAAAGGCCAGACATGTTTGGGACCACTGTCGTAAACCACTGTTTCTTCATTAACAATAAATTGAGCAGAAACTAGCAAGGTTTAACTTTGTTTGTTCTATACATTTCAGCGTGTGCCTTAGTGGAACACTGAATTGTGAAGGAATACATACAGAAGAATGTAGGTACCATCACTCATCTTAATATTCCTTCTGTTGCAAAGCACAGTATGAGCTACACCAAGCCTTCAGTGGTGTAATTTCTAACACACTATCATTGTCATCAGCATGCAAAAAGCCGATGGTTTACTTCAACTGCTCCAGCTCAAAGCCACGGGAAAAGGGATCCGAGTGTCAAAAGAGCTGCCAGACTCTGGACACAGACACATGTGTAAGATTATATTGTGGTTCATGACTACTGTTGAATATTCTATGACTACCATCTCTATAATGCATTTTTATATACTTATAATGGGTCAGGGTTTTTTTTCGCACCGTAAATTCATAATTATATAAGCACTAAAATAGGTTTAAACAGGATTAGTAATAATAACACATTTTAAAGCGTTTTCTTGGGTCTGGGTCAAGTATCATAATACTTTAGTATTTCGGGTCAATCAATGTTTAAGAGAAGAATCTCAGTCTTGGGTTGCTCAGGACATTATCCTTAGCCAGTTATAAAGACTGATAGAGAACTGCTCTAATGTATGATACCACATTTTTGATTTGAAGTTTCTGAAAAAGGAATACTGTCTTACAAACATCAATAACATGCTTTTAGCTTCATCTGTATAAGGTTGCACACAATCATGATATAATTGTTAGCTGATGCGCTGACTACAAGTAAAGGCTAACAAATACGAAGATAATCAGATAATCAAAGACTCATCAACGCTTTATTATCTGAAACTAAACAAATGTTATCACAATGATCATTATGCAATTAATGAATTGTAATGCAATTAATGCAATTATGAAGTAATGTGATACAGAATGTTACTTTATAAAATGCTTTTTAATATGCGATGGCTATTGTTATATCTCATTATGAATATTTCCGATATTTCCGCTTACTTATTAACTAAGTATAAGGTGCCAAAATCAGATTGTACTGCACTAAGTATGATATCGAATGCTGTATAGACATGAGTTTCTTGGAAAGTGTTACCAAATGTTCTGTAAATGTGTCCTAAAGCAGCAAGTTGACATGTTAAATACTTTGCTGTTACATTGTATAGGCCAGTACACATTGTATGTCAGGCTGTGTATGCCCAGCCGGCCTGGTGTTTGACGGTAAAGGAGGCTGCATAAAGGAACAGAACTGTCCCTGCACATATAATGGAGAGTCCTTTCATTCTGGAGAGAATGTCACTGTAAACTGCAATACCTGGTGAGTCCTTTCATTCTTTTCATACTAAAATAGCGCTGTGTCAATTCACTGTTGTGGTGTTTTTAGTGATGCATGATATATATCTGGCTTGGTGAAAAAAAATCAATTAGTCTTAAAATGTCTTTGCGGATATATAACTTAACATAACTTCATTTACCTATAGTACTTGCAAAAGCAGAAAATGGACTTGTACAGATCATGAGTGTGGTGGATTCTGCACCATATATGGAGATAGCAATTACATCACTTTTGATGAGAAGAAATTCTCCTTTAATGGGGAATGTAGCTCCATCTTCACTCAGGTATTGCACTGACCCATATTCAGTCTTATCAATTTGTCAAAAGTCTGTCTTGTAATATAATCATCAATATCTTGCAGGATTACTGTGGAGAAGACATGAATGGCACCTTTAGGGTCCTAACAGAGAGCATCCCATGCGGTGGGAGCGGAACCATTTGCTCCACTGCTATCAAGCTTTACTTAGGGGTACTTAACACTATATTTCATTATTATGGTATACATTTGAAATGCATTTTTTGAATATTGAAAATAACATTGAAGAATTACAAAAGAGTATGTTCTTTTGCTTTTTCAGAACAACGAAATCATTCTTTCAGAGGAAAGTGTCAGAGTTATCAAACAAAGCAAAGGGGAAGACATACCATATAAGGTCCACACTATGGGTATTTATCTTGTCATTGAGGCAAAGAATGGACTTGTTCTTATGTGGAATAAGAGGACAACACTCATGATCAAACTCAAGTCAAATTTCAAGGTGGGTGACGAGATATACAGTTGTTCGGCTAAATGATAATAAGGATGCCCCCTCATTAATGCAACAATATAAATTAACTATATCTCGCTTTTCCCAGGGAAAAGTCTGTGGTCTGTGTGGGAATTACGATGGAAATATCAAGAACGATTTTACCACCAGAAACAAAGGAGTTGTGGTTGACGCCCTTGAGTTCGGAAACAGCTGGAAAGTGTCACCTAATTGCCCTAATGCAAACACAGCAAAAGATCCCTGCAGTATGTACTCATACAGGAAGGCATGGGCATCAAAACACTGCGACATTATCAATACTGAAGTATTTGCTAGTTGCCATTCGAAGGTAAGAGAACTGCCAATTAACTAAGATAGATAGAGAGATAGATAGATAGATAGAGTGTACTTACATTTACAATTGCTTTGTTCAAAAGGTGGATCCAAAAAACCATTATGAAGCCTGTGTGAGAGACACGTGTTCCTGCAACACAGGAGGAGATTGTGAGTGTTTTTGCTCTGCTGTCGCAGCCTACGCAGCAGCCTGTAACGAGGCCGGAGCGTGTGTGAGATGGAGAACTCCCACAATCTGCCGTAAGTGTTTTATTGGTGTTTCTGTGAGACGATGAACTGCATCACCTTTTGTCAGCATCCCCTTTGTCATTTAAATTGTTGAATTTACAAATAAAGCCTGACTCTCATATCCTTTTAAAGATTGGATTCACTATAGAGTAATCTTTTCTTGTACGTTGTTATTATTTATTTTCTATTTTCTTTTGTTTCATTAGCTATATTCTGTGATTTTTACAACCCTGATGGAGAGTGTGAATGGCACTATAAGCCTTGTGGAAAACCATGTATGAAGACATGCAGAAATCCCTCGGGAGAATGCTTCAACCACATTCCAGCATTAGAAGGTAGGTGGAAATGAAAGTAAAAATGTATGTCTCTCTAAGTTTGTAAATACAGAGTTGAACATTTGTTTTTTTCATACAGTTTCACCACTCAGATATTCTAACATGGTTTAGGCTAGTTCCAATATGTACCTTTTGTGTGGTAGTACAGCATTTTTTACAGTAACATTTAATTTTTTAAGGCTGCTATCCAAATTGCCCGTCTGAACGACCTTATTTCGAAGAGGATGACATGAAGTGTGTGTCAAATAAGGAATGTGGCTGTTATGATGACGAAGGGAATCACCATGAAGAAGGGAAGCTTTGGCCTTCAAAAGATAACTGTCACAACTGGTAAGTCACTTTCCATGTTATTAATGATGCATTGGTGCAAAAGTAAATGATATCACTTGAACTGTTTTCACAACAGATAGCGTAAGGCAGCAATATACACAATATAATTTATTCATGCTGTTCAGATTTACATTACATACATTACATATAATTTAGCTGACGCTTTTATCCAAAGTGACTTACAATAAGTGCAAAAACCATAAAGAAACAAACAGGAACAACAAGGAAAGTGCAGATATATTTACTTCAAGCAAGATTATACCATAGTAAGTGCTGGTGAATCAGATACAAGGCCTAAGTTAAAGTTACCTAAAGTTTTTTTTTCAGCAATAACTTAATTTCCAAGGTACAGTCGAAATAGAAGCGTAAATAGTTTGCGACGGAAGATATGCAGAGTTTTTGCTGTCCTGATGTCAATGGGGAGCTCATCCCTCAATTTAGGAGTCAGGATAGCAAACAGCCATGTTTTTGAGGGGTAGCTGGGTCCCACTCGCAGTGATGGAGTAGCGAGTCTATTGGCTGATGCCGAGCGTAGTGCACGTGCTAGAGTAGATGGTTGAAATAAGGCCTGGATGTATGAAGGAGCTAGCTATAGTGACTATGCAAATTACTTTATTTCAGCAATAGCAATTATTTCTTATTTCTTTCTTTGAAGTAAAATCATTTTTCTGAATCAGTTGAAGATCCTACTGTCACGTGTTGTCTGTTAATTGTGTTACTAAAGAGTTGCTTAACCTTTGTATTATAAAATAGCCATTATCCTCAAATACTTCTCTTGTTTTTAGGGAACAATAAAAGTTGCCATAAAATCATGAACAATCTCATGTTGCTTATCACAGTCTCACATGTACCTTTATTTTCATATAAAAGGAGGAGCTCTAATCAGTACTTTGGTCAGGCCCTTTAAACAATGGCATCTGTATTTGTTGCCTAGGAGACCTGGTGTTTTGGATGGAGACACATGGGCAATTTTTGTATGGAACTGTGCATACTATTAAAGGCATGCCTCATGCTGTGGTACACATTTGGAATAACTATTTATTATTAATAGGACAGCTATTTACACAGGATCTGCCATGTCTTAATCACATCACGGACCTTCACAGTGCGCACCACGGCAATTAAAAAATGCTCATAAAACAGATAAACGTCTCCTTCAAATGGCTGTTAATAGAATCACTGGTATACAGTTAATAAAGAAGATCAGTATAGGCTAACTTGTTATTCTCTCTTGGCGACATTATCTTATTTTAGCTGGTCAATAAAATGAAGACTAAAAGAGAAAAACAAAGAAAAGCATAAATAAATAGCATTTTTTAGTGTAACTTCTCTTAAATAAAATAAAGTTTATAGAACACAATTGGCGATGCCTACATTCATGACATAACGCACGTTTTCTTCCAGCTGGGCACATTGTAGGTTAACAAGATACCAAACCTGTGGGCAGGGAAGGAAAAAACAAAAAGATCTGTGCACCAATATCAAAATGGTTGCCTATATGTTAATGTATTATTTTTAAACATTTTTTTTATTTTATTTACCTTTTAGTAAATGTTCTTCAACAAAAGTGAAGTGCTACTATGATAATCTAGGTAAGTTTCGCTATGACCATTTCTTTAATTGATCACAGAATCAAGTTTAATGAGAAAGGTAATTGTATGAATCTATTAAATCATAAGATTTTGATAATCCTTTAATAAATGTTTTTTTGCAGCTTGCAATTGTTACTATAACGGGCATATTTACAAGTATGGAGAGACTGTCTATGAGACACATGATGGAAATGGAAGCTGTTTAAAGGCTGTTTGTGGAGAAAAAGGAGATATTATCAGAACCTCAGAGACTTGCTCTACAACTACACCAACTACAACTACACCATCCATAACATTTAATTTTACCAGTGGTAAGAGACTTTTGAGAGGAATAGGTGTTGAATAAAATATTTTGAACCTTTTAAAGTCAACCTTATGATTAAATCCAATTTGTTTTTGGCCATCACAGAAAAACCAAGAACAACCACACAACATCCTACCACAGCAACATCACAAACGTCTCCTCATTCAAGTATTAGAACTGAGGCTGTGACAACGATTCACACAATCTCTAAACCAACGGCTTCAACAAGGTCTAAAACCACAGTTCTATCATCATCAAGACCCATCTCCAAAGCTACCACTGTCACAGTAAAATCCAGCACAACATCAACATTCACAGAAAAACCTACCTCAACCATTACAGTCACTGAAAATCCCAGCACTACTAGCTGTGACTATGATTGTAAGTGGTCATATTGGAACAACAATAATTACCCTGGCCCTTCCCCAGATAGTGGAGATTATGAACCAATTGAAAAAATTAAGGATCTAGATTTGAGTGTTTGCAGAAAACCTTTAGAAATAGAATGTAGAGCAAAACATTATCCAAATTCAACGTTGGACGAATTACTTCAAAAAGTAACATGCAACCCAACAGGTGGACTAATCTGTCATAACAAAGACCAAAGTCCACCTCCTCCTAAATGTTTGGACTATGAAATACGAGTGAAGTGTTGTGTTTACAAATGTTACACCACAACCCCCACAGAAAATCCCAGCACTACTGCTGTTACATTCTCTGAGAAACCTACCACTACTACCACCACCATCACAAAACCACCAACCACAATAACAGAAAAACAGACCACGATACCCACGGAAAAACCCACCACAACCACCAAAATCACAGAAAAACCAACCACAACCACTCAAGTTACCGAAAAACCAACCACAACCACTACAGTTACTGAAAATCCTACCACAACACCAACAGAAAAGCCCAGCACTAAAGCTATCACCGTCACAGGAAAAGTCCCCACAACGACTACAGTCACTGAAAAACCCACCACAACAACTATAGTCACTCAAAAACCCACCACAACAACTATAGTCACTCAAAAACCCACCACAACAACCCTGGAAGTTAGAACAAATACAGTTGCTAAAACAACGCCATTAACAAAACCTTTGATTGTGCACACAGCTACGACACCCACAGAAAATCCCAGCACTACTTCTGTTACATTCTCGGAGAAACCTACCACTACCACCACTATCACAAAAACACCAACCACGATAACAGAAAAACAGACCACGACATCCATAATCACAGTAAACCCCACGACAACCTCTAAAGTTACCGAAAAACCCACCACAATAAGCACAGAAAATCCCAGCACTAAAGCTACCATAACCACGGAAAACCCCACCACTACCACTACAGTCACTGAAAATCCCAGCACTACTAGCTGTGACTATGATTGTAAGTGGTCATATTGGAACAACAATAATTACCCTGGCCCTTCCCCAGATAGTGGAGATTATGAACCAATTGAAAAAATTAAGGATCTAGATTTGAGTGTTTGCAGAAAACCTTTAGAAATAGAATGTAGAGCAAAACATTATCCAAATTCAACGTTGGACGAATTACTTCAAAAAGTAACATGCAACCCAACAGGTGGACTAATCTGTCATAACAAAGACCAAAGTCCACCTCCTCCTAAATGTTTGGACTATGAAATACGAGTGAAGTGTTGTGTTTACAAATGTTACACCACAACCCCCACAGAAAATCCCAGCACTACTGCTGTTACATTCTCTGAGAAACCTACCACTACTACCACCACCATCACAAAACCACCAACCACAATAACAGAAAAACAGACCACGATACCCACGGAAAAACCCACCAAAATCACAGAAAAACCAACCACAACCACTCAAGTTACCGAAAAAACCAACCACAACCACTACAGTTACTGAAAATCCTACCACAACACCAACAGAAAAGCCCAGCACTAAAGCTATCACCGTCACAGGAAAAGTCCCCACAACGACTACAGTCACTGAAAAACCCACCACAACAACTATAGTCACTCAAAAACCCACCACAACGACTATAGTCACTCAAAAACCCACCACAACAACCCTGGAAGTTAGAACAAATACAGTTGCTAAAACAACGCCATTAACAGAACCTTTGACTGTGCACACAGCTACGACACCCACAGAAAATCCCATCACTACTTCTGTTACATTCTCGGAGAAACCTACCACTACCACCACTATCACAAAAACACCAACCACGATAACAGAAAAACAGACCACGACATCCATAATCACAGTAAAACCCACGACAACCTCTAAAGTTACCGAAAAACCCACCACAATACGCACAGAAAATCCCAGCACTAAAGCTACCATAACCACGGAAAAACCCACCACTACCACTACAGTCACTGAAAATCCCAGCACTACTAGCTGTGACTATGATTGTAAGTGGTCATATTGGAACAACAATAATTACCCTGGCCCTTCCCCAGATAGTGGAGATTATGAACCAATTGAAAAAATTAAGGATCTAGATTTGAGTGTTTGCAGAAAACCTTTAGAAATAGAATGTAGAGCAAAACATTATCCAAATTCAACGTTGGACGAATTACTTCAAAAAGTAACATGCAACCCAACAGGTGGACTAATCTGTCATAACAAAGACCAAAGTCCACCTCCTCCTAAATGTTTGGACTATGAAATACGAGTGAAGTGTTGTGTTTACAAATGTTACACCACAACCCCCACAGAAAATCCCAGCACTACTGCTGTTACATTCTCTGAGAAACCTACCACTACTACCACCACCATCACAAAACCACCAACCACAATAACAGAAAAACAGACCACGATACCCACGGAAAAACCCACCACAACCACCAAAATCACAGAAAAACCAACCACAACCACTCAAGTTACCGAAAAAACCAACCACAACCACTACAGTTACTGAAAATCCTACCACAACACCAACAGAAAAGCCCAGCACTAAAGCTATCACCATCACAGGAAAAGTCACCACAACGACTACAGTCACTGAAAAACCCACCACAACAACTATAGTCACTCAAAAACCCACCACAACGACTATAGTCACTCAAAAACCCACCACAACAACCCTGGAAGTTAGAACAAATACAGTTGCTAAAACAACGCCATTAACAGAACCTTTGACTGTGCACACAGCTACGACACCCACAGAAAATCCCATCACTACTTCTGTTACATTCTCGGAGAAACCTACCACTACCACCACTATCACAAAAACACCAACCACGATAACAGAAAAACAGACCACGACATCCATAATCACAGTAAAACCCACGACAACCTCTAAAGTTACCGAAAAACCCACCACAATACGCACAGAAAATCCCAGCACTAAAGCTACCATAACCACGGAAAAACCCACCACTACCACTACAGTCACTGAAAATCCCAGCACTACTAGCTGTGACTATGATTGTAAGTGGTCATATTGGAACAACAATAATTACCCTGGCCCTTCCCCAGATAGTGGAGATTATGAACCAATTGAAAAAATTAAGGATCTAGATTTGAGTGTTTGCAGAAAACCTTTAGAAATAGAATGTAGAGCAAAACATTATCCAAATTCAACGTTGGACGAATTACTTCAAAAAGTAACATGCAACCCAACAGGTGGACTAATCTGTCATAACAAAGACCAAAGTCCACCTCCTCCTAAATGTTTGGACTATGAAATACGAGTGAAGTGTTGTGTTTACAAATGTTACACCACAACCCCCACAGAAAATGCCCAGCACTACTGCTGTTACATTCTCTGAGAAACCTACCACTACTACCACCACCATCACAAAACCACCAACCACAATAACAGAAAAACAGACCACGATACCCACGGAAAAACCCACCACAACCACCAAAATCACAGAAAAACCAACCACAACCACTCAAGTTACCGAAAAACCCACCACAACAACTATAGTCACTCAAAAACCCACCACAACGACTATAGTCACTCAAAAACCCACCACAACAACCCTGGAAGTTAGAACAAATACAGTTGCTAAAACAACGCCATTAACAAAACCTTTGATTGTGCACACAGCTACGACACCCACAGAAAATCCCAGCACTACTTCTGTTACATTCTCGGAGAAACCTACCACTACCACCACTATCACAAAAACACCAACCACGATAACAGAAAAACAGACCACGACATCCATAATCACAGTAAACCCCACGACAACCTCTAAAGTTACCGAAAAACCCACCACAATAAGCACAGAAAATCCCAGCACTAAAGCTACCATAACCACGGAAAAACCCACCACTACCACTACAGTCACTGAAAATCCCAGCACTACTAGCTGTGACTATGATTGTAAGTGGTCATATTGGAACAACAATAATTACCCTGGCCCTTCCCCAGATAGTGGAGATTATGAACCAATTGAAAAAATTAAGGATCTAGATTTGAGTGTTTGCAGAAAACCTTTAGAAATAGAATGTAGAGCAAAACATTATCCAAATTCAACGTTGGACGAATTACTTCAAAAAGTAACATGCAACCCAACAGGTGGACTAATCTGTCATAACAAAGACCAAAGTCCACCTCCTCCTAAATGTTTGGACTATGAAATACGAGTGAAGTGTTGTGTTTACAAATGTTACACCACAACCCCCACAGAAAATCCCAGCACTACTGCTGTTACATTCTCTGAGAAACCTACCACTACTACCACCACCATCACAAAACCACCAACCACAATAACAGAAAAACAGACCACGATACCCACGGAAAAACCCACCACAACCACCAAAATCACAGAAAAACCAACCACAACCACTCAAGTTACCGAAAAACCAACCACAACCACTACAGTTACTGAAAATCCTACCACAACACCAACAGAAAAGCCCAGCACTAAAGCTATCACCGTCACAGGAAAAGTCACCACAACGACTACAGTCACTGAAAAACCCACCACAACAACTATAGTCACTCAAAAACCCACCACAACGACTATAGTCACTCAAAAACCCACCACAACAACCCTGGAAGTTAGAACAAATACAGTTGCTAAAACAACGCCATTAACAGAACCTTTGACTGTGCACACAGCTACGACACCCACAGAAAATCCCATCACTACTTCTGTTACATTCTCGGAGAAACCTACCACTACCACCACTATCACAAAAACACCAACCACGATAACAGAAAAACAGACCACGACATCCATAATCACAGTAAAACCCACGACAACCTCTAAAGTTACCGAAAAACCCACCACAATACGCACAGAAAATCCCAGCACTAAAGCTACCATAACCACGGAAAAACCCACCACTACCACTACAGTCACTGAAAATCCCAGCACTACTAGCTGTGACTATGATTGTAAGTGGTCATATTGGAACAACAATAATTACCCTGGCCCTTCCCCAGATAGTGGAGATTATGAACCAATTGAAAAAATTAAGGATCTAGATTTGAGTGTTTGCAGAAAACCTTTAGAAATAGAATGTAGAGCAAAACATTATCCAAATTCAACGTTGGACGAATTACTTCAAAAAGTAACATGCAACCCAACAGGTGGACTAATCTGTCATAACAAAGACCAAAGTCCACCTCCTCCTAAATGTTTGGACTATGAAATACGAGTGAAGTGTTGTGTTTACAAATGTTACACCACAACCCCCACAGAAAATCCCAGCACTACTGCTGTTACATTCTCTGAGAAACCTACCACTACTACCACCACCATCACAAAACCACCAACCACAATAACAGAAAAACAGACCACGATACCCACGGAAAAACCCACCACAACCACCAAAATCACAGAAAAACCAACCACAACCACTCAAGTTACCGAAAAACCAACCACAACCACTACAGTTACTGAAAATCCTACCACAACACCAACAGAAAAGCCCAGCACTAAAGCTATCACCGTCACAGGAAAAGTCACCACAACGACTACAGTCACTGAAAAACCCACCACAACAACTATAGTCACTCAAAAACCCACCACAACGACTATAGTCACTCAAAAACCCACCAGAACAACCCTGGAAGTTAGAACAAATACAGTTGCTAAAACAACGCCATTAACAGAACCTTTGACTGTGCACACAGCTACGACACCCACAGAAAATCCCATCACTACTTCTGTTACATTCTCGGAGAAACCTACCACTACCACCACTATCACAAAAACACCAACCACGATAACAGAAAAACAGACCACGACATCCATAATCACAGTAAAACCCACGACAACCTCTAAAGTTACCGAAAAACCCACCACAATACGCACAGAAAATCCCAGCACTAAAGCTACCATAACCACGGAAAAACCCACCACTACCACTACAGTCACTGAAAATCCCAGCACTACTAGCTGTGACTATGATTGTAAGTGGTCATATTGGAACAACAATAATTACCCTGGCCCTTCCCCAGATAGTGGAGATTATGAACCAATTGAAAAAATTAAGGATCTAGATTTGAGTGTTTGCAGAAAACCTTTAGAAATAGAATGTAGAGCAAAACATTATCCAAATTCAACGTTGGACGAATTACTTCAAAAAGTAACATGCAACCCAACAGGTGGACTAATCTGTCATAACAAAGACCAAAGTCCACCTCCTCCTAAATGTTTGGACTATGAAATACGAGTGAAGTGTTGTGTTTACAAATGTTACACCACAACCCCCACAGAAAATCCCAGCACTACTGCTGTTACATTCTCTGAGAAACCTACCACTACTACCACCACCATCACAAAACCACCAACCACAATAACAGAAAAACAGACCACGATACCCACGGAAAAACCCACCACAACCACCAAAATCACAGAAAAACCAACCACAACCACTCAAGTTACCGAAAAACCAACCACAACCACTACAGTTACTGAAAATCCTACCACAACACCAACAGAAAAGCCCAGCACTAAAGCTATCACCGTCACAGGAAAAGTCACCACAACGACTACAGTCACTGAAAAACCCACCACAACAACTATAGTCACTCAAAAACCCACCACAACGACTATAGTCACTCAAAAACCCACCACAACAACCCTGGAAGTTAGAACAAATACAGTTGCTAAAACAACGCCATTAACAAAACCTTTGATTGTGCACACAGCTACGACACCCACAGAAAATCCCAGCACTACTTCTGTTACATTCTCGGAGAAACCTACCACTACCACCACTATCACAAAAACACCAACCACGATAACAGAAAAACAGACCACGACATCCATAATCACAGTAAAACCCACGACAACCTCTAAAGTTACCGAAAAACCCACCACAATACGCACAGAAAATCCCAGCACTAAAGCTACCATAACCACGGAAAAACCCACCACTACCACTACAGTCACTGAAAATCCCAGCACTACTAGCTGTGACTATGATTGTAAGTGGTCATATTGGAACAACAATAATTACCCTGGCCCTTCCCCAGATAGTGGAGATTATGAACCAATTGAAAAAATTAAGGATCTAGATTTGAGTGTTTGCAGAAAACCTTTAGAAATAGAATGTAGAGCAAAACATTATCCAAATTCAACGTTGGACGAATTACTTCAAAAAGTAACATGCAACCCAACAGGTGGACTAATCTGTCATAACAAAGACCAAAGTCCACCTCCTCCTAAATGTTTGGACTATGAAATACGAGTGAAGTGTTGTGTTTACAAATGTTACACCACAACCCCCACAGAAAATCCCAGCACTACTGCTGTTACATTCTCTGAGAAACCTACCACTACTACCACCACCATCACAAAACCACCAACCACAATAACAGAAAAACAGACCACGATACCCACGGAAAAACCCACCACAACCACCAAAATCACAGAAAAACCAACCACAACCACTCAAGTTACCGAAAAACCAACCACAACCACTACAGTTACTGAAAATCCTACCACAACACCAACAGAAAAGCCCAGCACTAAAGCTATCACCGTCACAGGAAAAGTCACCACAACGACTACAGTCACTGAAAAACCCACCACAACAACTATAGTCACTCAAAAACCCACCACAACGACTATAGTCACTCAAAAACCCACCACAACAACCCTGGAAGTTAGAACAAATACAGTTGCTAAAACAACGCCATTAACAAAACCTTTGATTGTGCACACAGCTACGACACCCACAGAAAATCCCAGCACTACTTCTGTTACATTCTCGGAGAAACCTACCACTACCACCACTATCACAAAAACACCAACCACGATAACAGAAAAACAGACCACGACATCCATAATCACAGTAAAACCCACGACAACCTCTAAAGTTACCGAAAAACCCACCACAATACGCACAGAAAATCCCAGCACTAAAGCTACCATAACCACGGAAAACCCCACCACTACCACTACAGTCACTGAAAATCCCAGCACTACTAGCTGTGACTATGATTGTAAGTGGTCATATTGGAACAACAATAATTACCCTGGCCCTTCCCCAGATAGTGGAGATTATGAACCAATTGAAAAAATTAAGGATCTAGATTTGAGTGTTTGCAGAAAACCTTTAGAAATAGAATGTAGAGCAAAACATTATCCAAATTCAACGTTGGACGAATTACTTCAAAAAGTAACATGCAACCCAACAGGTGGACTAATCTGTCATAACAAAGACCAAAGTCCACCTCCTCCTAAATGTTTGGACTATGAAATACGAGTGAAGTGTTGTGTTTACAAATGTTACACCACAACCCCCACAGAAAATCCCAGCACTACTGCTGTTACATTCTCTGAGAAACCTACCACTACTACCACCACCATCACAAAACCACCAACCACAATAACAGAAAAACAGACCACGATACCCACGGAAAAACCCACCAAAATCACAGAAAAACCAACCACAACCACTCAAGTTACCGAAAAACCAACCACAACCACTACAGTTACTGAAAATCCTACCACAACACCAACAGAAAAGCCCAGCACTAAAGCTACCACAACCACGGAAAAACCCACCACTACCACTACAGTCACTGAAAATCCTACCACAACACCAACCGAAAAGCCCAGCACTAAAGCTATCACCGTTACAGGAAAATCCACCACACCAGCCACAGAAAGTCCCAGCAGTATTGGTGTTACATTCTCGGAGAAACCTACCACTACCACCACCATCACAAAACCACCAACCACGATAACAGAAAAACAGACCACGACATCCATAATCACAGAAAACCCTACCGCAACCACTAAAGTTACCAAAAAACCTACCACAATACCCACAGAAAAGCCAAGCACTAGTGGAGTCACATTCTCAGAGAAACCGACCCCCACACCCACCGTCCAAAAGACACCCACTACAATAACAAAAAAAACAACCACAACAACCACATTCACAGAAAAAACAATCAAAACTACAGAGAAGGAACTAACTACTACTGAAACAACCACTAAAGAACCCACCACCCCTGTAAAAACCACAGAAAAGCCTACTTCAACAATAACTAAAACCCCAACACCTTCAACCCTTCAGTCTTCAACACCAGGCAGAACAACAATGTGTTTTTGCAAGTACATGGATCATTTATTTTCTCCTGGTAAGTAATTGGCTATTGCCATTTAAGTATTTCATATTATTATTACCTTTTTTGTTGTGGTTACACTTAACTCCTTACATTTCAACTTGGTATTGCAAGAGGTTTATATATTAATCCACAGTCTGAGTTGGCCTGCATTCTTTTGGATATTGCACAAAACTTGAAATGGTAAAATAGATGTGCATAGATATTACACATTCCAAACAACAGGCTTTTTTTATTTGTGAAAGACGATTTGTAACTTTGTTCATGTATAATTGAATACAATTGGTTGGTTGTGGTGCCTGCACACACAATAACCACAACTCTATTCATCTCTAACTCTATTTATCCAGGAACTATTTATGAAATTGTAGAATCAGTTTGCATCTGGTCACAGATCATGAAATGGACTTTTCAATTATCTATAAGAAACTTGAATTTGCTTGGTCTAGACTTAACAAAAGTTGCAAGACAACTGTAACCCTGTCAATGTTTATCTAACTGCCCTATGGTTTCAATGTTATATAGGTAGCTTCATGTACAATAAGACTGATGAAGAAGACTGGTGTTTCACTGCATATTGTGATTTGACATGCAATGTTGAGAAGCTTGCTAGACCATGTCACTACACTACTCCACCAACTCCTACCACCACTGTAACAAGCCCTACAAAAGAAGACTGTTTGTATCTTGATCCACCTAGAAAGGTATGTTAATGTAGTTATATGTACAGATAGATATTTAACATATCTTCTTAAAATAAAAAAATGTAAGTATGTACTAATCCCAACATTTTTCCAGGGTCTCTTTTCTGAAAAACAATCATGGACACCTATAAATTAATTGAATACAACAGTAATTGAAGAGTTTCAATCCATTACTGGGGTTGATAATGACATCTGTGGGCTTTGTTTTTAATTTTATTATTTTGATCTTTGTAAACATATTTGCTTGTTGTATGGATGACACAGTTTAAAGGGGGTATATGTTGTGCTTTGTACGTGCACCGCTATACTGGCCGTAGTTTACTAAAAGTACTACCTTGTTCATTACAGGATGGTGACGTTTGGATTGGCAAATGCAACAGATCCACATGTGACGACGGAACAATTGTAACAACATATGTGCAATGTAAACATGTGACCAAGCCTAAATGTGAAAATGGTCAACCACCAGTGAAGGTTTATGATGAAAGAGGCTGCTGTTTCCACTATGAGTGCAAATGTAGGTTCAAATTAAAGCCTTATAACATGTTCCATCAAGCAGCATCTTAAAACTGCAACACAAACAAATATATATATATATATATATATATGTTGGTTTTTATATAACAAATAATTTTATTTCAATCTAATTTTTGCAGGTATTTGCTCTGGCTTTGGAGATCCTCATTATATAACATTTGATGGCCAATATTACAGCTTCCAGAAAAACTGCACATATGTCCTTGTCAAAGAGATCATTCCTCAACACAATTTAACAATTCTTATCAGCAATGTAAATTGTGATCCCTCTGGATCTGTGACCTGTCCTAAAGCTTTGATTGTGTATTACAAAGACTATGAAGTTATTCTCACACAGGAGAAAGACCCAAAGACTGTGAACATGGTAAAGTTTGCCAGAACTGCCTAAACATATTTTACTTTTGAACTGTTTTAAATGATCTCCAATGATTATGATAACGAAAAATATTTCACTAACAATGTTTTCAATTGTTTAGGTGTACATCAATGGCAAGCGGGTATTGCCAACCTACTCTAATGAAGACTTTATCATAACAACTACATCAATTGAGCTACTTATGAAAATCCCGGAAATTGAAGCAGTTGTGATGTATAAAGGACTTTTATTCAGTGTTGAGCTGCCATTTTCCATTTTCCACAACAACACCGAGGGACAGTGTGGTAAGATTGTAAATTGTAAATTGCTGATTAACATAGTAAACAGCAAACCAAACTGCATGTTACATTCATAGATGAAGATATGATTACAGTGTTAGATATATTGTAAAAATACCATTGTACTATCTGTCATGTTAATCATTTACTTTCACAAGGTACCTGTGACAATAACAAGAAAAACGACTGCAGATTACCAAATGGCAAAATTAATCCTGGATGCTCTCAGATGGGAGAGTGGAAAGTACCAGATAAGAAAAAGCCCTATTGTGAGAATCCACCCCCAGGACCAAACACAACAATAGAATGCAACACAACTGATCCTATTTGTGAAATTCTGAATAGCAAGTAAGAGTTTACACCAAAGAAAATAACAACAGATAAGTACAATTGATTCTTTAATATCACTCTGAATAATCAACTTTCTTGTGATTTCTACATTAAGGGTGTTTGAGAAATGCCACAAAATAATCTCATCAGAACCATTTCATGAGGGTTGTAATTATGATGTTTGCCAAACAAACAGCACAGTAGTTGCTTGTTCCAGTTTGGAGTCGTATGCTGCGATGTGTGCTAGAGAATCTGTATACCTATCATGGAGGGAAGCTACAAATGGACAGTGTGGTAAGGTTTCATTTTACTAACATTGTTATATTTAGACGTCCAAATGACACGTTTCATCATTTAAAAATCATAATTTATTTTCTGTGGTTTTAGAATTCAAGTGTCCAGGGAATAAGGTCTACCAGCCTGCTGGTCCAACCTTTGAACCTACTTGCAATGCAAGGTAATTGCTCAGTTCTTTTATCAACATCATGAATCAAATAATGACAGCAGCTTGTAATGTAACAATTATATGGGCCAAACCATATGTTAACATCAGTATGCTTACATGCTCACAATAGCAGTGCAAACATGCTGATGCAAAGCATTAATGTTTTAGCACGCTGCCATATGTTCATTTGCATTAAACACAAATTAAAGCTCAGTCTGATGACACTGTAATTTGTTATAAACTTGAATATTTGACGAATTAAATTGATTTGATGATGGCACTATAGATGATAGTACAATCGATCCTGATGCACTCAATGTCACTGCATTCTACGTAATAGTTTTGAGACAATTCATTCAAACCACAAACGGTGGCGTTAGAGGAAAATTCAGGGGATCACCAAATTCATTAGGATTCTTCATAATGAACACATGAATGTCTATACAAAATCTCCTGGCAATCAATCAAATAGTTGTTGAAATGTTTCACTTTTGCCCAATGTAGCAAAGCGACACTGCTATCTCTACAGTTTGCACTGCGTTACACACATACCTTCTTAATTAATTTCTGAAATGATCATGTTTTTTTGTTTTTTTCACCATCAATTTCTTCTTACTTTAGATACAATAAGATGTATACACAAAAATGCGAAGGACAAAATGACAAACGGAACCATTATGACAAGATGGAGGGATGTTTCTGCCCAGAGGGGATGACTCTGTTCAGTTCGACCTCTGACATCTGTGTCTCCGCCTGTAAGAGCACTGTCTGTTGTCAAGAACATTCAATTTCTTTCTGTTTGAATTAATGTTCAGGTAAACTGATTATCTTTATTGTTTAAGGTTGCACTGGACCAGATGGCCAACCTAAACAGGTGAATGCAACAACAAGTGACAGATTATCATTATTAACACAGAGTATGTATCACTTTTACAACACTAACTTCATCTATCAAACAGATTGGTGACAATTGGCTGAGTGGCTGTCTGCAGTGTTCTTGTGATAATGACACTATGAGTGTTCAGTGTAAGCCGCGCACATGTACCATTCAAAATGCAACAGTCTGCGAGGAAGGCGAGGAGTTGGTGAACCGCATGGTCGGCTGCTGTGCCGAGCAGACCTGTGGTAAATGATTCATAAAAAAATATCTACTGTTGTTTTGTGTATGATCTTTAAATTATTAAGTGGGAACTCCATTTTTCACACACATATCAGTTATCTCATTATTCATGTCATATGTTTCTCTTCTGTATAAAAACTTTCTTTCGCCAGAGAAAATAGACTCACAGTCCGGGTTCAGTAGGTGAAAAACATGTTTATCTGTCATTTTCAGTTACTACTCGTCCCAACTGTGCAATGATCAGGAACACCACATATCTGCAGAAGAAAGACTGCAAGTCGGTGGTACCAGTGGAAATCACCGCCTGTGCCGGATCCTGTGGAGAGTCCTCATCAATGTGAGATTCAAAACGAAATGAGTTATTCAGTACAACATACTTACTAAATCACTAAATCAAGTTTTTAGTTGTCACATAAATACAAGTATGTAATATGAAATGTTGTACTCCACTCCCAGGAGTGCACAACAAGTACAATAAAATAAAATATGATAATTCATCAAAATACCACTTGTGTAGAATATGACAAATAGCAAGCTTATATACAATGGTAAAAATGGTTGAATAATAAAAGTGAGGTTAACAGTGCAGAAAAGGTGACTCACAGTATATAGAGGTCAATATTACAAGTTATTGACCTTCATGTGAATTTTTTGTTTACATTGAACAGCAGGTTCCTGACACTGATTCTGTCTGAAACATCTTCATTTTCAGGTATTCTGCAGAAAGCAACCGCTTGATGCATTCATGCACGTGCTGTCAAGAAATGTCCACCAGCAAGAAGAAGGTGGAGATGACCTGCGCTAATGGCCAAAAAGAAATGCACACCTACATTTCAGTTGAAAAGTGTGGTTGCAATATCACTAAATGTAAAGATATGAAAGGCTAATGTAAACATTTTGCTAGACAGCATCGACAACTAAGCTCAGCAAGTTGAAGGGAAAATCTAACTTATATACTTTTATGAACTTTAAACAATTCCTCTCCAAAAACGACCAGAGTCAAGACTCAATGCGTAAAGACACACCTCTTTGTACTTTGCAGTCCCAAGTAAGATCAAATAATAGTAGAAAGACATGTTCTATTTTCACTCTGACAATGCTCGTCATCCCTTCGTTATTATTATCAGGCACGCAGGTCCCCAAAGTGCCTCGTGATGACGGCACATATTTGTGTCCTGGTGTCTCTTGTAGCTTTTGAAGAGGTTGTTGCATTATACAAATTGTTCCATTTGGTGTTTCCTTCATAGGGTGTTTATCTTTTTTTTACTTTAAATGACCTCAGAGTTAACAGTAGTTGAGCAATTATTTCTAACAGCAACGGCAAAGATCTTATAACCCTTAAATGATCTTATCACCCATTAAACTACTGTATAATGAAAATAGTGTGAAGAATGTTGACATTCTTTATCCAATATCTGATGTGTCAAACTTCTGCAAACTGAATGCTGTCAGTGTCATTAAAACTCATCATCATAAGGTCTTGCTTTTTTTGTGGTTCTTTTAGCTATTTTTGGTGTAGATTTGTCTTAAAGTGCTTTATTAGATTAGATTAGATTCAACTTTATTCTCATTGCACAAACTACAAGTACTATTTAGACTATTTAGTACTATTAACCATAAATGCAAAAGAAGCAGTAAAGTCAGAGTGATATATATATATATATAATAAATATAGACATCGGTCAGATATAGACATACCTAAGTATTTACACTTTGAACAGTACAAGGAGGTAGAAACATTACACACAGCAGTACAGAAATGTAATACACTATAGATCAGGTATGAACATAGACAGTATAATACACTATAGACAGAATTATTATGAATAACATGTGTTTCAATGGTGCATTTTGGTACTGGGAAGAGTCTTTCCATTTCAATAGAAATATGTTGCTTTTAGCTATAGCAGTGAACCATAATTTATAATGTAAGGTATATTATTGTATACGTCATTTAATACATAATAATCTTTATTATTTGATATTTAGACATACAGTTGGTCACCTAAACACACAAATCAAATATGTGTTATGCCTCCACGGCGGCAACTTCAGTTACTTTGCAGATTCAGATTTATTTATAACGTAGTTCAAACATTAAAGTGATGTTAGCTTGAACTCATTTATAAATATAAAAAGCATTACTCTGAAAAGGGATATAGCAGCATAATAAGTCTTTCTACTTTTGGCACTTTAAATATATTTGTGATGAATACTTTTGTACTTTTACCTATAGGTGAATATGTACTACCATTTTAAAAGGTCTGAGTATTCTTTTCACCACTAAATATCACTATTTCTAACACCGGGCGGATGTTAAGCTCACTCAAAGATCTGAGTAAGACTGTACGTGTCCATCATTGAAAATAATAGAGTAACCTACTTAATTAATATCTATACTTTTGTGTCTATTCGACAAAGTAAATAATCAAATGAATTTGAAGTAAAAAGTATGTATAAAAATAAAAACAATGTATCAATATACAATTAAGAAATGCAAAGTCAATACAGTAGGACCTTTTTTATTTATATTACAACTGAATAGAAATAAAGATGACATGCGTATTAATATGTCATGCATATTATATTAACCAAATCATTATGTGACAAATTCAAATCAAATGTGTCATTTAAAAAAGTTAAATATACTCATAAATAAAATTCATATTCTAATAGTAGAGGATAGAGACATTTTTACATACCACAAAGGTGATAGTTTGGACGTGAATTTAGTTATTTTTTGTACAGTTAATTTTATTTTTAGGGAAATGTAATATTCATAAAAAGAGGTTCTAGACCATAAAACCTAATTTTAAACATTTTTTACCAAAAATGTAAACAATATAGTATGAAAAATGTATTATATTAATAATTGTATGTAACTCTATTTTTCTTTTTTCCACTCATTTATTTTATGTAATTTTGTATTACGTTATATGTCTACCCCTGATATATAATCTGTCTTTTGAATAAATAAATAAAGGGAAACAAATATATAGGTGTTAAGCGGGCTCCGGCTGGAACGGATCCCTTATAGCGTTATCCAGCCGGACTCTTTTCAGTGTAACACACCGCCTGGCAGTCATGTCGACGCTGAAGTCAGGACGCTCACTGTTATAGTCAAATACTGTTAGAAATAACTAAATGTGTAATTTTTATACCAAGTAATACATTAGTTTGGATTATGTGTTGAGGAAAAGCGAGGTATCCATCGCAGTATCGACTTATTTTGAGGTAAAATAAGTTTATTACTGACTTCCCCCTCAGGCTTTTCTCTTCTTGATTATTAAGGTTAGCTAACGTAACACCGCTTAGCTATGATGTGATAAATAATACAATAAAACCCAACCATTGCTTGCTTGTGTTGCCGAGCAGAGGATAAAAGCATTACAGGAAGCATGACATTTATTTGGGACATGTCGTGAAATACGTTAAGAAGTTGATGCTTATACCAAGTGGTTCATAACGTTATGATCTATTTACCGTTAATGTTGCTAATGTTACATTTGTGACTGCAGGTCCCTGTTCATCTTTACATCTGTGGGATTCTTTTTGAAATCATGAAGGATATCCTTGTTAATTTATTTATTGTTGTATTTTACACATGTCTTATTCAGTTTTAGTTTGTTTTACGTTTTATGTTATACTTGCCTTGCCATGCTTATATAAAACCAATGCCTTTTTTCAGTTTGAGCCATGGCATCCCTATCAGAGGAGGTGCTGCTGGTGCTGAAAAAGGTTCGCCAGAGGAAGCAGGATGGCACACTTTATCTGATGGCTGAGCGTATAGCCTGGGGTCCAGAGGGCAAGGACCGCTTCTCAGTCAGCCACTTATATGCAGATATTCGCTGTGAGTAATCGATACCATCCAATTAGAAAGATGTGCCAAATAAATGTGTTGGTGATGTTCTGAAGCTGCACTTTATTTGTTCTCTGCACAGGTCAGAAAATCAGCCCGGACGGTAAATCCAAAATTCAGCTGCAGCTGGTGCTTCACACCGGCGACAGTACCGCATTCCACTTTTCCAATGACAGCACTGCACTCAAAGACAGAGACGCTGCCAAGGAGCTGCTGCAGCAGCTGCTACCCAAGTTCAAGAAGAAAGCCAACAAGGAACTGGAGGAGAAAAACAGGTGAGACCCAGGTGTTCTCTTAAGATTCACTTAAAGGATATATCTGGTAATATCTATGTTTTCTTATTGGGATCAAATTGCATTATAAAATGAAAACTAACCATACAAGTATCCTTTTAACAAGTGTTGTGTGACCAGAGAGCTCACTTCTATTAAAAAACTATTAAAAACACACCAATGAGCCACACTGTTGCACTGGGTGACATTTTTCCACAAAGTAACTATTTTGGAACCTGTTTCTTCTAAGGATTAACATGGTCCGTATGAACAAATGAGCTTGGGTCTGAGGGTCCCAAACAGGGTCCGGATGTCCCTCTATGAGTATGGGAGTTCACTGTTTACTTTGGGGACAGCCTGAGTGACCAAATCATCTCCAGTCTACTATCAAGATTTGTATGCAATCTTTCAAATAATATATTACATTCTTTAAATGTTTTTTCCTGTAGGATGCTTCAGGAAGATCCTGTGCTTTTCCAGTTGTATAAAGATCTGGTGGTGAGCCAGGTGATCAGTACAGATGAGTTCTGGGCCAACCGGCTAGGAGACACGAACAACTCGGACTCCTCTTTATCCAACAACAAACAGGAAGTTGGTATATCTGGAGCTTTTTTGGTGAGTACATCAAGTCTGGTCAAAATAAGACCTTGCATTTTGAATGTTACTCAAACATTGTGACCTTCAGTATCATCATCATAATTGTAAAGTATGTTTTGTACATTACAGGCTGACATTAGACCTCAGACTGATGGCTGCAATGGCTTGAGATATAATTTGACTGCTGACATTATTGAATCTATCTTCAGAACATACCCTGCAGGTAAATCATCTCAACTCTAGAGTTAGTTAGCTGCTTTCATTCATGGCTTCTACCAGCTCATATATAAGGGACTGATATTTAAGTTATATTTCACCCCCAAAATGATAATTTGTATATCAATGACTCATCCATGTTAAAATCTCACGTCTGCACAGGTGCGTTACTATATTGTGTGAGGAGTGGACTGTGAGAAAGTGGTTTAGATTGTAGGGGTTTAGCACAAATGCTTGTGTTTCGGAAATAGTGAGCATACGACTGGATAAATGAGACTTGAAATATTCTGCATTAGTTCTGAGAGAAATAGTTTTGACCGGCCCCAGTGTACTTCTATTCATCCAGAAGTTTCCTTTTCTTCTTGTGTCATTGTGACGGAGCGGATCACAGAGTGACTGACTCCGCCACTGACAGCCGTAGCGGCGACACACACACACACACACACACACACACACACACACACACACACACACATACACACCAAACATTTCCTGCTCTCTTCCGTTCATCAATAAATCAGGTTAAATCATCACTAAAACGTCCACCTTTTCCCCTTCCTTTCTGTAGCGTGACCACAAGTGCACGCTTGTGAGTCTACAATTATTTCAACATACATTTAACTATATTACACCATACTTACGTGGGGAGCGGCGGGCGGAGTTTCACCGCCGTCTCCCCAGCAAAGGGAAGGTGGAAAAGACGGAGGCGCATCACTTCCGTGATTTAAATAGGATGCAATTTATTATTTATTTTGTGTTTATTAATTATGGGGAATGACTGTTAAGAGGTAGTTAACCTGTGTATGTTTGGTGCAGGTAGTTTCCTCATGTTTGAGGAAATTACATTTATGTTGACAATGTGGTTTGGAGAGAATTGTGTAACCGGTTGACGGTAAGCCTGTGGGGAGGGGCTATGGGTACAAAAGGGACGGTGTTGGCCCTGGAAGAATCATTCGGGAGATTGTTGCAGTGAAGGCAACAGCTAGAATGTGTTTACTCCATGAGTAATAGACAACCAAATTTGGTAACTTTGATTTTGGTTATTTAAGTTATACTGTTTCACTTTTATCAAACAGTATATATTCTTTTGTTGCTGTTATAAATAAACTTTTGGAGCTTAAATCATCCGACTAAGCCTATGTTTTCAACGGACAAATAGAACCCCGTCACAGTCATCATTGAGGCATGCCAGAAAATGGGTTCAGGAGCCGATAAACAAATGATCATTTCAGCTGTGAAGTTTTCCTGTAAATGTGCAGCTTGTGTGCCTAGGCACTGCAACTGGACTAAATATTTTAATATGTATTTGCGTTGTACTTGCAGTGAAGCAGAAGTATAATGAAAATGTGCCTCACGAGCTGACGGAGAAGGAGTTCTGGACCCGCTTTTTCCAGTCCCATTATTTTCACAGAGACCGCATCAACACAGGAACACAGGACATCTTCTCAGAGTGTGGCAAGCAGGATGAAATAGGTAGGAGTTTTAAAGTGTTTCCAGGTGCAAATCTCACATAAATGCAAGTATTCTCTACAGATGTCAGTACATGTTTTACCTAAACACTTGCAAATGAAACGGCTATGCTACAAATCTGTTCTTATGCCTCACACAGGGTTAAAGTCCATGGTGGTTCAAGGAGTGAAGAATCCTTTAGTGGACCTCCTGTCGTTAGAAGATAAAACATTAGATGAGGTGATGTATTATGATTCGCCAATCACAGCCACATCATACTACTCAGAAATCATTTGCTTTTATAGCTTTCCTTTCCTCCTTCCTCCCTTGACCTGAAGATTTGGTATTTTCTGTGACACAGGGTTACGGAGTTTGCACAACAATGCCCTCAACTTCCAACAGGACGGTGAAGGACAGCAGCAACTCTGCCATTATAAAGCGGTTCAACCATCACAGTGCCATGGTGCTGGCAGCAGGCTTAGGCAAGGGGTGAGGAAACAACTTCTTTATTTGTTTTAAACCTTTCTCATTCTTATTAATTATTTGCTAACGGTTTCATATTTTTAAAGGGAAACAGCAGGTGACCCAGCTAGTGAGACGAGCTGCACAGACGGAAACTCAAGGGACTCTGACCTCTTCCAGCCTCCTGTAAAGAAGGTGATGCCTCTGCAGCTGTAGCAGAGGTTTTTATCTAAATATGAATATTGCTCTGTAACAGCCTGTCACTTTTTCTGTTGGCAAACTTTTTTAGGTTAAATTGCAGGAGGCCATAGAATATGAAGATCTTAAAAAGGAAAAGAAGCCAAAAACAATTGCATTAAACCTCAAAAAGTCTGACAGGTAAAGTCTGCCCACCTTTTATTTTTATTTTGTTATTAATATTATTTGATTACACAATAACAGGTGGGGGGGAGTTTCAAACTCTTTTTTTGACAAATATGTCACTATCAGTACTAATTATTCCATTTATAAAACTTAAGTTTAGAAAAGTATGTTTTTTTTCTGAATATATGTTGTGTTTTCACTAAAGAATTTAAGTTTTCCAGTTATTCCTTTTCTTACAACTGGGATGATAAACAAGGATTATTTGTGTTAGCTCTAGGAAAGCCTCTAAACTTTATTTATTAACTTAAATAACAGGGGTTATATTATTGCTTGATTTAATGTTGAATTGTTCTAATATAATGTTTCTCGCTCCCTCTCTGTATTCTTAAGGTATGCTCACGGTCCTGTGCCACTTCAGTCCCAACACTATTCGACAAGCCAGGATATCATCAACTCTCTCAACTACATCCGGCATGAGATGGTCAATTATAAACCCAACCTCACTCAGGTGTGTTAACACTATTTCCACTTACTCACCAGCTCAGAGCCTCTGTTGTGATTCAACACTCATCGACCTTTGGACAAAGATTAATCATCATGTTTGTAGTTTGATCCGTTCAGATCAGAAGTCTAATTACATAACACGTTCTCAGTTTAAGAAGAGAGCCTTGTCAATACTGACAAAAACCTTGCAGACCTCAAGTCAAGCATTGGTGTGTTTCTGTGTATGTTTTACCGATGTATATTCACATACTGAAAGAAAACAGCTTCCAAAACACTAAAATAGATACAAATTGTAAACTACATTTGAAGTGGTAGTTCCTAAATGAAATGTATCTAAATATTGGTTATTTCTAGGTACAAGTCTAGTCCTTATATGTAACTTGCACAATATGTAAAATAAACGATTAAATATGTATTTGAATGTATTCTTAGTCAAGTTGGAATATTTCAATTGTGACAAGTAATTGTCCTTAAAAATGTAACGAATATTATGATAACGCTTTTATTCAAATAAAAAAGGTAATTTTAGGGTCATGAACTCCTGATTGGGTTCCAATATTTCCAAGTGTTTTCAGAAATAATTCAGTTTTTTTCCTGAACAGACAGGGATATGTAACTTTAAGTGATGCCTTTAAAGTCTTTAACACTGATACTTTCTGCAGGTGTTGTGCAGCACAACGGCTAGTTCTGCCATTGCTGCACTTTCTCCAGGTGGCGTGCTCATGCAGGCAGCAACACAGCAGGCCATCAATCGTAAGTGTGTTGTACGATAACAGTACATTATAACTATTTATTGTGAAAGTTGTAGCACATCTGTCAGGTAGCTTCAATAAGCCTTCAACGCATCTGCAGAGATAAAGTGAGGGATTTAAATACAGTGGGGCAAAAAAGTATTTAGTCAGCCACCAATTGTGCAAGTTCTCCCACTTAAAAAGATGAGAGGCCTGTAATTTTATTCCTAGGTATACCTCAACTATGAGAGACAGAATGAGAAAAGAAAAAAAATCCAGAGAATCACATTGTCTGATTTTTAAAGAATTTATTTGCAAATTATGGTGGAAAATAAGTATTTGGTCAATAACAAAAGTTCATCTCAATACTTTGTTATATACCCTTTGTTGGCAATGACAGAGGTCAAACGTTTTCTGTAAGTCTTCACAAGGTTTTCACACACTGTTGCTGGTATTTTGGTCCATTCCTCCATGCAGATCTCCTCTAGAGCAGTGATGTTTTGGGGCTGTCGCTGGGCAACACGGACTTTCAACTCCCTCCAAAGATTTTCTATGGGGTTGATATCTGGAGACTGGCTAGGCCACTCCAGGACCTTGAAATGCTTCTTACGAAGCCACTCCTTCGTTGCCCGGGTGGTGTGTTTGGGATCATTGTCATGCTGAAAGACCCAGCCACGTTTTATCTTCAATGCCCTTGCTGATGGAAGGAGGTTGTCACTCAAAATCTCACGATACATGGCCCCATTCATTCTTTCCTTTACACGGATCAGTCGTCCTGGTCCCTTTGCAGAAAAACAGCCCCGAAAGCATGATGTTTCCACCCCCATGTTTCTTTCTCCTCCAAACACGTCTAGTTGAGTTTTTACCAAAAAGTTCTATTTTGGTTTCATCTGACCATATGACATTCTCCCAATCCTCTTCTGGATCATCTAAATGCTCTCTAGCAAACTTCAGACTGGGCCTGGACATGTACTGGCTTAAGCAGGGGGACACGTCTGGCACTGCAGGATTTGAGTCCCTGGCGGCGTAGTGTGTTACTGATGGTAGCCTTTGTTACTTTGGTCCCAGCTCTCTGCAGGTCATTGACTAGGTCCCCCCTGTGTGGTTCTGGGATTTTTGCTCACCATTCTTAGTGATCATTTTGACCCCACGGGGTGAGATCTTGCGTGGAGCCCCAGATCGAGGGAGATTATCAGTGGTCTTGTATGTCTTCCATTTTCTAATAATTGCTCCCACAGTTGATTTCTTCACACCAAGCTGCTTACTATTGCAGATTCAGTCTTCCCAGCCTGGTGCAGGTCTACAATTTTGTTTCTGGTGTCCTTTGACAGCTCTTTGGTCTTGGCCATAGTGGAGTTTGGAGTGTGACTGTTTGAGGTTGTGGACAGGTGTCTTTTATACTGATAACGAGTTCAAACAGGTGCCATTAATACAGTTAACAAGTGGAGAACAGAGGAGGCTCTTAAAGAAGAAGTTACAGGTCTGTGAGAGCCAGAAATCTTGTTTGTTTGTAGGTGACCAAATACTTATTTTACCGAGGAGTTTACCAATTAATTCATTAAAAATCAGACAATGTGATTTCCTGGATTCTTTCCCCCCATTCTGTCTCTCATAGTTGAAGTGTACCTAGGATGAAAATTACAGGCCTCTCTCATCTTTTTAAGTGGGATAACTTGCACAATTGGTGGCTGACTAAATACTTTTTTGCCCCACTGCATCTGTGTTTCAGGATGGTTCTTTGATTATCCATAGATTTGTCACTACTGCTGACACCTGAATCCATCCTGACAAACGTTTATTTTAAGCTTGGAGTACTTGGTTTTGTCTTCTCATTTACATCTTTATCATTTATTTTTCAGAGATGGTACCCACTGATGTTCAAGGAGAGCTGAAGCATCTTTATGCAGCTGCTGGAGAGTTGCTGAGACACTTCTGGTCCTGTTTTCCTGTAAACACACCGTTTTTAGAGGAAAAGGTGACTAATAATAATAATAACTTTAAGGAAGTATGACAAGGGAGAGGTGGGGGAGAAACATTACATCTGTTCGTAAAATGAAGGTGTTATACAGTTTTGTGCATGGAGTGAAAGTGCATAGAAATAAGTATATGCATTGCTTCACGGTTTTAAAAAAATACACTTGCCCATAACAGTGAAGCCATATAATGCTAATGAATGTATTCTACTCCTTAAACTTATTCATGTTTTAGTGTTTTACAACACTCAAGCTTTCTGACAATATCCTTCATGTCATGTATATATATATACTTATTATAATGGTATTTATAGACATTTGTTTTTACTTGGACATTTTATATCACACTCCTACATGAAGGTTTTGCTTTTTCGGTTCTGTTAATTTGTCTGTCCGCGAGCAAACAGAAAATGAGTTTCTTTCCTTCAGATTTGTTCTCATCACGTCTCACTCTTTATATAGGTGACGAAAATGAAGTCAAACCTGGAGAGATTTCAGGTGTCCAAGCTTTGTCCTTTTCAGGAGAAGGTTCAGCGTCAGTACTTAAGTGCAAATGTAAGTCTCTAAACTATTAATGATAACACAATGTCTTATATACCGGGTGACACTTGTATTAAATGGCTTTGACGTCCCCACAGCTCACAGGACATTTGGAGCAGATGTTGCAGACAGCCTATAGCAAGTTCCACGTCTGGCAAACCCGTCGCATGCTGAGGAAAACCTGAGGTCTGATGATTTGTCAAAGAGAGGACATTAAAGACATAATAGAATATGGACAAATGACGAGGAAGGTTCTCGCGACTGCTGCGAAGACCGCAGATCACAGCCTGATTGGACGAGATCCACAGGGGCTACATGAGGATATACATGGATGCTGCTACATCCCAGACAGTTCTTCAGAGACTAACTGCCGCTCTGTCACAAATTAGTTTCTTTCTCTTTTTTTTGTTCTCTCAATGGTTGAGAGATTGGTGCCGGTATCGGTTAAATGGGACTTTAGTAGTGGTGTAATGTGACCAAATTTCAAATGGAGAATCGTAAAGGAACTCAGGACGACAGGCTGATGTGTGAAATGCAAGCAGACGACTGCCAACATGAGTTTCATCTGTGCACAGAGCAGAGAAAGAGACAAACAAGGAGCAAATCTGAGCACTGGTTTAACTTGTGGAACAAAGTTCCAGATAATCTGAAGTGAGTATAGCAATAATGTGATGACATTTCACACTGGGTGCATTAGTGTGTGTGCTTGTTTGTGGCTCTAATCACATTGTCGCTGGTTTGTAATGTCTGCACTGAAGACGAAAATGTCACTGAAATAAAGTGAGAATGTGATCATTCGACTGTCTTTTGAAACTACAGTATTTCATTTATCAGTCTGCCTCAGTTATTTTCTAAACTACAGAAGAGATAGAGGTTTATTTTTCTAAATGTGTAGCTTTAGCTGCTTTTAGATAGTATGGAGATTGTTTCATTGTGACCAGTAACTCAGTACATTTACTTAAGTCGTGTTTTTTTGACATATTTGTACTTGAGTATTTCCATTCAATGTTTTACTCTAGATTTATTTTAACACTCACGGTTAGTAGTTACTTTGTACATCAAAAACACAAATATGCTGATATGGTATAAAGCAACGGGACATTGTGCATAAGGAGATCTTTTTGAGATGAATGGATTTGTATGCATGGTCCTTGTTCAATAAAGAAATATATGAGTAAAAATAATAATATGAGCTAAAAACAGAATGTAAAATTAAATCAGAAACAGGTCTATTGCCAAGTAGGTTTACACAGGAATTTGCCTTGGTGTACATGGTGCATACTTTAACATGGAAATGTTTATGTAAAGAAAGATACATTGTAAGAAAAGTACCAACAAAATAAAACGATTATAACTATATTTACATGAACTATATATATACCCGTACAAATACTGAAAGGGGTAAAATACTGCTTATTTTAGTAAAAAATAATAATATTACTTTCACTTTTAATGGAGTATTTTAAGATTTGTACTTTTTTTATTAAGGGGTACTTCTCCCAACACTGGTTGTGATAAAGCCTCCAGCAGGAAGTCACCAGCTGAGCCGGGACAGGTCGCCTGGCTGCGGACACACAGGCGTGAGACTCACCGCTGTCTTTCCACAGAAAAAGTGAAGAAACCCAGCGATGTGACGGGGTTTATTTTGTGGATCTGTTGACGGAAACACTGCTGTTTCTTCTGACATTTGGTGAGTTTTTAATGAGTGCTCCCTACATCACTATCTTAGCCAGCTAGCATGTTTGCTCACTTGTTATTGTAAATACAGAGGCGAGTTAGCGCACTGAACAGTCTTCAGATGTATCTTACTTTGAATAAACCTTTATTTATACCTAACAAAGCCATGTTGTTCTTATAATATTGTGTTATGTCTTTCTGGGTCCATTAGTTTGATGGTAACGTTAGCATCAGTGTCAGCAGACATGTCTCGTGATGCATGGCAGACAGACGCCCCTTTTTAGTTTCGGAAGCAACTGAATGAATTGTAGACATTTTATTAACAACTAACCATAAGGAGCCCGACAGTGATTGACTTAGTTAGTTTCACTCACTAACACTAAGGATTAAAGTAAGGGTTAATAGAAAGTAGATGTACTCAAGTACTTTACTTAAGTACACTTTTGAGGGACTTGGACTTTACTTGAGTATTTCAATGTTTTGCTACTTTCTACCTCTACCCCACTCAGAGGTAAATTGTGTACTTTTACTCCACTACATTCATTTAATAAAATGTAATTACTTTGCTGATTTGTATTAAATATGTGAAAAATAATCAACCCTTAAATAAGACTTTAGTTACATCTGGAGCAAAATTCACAAGTTACCCTGCTGTATACAAAGTCATTAAAACTGTCTGCACCTTTAATAACACTTTAATGCATCAATATTTATAATCAAAACATATAATATATATTATTATATTATGTTATTCTGAAATGGGCTGGTCTGCACTATGAGTACTTTTACTTTTGGAACTTTAAATATATTTTGATACCAATACTTTTGTACTTTAACGATTTGATTGCAGGACTTTGACTTGTAAAAGAGTATTTCTACACTCTGGTAGTTCTAAGTAAGTAAACATTTGTTAACCGTTATAGTTAACACATTAAAGGTACTTTCCTTGGGTTTTTACTATAGAATTTGATTTGTAGGCTACTTCTAATCAGTGTTGGATTAGGTAATCAAATCCCTAATAACGAGCAGAAGAAGCAATACAGTTAACAACATCTCTGTCTCTGATTAAGACACTATTTACATGGAGACGGTTCGTGTTGTATCTGCTACTTTTCTCTTTCGTATAGTCATTTTGAGTCAAGGACTGAGCCGGTATGAGTGTACATTTTCCTTAGGTCTGATCAGCACATCTTTAACCCTAAATACCTTCCTGTAGCAGACATTAGAGTGTTAACAGAGACAGAGTTCAGAGGTGACTGTTTCTTCTCACCTTCTTTTGAAATATTTGTCCACTTAAATGCTCTGGAGCAATTAAGTGTTTTTTTAAATGTAGAAAACACACTGATGGTTTTTTACAGTTATTCAAATGATCTGCAGTTTTTGTTCTGCTTCCTCATATGTTGGATTTAAAAGTCAATCAAAGCCAAACTACATTGTGTTGGATTTTGAGCTGAATGGCGCCCCGGTAAAAAACTATTCTTTCAAAACTAACTGAGACTTCCAGGACAGCAGATATTTGAACAACAGTTTTGCTGCACTAGAGATGATAACATGTTTTTACCAGAATGGAGACGGTGTAAAGTGAAGTCATGACTGGTCAATTTGAGAAAGTAGGTGCACCGCTAAAAGTCATATGATGCGACGCAGCTGAGGGCCGAGGTATGCAAGGGAGCAGAGCAGTGACTTCTGGAGCAGCTCACATTTGTCATACTTCTTTTTGTCTCCCAGTTGTAAAGGATCAGCAGTGAAGATGCCTCTGATACCAGTTGTGCCAGAGAACCACAGTCATGTCCTGGCAGAGTTTGACTGCCTCGATCCGCTTCTGTCTGCTCTCCGTTTAGACTCTGGCAGGCTAAAGGTAGGTTTTACCATCACATGTCTGAGTTTTATGGTAAAATCACACATAATCAATATTAACGGCTCTTATACAACCTTGAGTATCTGCCAATACTGAATGGCATCTGAAACTTTCTCTTTCCTTCTCCTAAACAAGTATGGAGTTCTTAATGTATTTTGTAGGGATACACTTTTCTGGGTTTACCTTTTTATAATTGATTTATAGTGGTTTATTATTCATCATCATACATTAAAAACCCAACATCCCTTAACAGACCTTGAGGGAAGAAGAATATTTAGAGGATTGAAAACGTCAGATTGGCTTTTGAGAAGTGACTACACTAATGATGCAAATGACAACGACTTATCGCCAATAACTTGCACATTCGTCAATGTAGAACATTAAACTCTATGTACTCTTTGTTTCAGTGTACCTGTTTGGCAGTCTCAAGGAAGTGGCTCGCATTAGGAACATCAGCAGGAGGGTTGCACCTGATCCAGAAGGAGGGCTGGAAACAAAGGCTCATCCTCACCCACAAGGTAATATGTGACCCAGGGGCTTTGTGCAAAAATGCAGGGTTCACTCTTTTTCTGTCACAGCTACACAAAAAGAAAATACAATGTTAGTTTATTTGTATTTCTTTTAACTCCTAACCCTTGGTGCATTCTTCTTCAGGAGGGATCTATTACTCAGGTGGCGTGTTGCCCTCATGATGAAGACTTTATCGCGATTGCAACAAGGTGAGAGTCTATCCATGAAATAAAGATATCTCTCACATACAGTACTGTATCTCTGTGTCTGGTGTCGCCTGTATTGTTCTCATTGTGTGTCTCGGCTGCAGTCAGGGTCTGGTGGTGGTGTGGGAGCTGCAGCTGGAGCGGAGGGGTCGTCCGGAGAGAGTGAGTGTCTCCTGGGAGCACAGAGGCCAGACCATCACGTCCCTCTGCTGGGACACAAGCACACTCAGAGTGTTCGTCGGGGACACAGGAGGCAAGGTGTCCCTTCTGCGTGCGGGATCCTCCAAGCTGGGCAAGGTATTAGTGGCTGCTGATTCACAACAACTGTTTGTGTGTGAAATTCCTAAAGTCAAATTCCTCGTACGTGTAATAAACCTACCTGGTAATAAACCTTTTTCTGATTATGATTCTAAATCAACATTTCAAAACATTGAACCTTTCTTCTAATAAAGTCAGTATTTCTGCACAGTTCCAGAAAACGATAAGGTCCTTATTAGTATTATACTATTCTAGTGGTTGTTCTGTAATATTGTGTTGTAAAGTCAAAATGAATTTGTGTTCTGATTTATACAGATACCATAAATGTTTGATATTGTTTTCTTTGTGTCTAGGGGTCAACATTCGTTATCTTCCCTGTTCAGACCGTCACCACTGTGGACTCCAGAGTGGTTCAGCTCGGCTACCAAGATGGCCGCCTGCTGGTGTCTTCCTTGAGCCGCTGCTACCTCTGTGACACAGATAGGTGAGGACCACCACAGCTGCGTCTCTTTAGTGCAAAAGACCCTCAGCCAAGGTTTTCCTTTTATGCAAAAATAGCAAAAACTGCTTTTTCAGGCTCTCAAATATGGAGACGTCTGCTTTTTTCAGTATTATATCATATTAAACTAAATATATCTGGATTTCGGGGAAAACAATACATATTAAAATATAAGTAAGATATTGGGATAGACATTAGTACTATTTTCTAAAATGTATTTGTAATGTATTTTATATCAAATATTAGTGGCAGGCTTAAGATTGGGCTCTGGCAACATGTTGCCAATGTTGATCATTTTGTTAACTCCTGAAAGGAATTCCTGTGTTCTTTTTCTATTATCTCTTGCTTTCAGGGAGAAGTTTTGGCGTGTTGGATATAAGGAGCGTGATGGAGAGTATGGAGCGTGTTTCTACCCTCAGAACAGGGGCTTATTGGTTGGACAGCCCCCTCTGCTGTACTCCGCCCGGCCGGGGTCTCGAATATGGGAGGCCAGCTTCAATGGAGAGGTTCTGAGCACCCATCAGTTCAAACAGCCCCTGGCCTGTCCTCCTCTCCCTCTCATCACCTACAGGTAATGATTGTTCCTGCTTTATAATGTTCTTCTTTGATTGGCCAAACAACTAACTGTCTTACATTCCTGCAGAGATGAGCCACATTACAACCCAGCACAGAAGAGCCCGCAGTCAATCGCCTTCACTAAACTGCTTTACTTTGGGTAATATTATTTATATATTTCCTATCTTAGTTTTTAGGCTTGTCGATCACTTGTTTTACCACATGCACATTATTGATTAAGCAAGTGCGTTGATTATACTAGACGACATCAAAAATAAAACCCTCCCATTATTGTTTATTCACTCACTCGACAAACTGTACACTTTACTTTTTATTTATAGAGACCAGAACTTGCTGACCTGGACTGACTCGGCAATTTATATCTTCACACCTCAGAACGGACAAGTGCTTCTGTGGACTGAAGTCAAAGGTGTGCTTATCCTGCTTCCTCCTCAAATACCACCAACAATCCTTTGTAGTGGTGAAGCAAATGTTGAATTCATGAACTGTTGTGTTGTGTGGAAGTAGGACCAAAAGTCATTATTAGATCTGTATTTGATCTGTTTTATTTGTTAGTGTGATCAGCATTATGAGATATTTTTAACGTTGGTTGATTGTTATGCGTGTACTTGCCCAGTGACTGCAGATGGAAATTAGCTTTTAGCTTTAATCTGGCATATAGTATCTCTTCTCTTTTTTAGATTAATGTATTTTTATGCATGGTCCTTGTTCAATAAAGGTATATATAAAAAAAAGTAAAGGTTGAACATTTTTAACAATTTAAACATTGATTATACTGACCTTTTGTTCCTGTCTTTACTTTAGTGTGAATTGATCCATCCTGTTTTTTTATTTTGCAGACTTGGTTAATATTGCAGTCTACCGCAACGAGCTCTTCTGTCTCCATGGCAGCGGGCGTCTGTCCCACCTCTCGCTGCTGTCTGCTGAGCGCTGTGTGGAGCGTCTGCTGCGCAGGGAGTCCTGGCCTCTGGCGGCTGGGGTCTGCTGTATGTTCCAGCACACAGTCACCAGCAGCAGGGTGAGACCCCCGCTCTCTGTGTACAGAGAAACCTAGATTCAAGGTCTTATCTGGCTAATGTTCTTATTACTTCCTGTGTTTACAAGGATAAAGCAGAATATACTGTAAAACTGTCTCACCTAACATGGCCTGACTAAAAGAAGAATCAACACTTGCCATGTGCTAGATATGGCTCCTGCTAGCATTATTACACTTGTAATACATCTTTAAGAAGGGAAAATCGTGGTAATTGACCCATTAAAAAATCGTAATGTATTTAGGCGTGTGTGTTGGTGTTAGGATCAGTGGGGCACAGGTTCAAACCCCACTGCAGTCAGCATGTCGTTGTGTCCCTGAGACACTTCACCCCAAATTGCTCCTGTGGGGATTGCCCACAGTATTGAGTGTGTAAGTCGCTTTGGATAAAAGCGTCTAACAAGTGACATGTAATGTAAAAAAAATAATGTTGTTGCTAATCATTTTCCAGACTGAGAATAAAATACCCCTAGCACTAGCATACATAGAATAATTATATTAGTGTGTGGCGTAGTTTCATAAAACATTTTAATTTAAAAGGTTAAACATCATGAAAATGAAACACATTTGTGGTACTCATGATCAGGACTGATTTCTTTTGAATTTTTGGACATTGTTGTCTTCTGAGCACATCAAAACACTTTTGTGTGAGGCACCATCATTTCAGTTGAAAGTAAATCAAGCATTTTAGAAATGTTGTATCTTACCTAGATGTATTATAAACGGAGTAAGATCTCCCTATGTGATGATAAAGCATTAGGAAGCCTTGCTCATCATGATTCCTGTTTTAATTCAGGCCAGGAAATCAATTCCCATCGACCGTCTGGAGCACCTCAGGTCTCAGCTCAGCTCCAGCACACACCCCGAGCTGTGTGTCCAGCTGGAGGAAGTCATCTCCAAACTGGAGCCTCTGGACTCGGCCTCCAGCAGCCGCAGGAGCAGCATCTCCTCACACGTAAGTTACATTTACTCCCTGCAGATGATTAACTGTGATCTTGAACATTTAAAGATAAGCATCCAACTTTCTAAACGACACACTTTTGGTTAGAACCAGCTTTCAGTCTTTGCATCCAGAATAATTCCACATCAAACTAACACCACGTTTTATATACTTTCCTTCAATACATGTATTTTCTATTAGCTCATTACGACTCAAGCATGCAGCCTCTGCTTATTTGTCTGTAATCAATGGGTTTGCTGATATCATCATTATCCAGGAGAGCTTCAACGTCCTGGACTGTGGGATCTATCGTGTGATCAGCCGCAGAGGAAGCCAGTCGGACGAGGAGACGAGCTCCCTCATCAACCAGTCAGCGTCCGAGGAGGAGCGCCTCAAAGAGTTCAGTTTTGTGCAGGAGGAGGATCAGGTGGATCATGGTAAGAGAACGGCAGCTGCCTGTTAAACATACAGTGTGCTCGCTATAGAAAGGCCTTATTTCAATTCAGAGTGCTTTTCGATACTGCCACCTTAAGAGCTGACACATTTTATGAATGAACAGGTCGTTTTCAAATGTTGTTATAACTGATTATAAATACTATTTATAATAATTGTATTATTATAATTACCAGTATGAGTTTGTTGGACATGCTAACAAACTCTTGTAACAATGAAAATCATGGAAACCAGTTTTTGACACTTTCTTGTTTACCTCTACTTTTTCTTTAATCTGCACAGGAACAAACTTCTTTTCTGCCTCTTCTTACTTTAATTAGAAAAAGAGTGAAGTTACTTTCAGATTCATATCTACTACTCTATTAAAACACCTCAATATAAAGCCAAATTAGATATTTGTAATTTTGAGCATCTGTCGTTGCTAAAACATGTATTATTAAAAACATTTGAAATGAATTTTACTCTTTGACTTTATCTCTATTGCCATAATAATACATCTATAATAATTCAAAAACGGTCTTGTATGTTTGCCACTGAGATGACAATGCTTTTCATTTTTCAAACACACAATAATTGAATCAAAGTGTTGCTGTTTCTGAATCTGCTGAGAGCTAAACGATCACTCTTCCGGCTGATGTGCTTTGCCAATAAAACCTTTACTTTGGCACGCTGTTAATAACATCACGTTTCCTGTCTGTTCCATTGCATCACACATAAATCACCATTTTGTTTGTTTTACATTGTGCAGCATTTAATTTACGTTTGCTCTTGAGTGGTGTCTGGCTCCATCTGCTTGCGTTATGTCCTCTGCCTTCCATCGTTCCCCTGCAGTATCCATCCATCTGTGTTTGTCCTCTGGCTCTTGCCCACATCTTCCTTCAGATCCTCAGAGCGCTGAGCGAGTGGAGGCCGAGCGATCCGATTCAGGCCTGCAGTTCCACCTCCCCCTCTCATTTCGCCCCAAACCCCCCCGCATCGCACTGCAGGCCGTCAAAGACAGGTAACATGCAGAGACGTAAAGGGCAGACATACTCACAGACTACCTTTCAGATCATATGCATTGTTACTTTTTGTTACTTTCCCCTTATCATATGTACTTTAACATCATGCGCATCCAGAGTGCTTGGAAGTTCAAACACGTGTAATAATTAATCAGATTGCTTTTTAATGGTGACATAAAAACATAGACAAGTGTGCATTTTAAGATTAAGGTGGTTAGTTTTATTATTTTATGCTGCTTATTTAACTAAATGTATCTCCTTTGAGTGTTATTCTTTTAGGTATTAATGTTTCCTATGCACTTTTTCATTTGTATTACTCAATAGTTTAATGAGGTTTTCTTAAATGTTCTTATGTCACGTATCACAGCAGCAATACAGACATGGAGCTGCAAGACATTAGATATCTTAGATTTGTATTCAACACTAAATGATAAAATATGTCTTTTTCGTAATGAGGATTGAAACGCCTACAATCACTATAATTGTAAGTGCAGCTGTGCTTGAAGGCGTCTTACTTCCCCTTTCCAGTGAACATGCACCTCCTAGTTATTTTTAAATGAACATTGTTTATCTGTGGAGATGCGTGTGGCAGGTTTCATTTCCAAGCATCACACCCATTGTTCATTAGACATGTGAAAACGTTTGTAGTTCTGTTTTCCTTTCTGAGTGTTAGCTCATCTAATGTAATATTATGAAGGGTTGTTTTTAATATTCAGTCATTGTTGTTTTCAGTGTTTCTAGCTTTGTTAAGAAGACAACGGAGAAGATCAACATCCTCCAGATGAACTCTGAGCTCTGGCAGCGGACTGAATTCAGAGAGGGCGGACAGGCAGAAATCTCAGCCACAACTTCGTTCTCAGAGGAAATGGACAATGAGTGAGTAAAGACCTGAACACGTGGACTATAAGCACTTTTCTGAGACTATGAGAAATAAGTCCTCTCAAATGTTTCTACTTTATTTGTCTTTAGGACAAGCTGTGGAGTATTAACTTGTTTTGAATACACTATATCAAGTAAAGTGAATTATATATGCCATCACAGAGTTTATGATGAAATGCCGACCATAGAGTCCGACATGCAGGAACTTCGGTCAGCGACAGAGCGAGCTATGTAAGTGCGGCCCAGCTTTTTGATAGAATCCAGATTGCATTATTTCACAGCCTCTTTTTAACTTACATTTAAAAAATAAAATAAAAATGTTTTAAATAAGCTCCCAGATTCAAGATCCTTTGGTGCTGCTGGACCCAGACTGCCTGGGGGAAACTCTGCTGAAGTGGCTGGTGGTGCTGGAGCGAATCCTCGGACCTGCTGATCACGGGTCAGCCGCTGCAGGTGATTCAATAACGGATGGTCTCGGAGAAGAGCGTTGGGATTATCTAAACGCCTGCTCAGAGCAACAAGAGGAGTCGTCGTTGTCGTCAGGTGAACCAAGAGAGAGTATGACAGAGGAGAAGACAGAGGAGTCTCCTGAGCTCGGAGAAAAAGAGGACCAGTGTGACTCCTCTGAGAAAGAGCATGAAGTTTCAAATGAGACTCGTCCAGATCCGGTCCGAGTGGCGTCTCCTAAAGCTGTACCAATGGATCTCCTGGCCGATCTCAACCAGCTGGCCACGCTCTACACGGAGCTGAGCTGCTTCAGGAAGGAGGAGAATGAACGAGCTTTGGGATGCATAGCTTTCCTGCGCCGCTACTTCTTTCTGCTGGACCAGGAGCGTGTGAGGAGGATGTGTCTGCTGTGTCATCAGGAGCAGCCCGAGGCGCAGCGCTCCTTCACCGAGGCCATGCTAGGTCAGAAGCTTCTCCTTTAAATCTGTGGTTTTAACTCATTTTTCTGTATCTCGTTTTAACAATTCAAATGTCACGCATAAAGAAAGAAAACGTAGATAATATAAAGAGAACACACTTCAACAAGCAACAACATAGTGGGCTTCTGCTTTTGAAAATCATTTGTATTTTAGTGACCAAATCCTGATTTGATATGCAAGTGTCTCGTAGCTTTGCACCAACCACCCGCCCAACAAACACAATGTTTATCCTTTGAGCGGCTCGTAACATTTGAACAATTTCTATAGTCGGGGGATACAAAGTTGATTTAGCGAAAAGTACAAGTAATATGTTATTTAAAAAAAATTATCCTCATTATTCAAAGATCGTCCTTCAATGTCAGAAATGCTTTTCAAGTTTCAGAGTCAAATCAGTTGAGCAATAATAAACATTCATTCAGCCATTTTTAAAACAGAGAATCCAGTCTATGATTGTGAATGTGTTTTTATGTTTCTATGTCCAACATTATTACCACTTATGAAAACTCTTTGCTTTGGAATAGCCAGGTATTGCTTTTCACAGACATGGCTGGGTCTCTCAATTTTCACATTCTACACCCGGTGAATATTCTAATAGTGATATTTCTCTGTTTGATTCTGAGGTAGCGAGAGAATACTGTATTCACTTGTATCTGCAATCTAAAATGTATTTGAGAAATGTTTGTCTTTCTCTGTAGATGTCACTCAGCACAGTAAGGTGGTGGAGGTGATTCAGAGAGGAGATCTGCTGAGGTCTCTGCGCAGTCTGAGAGAGCTACAGCCCTGCAGTGCCCCCCCTCTCCTCGCTCACTTACACAGGTCAGTACACACATTTATTTTTGATCAACTCGTACTTATATCACAGTGATGGACGTCTTGTTAAGCAAGTTATCTCTGTTGTCATCCAGGCTGTATGAGAAGCACGGGGAGGCGGCTGTGCGCTCGTTTACGCAGTTTTACCCCACGGTAACTCCTGCTGATATCATGACCATGGCTCAGCAAAGCCACTTCCTGGCATACCTGGATAATCTGGTCCAATCTCGAACTGAAGAGGACAGGTACACATTTAGTTTTATCTATTTGTTAAAGACTTTGAACTCCCCTTGTTGCTGAATTTGACATTTCTTCCTTAGGTTATCCTTTTTGCAGTCCCTTCTTGAACCAGAATCACTCAGACAGGATTGGCTGGAGCTGGCACTTACCCACGATGCACCTCAACGCTGTGACACGCTGAACCCCGATGGAGAGCCCAGGTTGGTCCTGTTTGTGTGTGGAAAATGATGTCAAAATAGGTTTAAGATTATTCATTTGTAACATTCACTTAAAGAGCAAGTTTCCAGTGTGAGATGGACCTAGTTAATATCATGGGTACATTTCACTTCTGGATTCTATTTATGCCACACGAAGGTACAAAAATAAAGTGAAGTTTATTAATAAATATGTGACTCCTGCTGCAGGTGGCACTCTCACTGTTTCAGCTGGGGTTACGGACGCCTCCTGTCTCTCCTAATCCGTCTTCCTGCAGATCTGTCCTCCAAGCAGAAGATGGCCGAGACGTGCCGCAGTCACGGGTACTTCTAACTTTCCAAAGTCATTTTTTGCTGGTTTTTGTTTTGAAGTTTACTTTTTGACATCATGCATAATGTGTGTGTGCAGATACTGGACGGGCTACATCTCGCTCTGCTGTGAGCTGCAGCGCCGCACCGAGGCGTTCTCCGCCATCTGTCGGCTGGATGACATCAGTCTGCTGCAGGAAGCTGGTGGTAAAACCTTCACACAGAATCACAATTATTATTTCCAATTGGCTGAAAGGAGAGTTCATAACAGCAGCATACATCTAGTCAACAATCGTTCATGTAGTCTCAGTCCTGTCAAATGTCCTTGTTAGTTTTATTATATTTAGTCATCCATCTTTTTGAGTTGACTAAATGTCTGGACATTTTAGTCACACAAAACTGTAAACGTTATCGTATAGTTTATTCAATGAAAACGATTCAATACTATTACTTATCATACTACAGTATAATAAACATTCTAGATAACCTAGTCTACCAAAATATAACGTAGTTTCTTTCTCTTAAGCCCTGCTGTTGCTTGCTCCAAACAATGGTCATCCTTTTTTACACTAAGGATCTAGTCATACATCAGTAGAAATCCTTTTTATTAATGACCCTATTGGCACTCATCCCCCAAAGAAACAACCCTCTGACAAGTTTGAAACATAAAACCCCATGATAGTCTAATGTCTGTCCTGTCCCTCTGTTATTGTCCAGGAGTGGAGCCTCAGACCCTGGAGGAGTGGAAGCTGTTGATCCGGTTGTCTCAGCGCTGCAGCGGGGCCACAGACTCAGATCAGCTGACCGGTGTGAATGGGAGCGGCTGGTCCAACGGCTCAGAGGACTGTGGAGGGAAGATGAGCCCGGAGACCCTGACCCTGATGCTGGCTCGCTGCGCCGGGCCCGACCGCGCCATGGCTGTCCTGGAGGAGTGCGGGGTGCAGCTCGACCTTTCACCCCACTCCAAACTGGTCTGTGAGCTGCTGAGAGTGACTGAGAAGAGGCAGAGGTCAGGAATTACTGATTATTATTTTCATTCATTAGCAATATTATTAAATGCACCTCTTGAAGAGAGCAGGGTTAAAAAGGTTCAGTGGTTCGGCGTGCGTAGGAGGGGGAAATGTGTTCATTTGCTCATCTCTCTGCATTGACCAATCACCTCGCTACTCATTCACCATGAGTGTGACCCAGGTACCACATCAAAATGTCACGTTGGCTATCCTGAATTCAAAATGGTGGAATATACTGATATCAGGACAGCAGAAAGCCTACACATCTTCTGTGGCAGACTGAAAACCCACCTATTTTGACTGTTCCTTGGCAAATATATAGAATTTAATTTTTTTAATGATCTGTTCGCTAGGAAGCACTCAAGGCTTATTTGAAGCCAATGCAGTAGCACTTTCAATGCTTGGCTCATTGGAAGCTAATACTTGAAGGAATCCTGCTTTTTCATGGTTAAATGCACTTATTGTAAGTTGCTTTGGATAAAACTGACTGCTAAATCAAATGTAATGTAATGTAATGTGTTTGACAGTAATCAATTGAGTCTAAAAATCACCTTGTGATATTTAGATTTTGAACCAAAATGTGTGAATGAAGTATGAGATGACAGCTCGGGAACTGCTTCTTCTATAATTAAAGAGAATCAGTTTCATTTGGCTGTTCTTCATCTTGAGGTATTGCATTTCTAAATATTTAGTTTTTGTTACAGAGCGATGATCCAGACGATGCTGGAGCGCTGCGATCGGTTCCTGTGGTCTCAGCACGCCTAACTGAAGACCAGCTGCAGCTTCTCTACATAAACAACATAACTAACACTGAAATGTACCTGCTGTGAAGCTGCAACCCAATGTATGCGCTGTAATTAATGTCAAAGCTTTCAAGTTCAATGAAGGAACGTGTCTTCCCAATACTCTCCACAGTATTATTAGCTTGAACATTGGCACGGAACTTGCTGGATCACGGATACTTTTTTTATATATAAAAATGAACTAAACAGGTAACACATGTGAATAAAAACTGTCTATAAGATTATTATAATTTTTTATGTTTTAAGAACAAAATATTTGTCATTAATATGCACGACTAAGTCCCCGTAAAGAGCAGAAAACAAACACAATTTTAACAGCAGATGTCTTAATTAATTAATTTTGTTTATTTTCCGCAAACAGCAATAAAAATGTAAAACAATAATATATATATATTCTTTTTTTTACTGTTTATTTATTTTTATTTTTTGTCTTTAAAGTCATATAAAATGCATGTTTCTGCTCCTTACTTTAGTTTTACTGCACCATTTAAGTTATCAAACGGGTATAAAAGAATGTGATCTGACTCTTTATCTACCTTTACGTCCGTGCTTATGTTTTCTTCAACGGGACACGAAGTATTTTCTACATTTCAGATGTTGAACGTCACATACAGTAGATTATGGATAATGTGGAGATCATTTTAATAACTTGGTAACGAAATGGGACTGATGACTCGGTTGATGGTATCTCACACCTGGAGCATCAAAGGCAGGACGGGGCGGCCTGGTGCGTCACTGTTGACATTTTAAGGCTTTCAGTGGACACAACTGCGCTCTGAGTCACATCCTCTGCACCCAGTTAACTGACCTTTATTTCTGACATACTTTCTTATGTTCTTCTTTATCAATGTTTCTTCATTTATTTCCCCGAATCCTTGTCTAAACGGTGATGGAGGAAGTATTCAGTTCCTGTCCTTTGATAAAAGTACTATTACCACTCCGTTAAATACCTTGTTATAAGTTATGTGTTGTATTAAAAAAAGTACGAGTGTATATTTAGGAACATATTGAAAGTAATCAATGCAGAAAAATGACACCTGACTGTACTAATACTTTACTTACTCATGTATTAATGTATAAGCAGGATTTTACTGTTGTAGTTGTGAGGTGAAGCTAATTTCTATTTATTTTGTACAGGATTGCAACTAATTATTTTCATTATGGATCAACGGCCTCAATGTTGAATCAATTCAGTTGCTTGTTTGATAACATTTCTCCATTTAATAATCCAAACTTGAAAAATATGAATACAAATCCATAAAATAATAACAAGGTTTTCCTTGTTATTATTTTATGGATTTGTATTCATATTTTTATTAAATCCTCACTTTTGAGAATAGAAGCTGGCATTCAATTTATATAAAAAAACTAATGAATGAATGAGCTCATCTTGTATTGTATACAGGGTCAGGTACAGTAGTGTTATTTTTACAACAGTGTCATAGTAAAGAAGCTTTTCATATGTTCTATATGTCAGTGTTAATCTCTATAGTAACTAATCCAATGAAATAAATGTAATGCAATAACAAGTAAAGGATTGGCTTATCTAAAGCCAGTTGAGTAACACTTGACATTGTTTGGCTCTTGAAACCTGATGTACTTATATGATTCTGTTTTCTTCAAGTTTGTATCTTGTTGGTCGAACGCACTTATTGTAAGTCGCTTTGGATAAAAGTGTCAGCTAAATGTAATGTAATGTAAAAGTACAATATTAGCCCTGAAATAAAGAAGAGTAAACTTGAGTTACTTGAGTAAATGTACTTGGTTAAATTCCACCACTGATGCTCACCCACCTGTCCTGTGTCACTGGCATAGGGACGATCAGATTGCAAGGAAAATCATCCATACAAAAAAGTACTGAATGTCATTGTGACATTTAAATGTGTTGCTGCTTCATAATAACAATTTAGTCTTTACAATGTGCTTCTAAGTTTGCTTCAACATTCAATATTTCCACCGCCAGTTTTTGTTTGTGTCCTCTGCTACAACTATGTATTCTCTCGAGGGATGGGTAGAATTGTGTAATTTCATTGAAATGATTCAAATAATGACAAGAGGTTTTCATCAGGCGGTACATTTGATTTGAATGTTATTAGGTAGAGGCAGTGAGTCGAGTGTTTGATGTTGCCTTCCTGTCACCAGGAGGACAGATAAGGGGATTCTGCACATACCTGTTGGCCCTGCTGCCAGTGTATAAAGGGCATCCTCGAAGCCCCCAAACACACACACACACACACACACACACACAAATGTGGGCTCTCAATATGAGTCACAATCAGCGCAGTGGTTAATTTCTTGAATCTCTTCTGCACTGATTGAACAGTTTTAGATGGACGCAGCACTCATGGTAAGTTCATTTGTATTTCCTTCTTAAGTTTATTAAACAAAAAAGGATGTTTCTCGAGTTATTCAGTCAGTTGTGTTTTGGTTTCAGGTGTCTGTCTCTCTGCTTGGACTGGCTCTTGTCCTGCTCTCCTTCCCTGAGCGTGCTTCACTGAGCAGAGTATTTGACAACACCTCAGGTAGGATTTCTGCTTGATTGTTTCTGATGCGTCCACATATTAAGGAGCTTTTTCTAACCGAATCTTTGTTTTCCTCTGTGGTGCGTCAGGATCTGTGTATCCAGGATCTGTCTTTGTGAAGGAGGCTCTTCAGAGGGCCATCGAGCTGACTGATGCTGCTTACTCCCGCACAAGTGAAAGGTAGAAATGACTCTATGGACACAATCAAAATACTTTACTTTTGTATTTACTTTTAATGCTACTTAATATTCTAATTACACTACAGCTAAGGGGCAAATGTTAAATGCATCGTCATAAAGCCCCAAAACAGGGCTGTATTTTTTGAGAAGCTCATGTAAAGGTGATTGGTGATTGTCAAAGTTAGTGATGCTGCAAATGTATGATGAATTCATAAAACATGATGCATACAGTACCTCTAGGTGAAACTTCCCAAAAGTATATAAAGGACTTAAATTAGCTCAAACCTAAACATCTACAGCAGTACAAATCAGAATACACATTGATACAGCAGTAATATAAATCAAAAAACAACATAAAATAGTAAAAACTGCCAGGGAACATATTTCTGCAATATGTGTCCTACTATAAATACTGATAATACTTACATACTATTACCTATGTAAAGTTTGACTGCAGGACTTAATTTATGGTGGATTAATTTCACATTGTGATATTAGTACTTTTAACTCAGTAAAGGATCTGAATACTTCCTAGGAAAAATCACATTTTATGGTTATTATAAGTCATTGTGTTGGCACCAATATCAAGTATAAAAAATGTTTCCAGGCTGAAGAAGTCTCTGTCCGAAGGCGCTTTGAGACCCAGTGACCTGCTGGCCCAGTTCAAACAGACTGAAGCCAGAACCAGGACTCAGATCCGAGCGGCCGAGCTGCTGGACAACACGGTGGAGCTGATCAGAGAGATGGTGTACACCCACACCATGGTGCAGCCCGACCCAAAGGGTACCGAGCAGCAACACTACACGTAGAAATATCTCTGACTATTTGAATAGATGTTGAGGTCATTTGTTCCTTAGTGCCCCCAGTTTGTGTAAATGTAGGCCAGTATTTGTTTGTATCGAGGATCTACTTGCTGTATTTCTCACTCAGGTCAATAAGGCAAAGGTAAATGATCTGATCAACCACTCCAAACAAGTTCAAACCAGCTTCTTCTTTTTTGATATTCCTTTTAAATATTGAAGTTATACTGTCTATGACGTGGGCGTTGTGTTTACTGTATGTTCCCAAAGAGCTTCTGAGTGACATGGACATGGAGGAGCTGCTGCTGGTGACCGGCTGCTCCACTGAGCTGCAGAGACCCAGCTGTGAGTCCGACTGTCTGTCCGAGCGCTACAGGTCCGTCACGGGAGAGTGCAACAACAGGTCAGTGCTTAAGAAATACATAGTCACAGAGCAGTGCTGTCATGAATAGGTTGCTATGTTTCTAAATCTGCCAAATAACTAGGAACCTATTATCTAACTTTCTCAACATTTAGTAGAGTAGAATCAAAAGGTAGCATCAAGCGTAAATAAAAAAGTACCGCTTAGAGGTTTTAAATACTGTTGGAAAGTATGGAATATGATTTTTAGCAAGGTCTATGTCTGGATAAGGATTGAGTTTTCCAAAAGTCTTCTAAAGAGTTTCAGGATTCCAAAAAATAAAAACCATAGCAGTTTACCATGGTGTTTGGAGCAGGGCATCAACACTACCAACCAAAAAGATGCATCCCTGTGCATTGAACTATCCAAAATCATTATGTTTCATTCTTAAACACAAAGAGGAAATATGGTACTGCACAATGAAGACTGTACTTTCAAGTGTATTTTATCTATGGTGATAATACTATTTTCTACTTAGGAAATGTTTTGAGGGCAGGAATTTTACTTGTATTGGAGTATTCTCACAGTGCAGTACTGAATACTTCTTCCATCACTGACTTTGTGTTTGTCGTGTTCTTGTTCAGACAGAATCCCAGATGGGGGGCTGCAAACATCCCATATTCCCGCTGGCTGCCTGCAGAGTATGAGGATGTGTGGGGGGTACCCAGAGGCTGGGATCCTCAGCACACCTACAATAACGCCACTCTGCCTCCAGTAAGAGTCCTGCAGCTGCTCTCAGCCGTCCTCTGTCCGTTAGCCGCTCTGACTCCTGTCTCTGTTTCAGGTGCGGAGGGTGTCTCAGGAGGTTCTGTTCACTCACAACGACAACATCTCTCTGGACTCGGCCCTGTCCCACCTGCTGGTGGAGTGGGGTCAGTGGATCGACCACGACGTGGTGCTGACCCCTCAAAGCCCCAGCACTGCCGCCTTCAGGACCGGAGCGGACTGCACACGCACCTGCAGCCGGGACGCACCCTGCTTCCCCATACAGGTGCCCCTCCACAGCTGCTGCTTAGTGTTCTTGTTCTTTGGCTTGATGGTCACACATCTTTAATTGTATTTGTAAGATACAACTTTTATAGAAATGTGGAACGTAATATTGTTTATACACACACTGAGATACAGTAAGTATTTAATTTATTTCAATGTTCCTGAAGTGTCTTTAATTTTAAAATATTACTTTTATTGATCGTGACAGAAATGTGTGTGCCTAATATTCTCGGTAGACATACTGAAATAAGTATTTTAATTATTTCAATGTTCCTCGTATACAATACAAAGTATACATACAATATAAATACTAAAAGGATGCCTATACGAAAAAAAAGTATGAATTGCTTAAAAGTAAAAAATTAAAATAAGAGCAAAGTGCAAATGAAGGTGCTTTACAATAATAAACAACTTACATGTGTTACATTGGTTCTTCATTGGCCCATGCCCAACCCTTCCACCAATTTCCATGAAATTCGGGCCTGTACTTTTTCTGTAATCCTGCTGACAAACACACTAACCAAACCAGGAACACATGCTCTTTAGCGGAGGTTACAAGTACTCTATTACTATGAAAGGAATATTTCTTTGGTTTAAAATCATTTTAGATTTCCCCTCATAAACTATAACTAATGTTAACCTCTCTCCTCAGATCCCTCTGTCAGATCCTCGCCACGGGGTCCAGAGTTGCATGCCCTTCTTCCGCTCTGCTCCCAGCTGTGTCCCGTCTTACCGCCACCGAGAGCAGCTCAACGCCATCACCTCCTTCGTGGACGCCAGCATGGTGTACGGCAGCTCCAGCAGCCTGGCCTCGGCCCTGAGGAACAGCTCCTGTCGTCTGGGCTCCATGACCCTCAACTCCCAGCACTCAGACCAGGACCTGGCCTACATGCCTTTCCTGCCGCGCCTGCAGGCTCATCTGGACCCCTGCGGCCCCCGAAACTCCTCCAGCTCTCGGGCATCGGACAGATCCAGCCACCAGGGGAACACCACATCCTGCTTTCAAGCTGGTGAGCGAGTGAATGTACCCGAGGTGAAGTTAGTTTTAGATTCTTTCTTTCTCAGTTGTACAGACTGCGCAGTCAGAAGATCCAAGCCCTCACTCTTAACCACTGGGTTGAATTAGGGGCCATCGATAAATTACCGTTTAAATAACACAAAACCAATGTTATTATTTTAAAGATCCTCTGTGATAACTTGCTCATGTTATCAAAAGTTTAGCTTGAAAGTATATAATTAATTTGTCTTATTTGACAAATCTTTTTGATAACTGATGTGTCATGACTTAATTGTACAAACACATTGTATTAGAAGAACACTGGAAACATACGTAAAGGCAAGATTTTTTTATTATTTAAAATATTTATATAAAACATTTTTGTTAATTTAGATAATAATATACTGTATGGATTTGGAGTCACTGGGTCACATGACATGGAAAGCAAGTAAAAAATATATATAATATAAAACGTGGACTAAAATCCATTAAAAACAGGTTGTCAAGTGTATTAATATTGTGCTGCATTGATTTGGAGTAATTAGGTCATATGACATGGAAGCTATTGAAAATAAGTTAGGCTACTAGAGTAAACGTACTGTTACATTTGACCACTGAGTAGTGAGCAATCTGTTCTCTGCTGGCTTCACTGGAGCTGTTGTTTATGATGAATGTTTCACAGGTGATTCCAGAGCGAATGAGCACCTGGGTATGATCGCTCTGCACACACTCTTTCTGAGAGAGCACAACAGGCTGGTCAGAGAGCTGCACCTGCTCAACCCTCACTGGAGCCCGGACACACTCTACCAGGAGGCCCGCAAGATCATGGGAGCCATCCACCAGGTATCCACCTCCACCCGTTCCCCTCAGACTACAGGATTTTCCAGTCCTCTGACCTACTTCCTTTCTCTCCCAGATCCTCACATGGGAGCACTATCTCCCGCGGGTCCTCGGTAAGAGCACCATGTCTCGCCTAATGCCTCCCTACGAGGGTTACGACCCTGAGGTGGATCCCAGCATCGCTAACGCCTTCGCTGCTGCCGCTTTCCGTTTCGCCCACGTCACCGTACATCCAGTGGTGACCAGGCTGGGTCCGGGATACACCCCTAACTCTCAGCATCCTCCGCTGCCACTGCATCATTCACTGTTTGCCTCTTGGAGGGTCGTGCAGGAAGGTAAAAATACAAAGCTGTCATACAAAGCTGTTTTTGTTTATCTCTTGTTTTTATTCTCTGTCAAAGCGTCTTTGAGTTTTTAGAAAAGCGCTATATAAGTAATTATATAATAATGTATTATTATTATTATTCAACTCCAAAAACTATTTACTAACTATGTCTGTTTCTATCTTTTCTCCTGGTGTCAGGTGGTATAGACCCTGTGCTGCGTGGTCTGTTGCTGTCTCCGGCCAAGCTGCAGACCCCCGGGCAGATGATGGTGGAGGAGCTGACGGAGAGGCTGTTTCAGGCTCAGGGGGGGATGCCTCTGGACCTCGGGGCCCTTAACCTGCAGAGGGGCCGGGATCACGGCCTGCCTGGTACCAGCTTTATGACTTCAGCCACAGTATAGTGTTACTTTAACATACCGATGTCACCTGCTGACTGGTTAAGAGACATTTCAACAAAGGGTGTAGTTCGGTAGAGAGAAAGGAGTTCCTACATGAAACTGCTCACAACAAGGTCTTGATATCCATGATATCCTGAAAGATATATTGTGGTTGATTTTTTATTAATTTGTATTCTTTTGATGCTTTGAGCACCGGCTTTTTTTTTGATTGCCCTTTAATTAGATGATCATCTAGTCCAATTATATTGGAGTAAAAGCAGACATTTGCATTAGGCAACTCACACCCAAACAATCTAGATTGATAAATAAATCAAAAGGAAGAGGAAATATTCTGTATTTTTTAAATCTTTGGGTAAACCGTCCATTTAAATATATGTTCTTTGCTATAGAACAATGTTTAGTCTTTAGCCCCAAAAGTTAATATCTGAAGTTTATTAAGTTATTCTGACTTTTAGTCCAGGTGGTCTTAGTCACAGCCTGAACCCCTGTACTTAAAGCTCTCCCCTCACTTCCTGTCCCACCAGGATACGGCTCGTGGAGGAAGTCCTGCAGCCTCTCTGTTCCTAACACCACATCAGACCTGGCAGAACTCCTGGGAAACTTCACGTTGGCTCACAAACTGCAGCTCCTGTATGGGACGCCGCAGAACATCGATATGTGGGTGGGGGCGATCTCTGAGCCCGCTCTGCCCGGAGGAAGAGTCGGACCACTGCTGTCCTGCCTGCTGGCAAGACAGTTCAGAGCGCTGAGGGACGGGGACAGGTGAAACCAACTACTTACCATTCAAATTAGGGCTGCATCTTACAATTACTTTGTAGACTAATTAGTCAATGTTTACAAGACAAGAACACGTCAAAAATATCCATCCCAGGTTCTCCAAATCCAAGTTGATCTCTTTAGATGTCAGTTTTTCTTAATCCAAAGCCCAAAGATATGAACTTAAATATAAGAACTAGCAGATACAAACAGAAACATCTCCACATATAACAGGCTGAAAACAGCATTTGTGCCATTTTTGTGTGTTGCACCTCTGATTTTGATGCAAAAAGAGAAACCAGAAACTGTCTTTTCTCTCCCTAGGTTCTGGTGGGAGGTGGAGGGAGTGTTCAGCAGCTCCCAGAGGAGACACCTCCACGCCGTCTCTCTGTCCCGCATCATATGTGACAACAGCCGCATCACTCACGTCCCCGTTGACCCCTTCTCACGCACCGAGAGGCCAGAGGACATGCTGCCCTGTTCTCACCCACTCATCACCCACCTCGACCTCAGCCCGTGGAAAGAACCAGACACAAGTGAGGAAGAGGAAAATAAAACAGTGTTGTGTCAGGTTTGTGTTGTTGTTTTTTTACATGGATCTTTCCTCTCTCTTTCAGATCCCAGCTGTGGTCCCATACCCAGGATTCAGTCTGGCTACTCTCTTCTCTGTGGCTCTGTGATTCTGTTTCAGTGTCACTCTGGCTTCAAGCTGCTGGGATCTTCATCCATCAGCTGTGATCCAAACAGCCAGCAGTGGAGCCCCACACCCCCAACATGTCAAGGTACCGAGACTGAACTGGTGACCTATAAATATGTTAGGCGAGAGATTGAGATTGGGCTGGTTTATTGGTTCCAAATCATATCTAACAAAATAGTTTGAGGGTGTTGTCAAGATTCAGATGTGAACCACAACTTTTCAATTCATTTTAGATCTTGAAAGCCTCAGCAAAATCAGTAAAACAACCTACCGTTAAGGTCCATTCAATTAGCAATAATTGTGAATAACTGGCCATTAAAGAGAAAAAGCATGCAACACTGATTCAAGTGTTTCTTCCTGATTGTTGCAGATATAAACGAATGTGAAGAGCAAACTTCTGTCTGCCCACAAAACTTGGAGTGTCTCAACACGCCAGGCTCCTTTATCTGCTCAGGTTGGTTCAGATCACTTCATTATGCTCTTCTTTCAAGCTCATTGTCTGCCTGTTCCATATGAAGTGACAAATCCCTCCATACTTACATTGTTGATTTGACATGCACAACATAAAAGCATATTTTATTTACCATCTTCTTAATGTCCCTTCATGTTTGTGTGCTCTGATCCAGAACCCTCCTCGCTGTCGGTCGTCTCTGTCGTCTCTGTCGTCGCTGCAGTGATAGTGGTGATCGGTAGTGTGGCCGCACTGATAGTTATCATGATCTTTTATCCAAGGTAAGATACAAATCAATGTTATGGCTCCAGATTTAGCTATTTTATACAAATAGGACAGCTACATATTCCCAAATCCAAGTGTCGAAACACTTAACAGTAACTAAATCCCTGTGAAACAGAAAATCAAATCTTAAAGAATAAATACTTAAAGTGGATCTATCATGCTATATTTGAATAATATATTGTAGGGCCTTATACCTATATAAAACATGTCTGTGAAGTTTTTTTTTCAAAATACCAAACAGATCATGCATTTTAGCCATGCCTCATTTCGCTCTATTTGCTGTATTCCAGCCCTGTTTTTGCAAGGGCTGATTCTGTGGCAAATGAGCTGCAGCTGACCACGCCCCCCTGCAAAGGCCCCTCTCATTCCCCTGATAGGTGGGGAGTTGCCCATATAGGCGGAGCACCCCGTTTCTGACGTCAGAACAATTTCAAATCTGTATCAGTCTGTATCAGATCCATTGCAGCCCCGTTTTTTGAGATTTGGGTATGGAGGAAAAGAGAGAGGGTTGTGTTTTTTGACACTTGGTGAGTTCCCTGACACACCAGGGACACATATGCACGTATAAAAGACGTACAAAAGTGCATTTTGCATGATAGGTCCCCTTTAAAGTTAAAAAAAAAAACGAAAACGAAAAGACAAGTTTCTATTGAATACAGTAAATCACAACATCTAACACAAGTATTTTCTTGATGATGTAAACAAAAACAACAATTGTTACTAAAGCTGTTAGACAAATGTAGAAGTATAGAGTAGCATTAAATGGAAATACTAAATGTGTAATCAAGTGCAGCACTAACGCAAGTGTAAAAATACATATTTAAAAACTATAAAGTGAAATAAATGCAATTATACATAGTTTATTTGTCCCTGAAACAAAATAATATAAAAGGAAGTTTTAAAGTGAAAAATGAATAACTAAATCTCTTTCTTCTAGATATTTCCCCAAGAAAGAAGAGTTGGTCAATGCTGGATGTTGCCAGGGGAAAAGTTAAAAAAAGAGTTTGGTAAATGTATGTTCGTTCTCCATCAGTATGTTATATAAAAACTAACTTACAGTATTCATTATTTCAAGTTGCAAACAGTGTATATTGATCTGTGTAGAGGTAGAATGTTTTCTCGTTTCAATTTATAATAACCATATAAGGTGTGATAATCATTTTTCAACAGTTTGTATCGCTGATTATACTCATTCATTTGCAAGTCAAACTACTTATTAATTAAGGTTGTAATCTGTGTGATTAGGTCATGAAAACAGAACAACAAGCTTACCAAAGACCTTTTAAATCCGGATGCTGAAATCTTACAGGAATGTCAGCTCCAAAAACAGATTTTCATACCTCAAAGCCCCTCTGAGCGGCTCCCTGTGCCTGAATCCTGCTTACAAATCTGTTAAATAACAGAGCGTTTATTACCGGGGGTTACCCGGCTGTTCCTGCCCACGACCTTAATCGAAAGCCAGATCAGCGCCATGCCCTTAAGGAAGTACAGATGGCAGTTTATGGCCATTCTGAGCTGGGGCAGGGGGCTATATTTAGAGAAAAACCTCTAAAACTAAATGTATGAAAAACTAGAATTACAATTATTTCACGATTTCTTGAGTTATGGCCACAAAGATGTTTTGTGAGGTCAGTGACCTCCAAATTTGAAGAAATGTCCTCAAGGCATTCCTTAAATGAGTCTTAGACAAACAGACAAGAAAACATAAATACCTCCTGCCATAAAAACTCAGATATGATTAGATATTAAAGTGGAACATTTTACAAGAAATTCTCAAAAACTTTAAAATAAAGTCTAAAGAACTTGAGTTTTTTGTGTCAAGGAAACACATTGGCTGGTTCAGTTTCATCTCAAATGCAAACAAGGAGTTTTTTCTCTGAATATCAGCCACTTGTTTTTTGATAACCTACAATTTGACAAATTATACAAATGTTTCTGTGTCATCTGGTTCTGATCAAATGAATCCCTGTGACGTTCCCACACTAAACATCGCAAAGGGCCTAAATCAAAGACAAACCAGCTGCTTCATTTATCTGCTATCAGATTTTATTCAAGCGAGACCTATAAATCACACACAGTACAAAGGAGATGTAGTGAGGCTTCAATGTGTTGTCTTTAATGGAGTGTTTTGATTATCAGTACACTGAGGTTAGGCGCCTTACAAGCCTAAAAAAGGCTAAGAAGCAGTTATTATTGCACTTTCTGAAACAATATTCATTATTTTAAAATTGTTCATTCATAATAACTAATCTATACTGTAAAGCACAACCAATACACATTGTATAATATGGCTACATTCATGCAATGTTATGTATGACTTTTAATTGTCTTTACATCCTCTTCATTGCATAAAAAACATTTCATATTGCAATCACTTGTATTAAAGCTTGTTCATTTTCGGACTACATTGTGAAACTGTCACCATTTTGAGCGTGGGGATGTCATAACTAAATCATTAACAATATTTATATAATGAAGTGCAGGTCAGGCTGACATGAAGCTGTTTCTATTGTGTGAATTTGAAAGGCATCGAGGACAGGTAGTGCAGGAGGGCATCAACACATGTAAGGCCATGCTGAGAGAAAGTCTGTTGTGTTTGAGCCGATAGCCGAGAACTAGTGTGAATTATATTTATGTAAAAATACTTGTTGTGAAAAAACCACAGATATTGCTTATCTCACAGTAGAACTATAACATTACATACAAATATGTAATACTTGAGGTAAGAGACCAACTAAACTCTCTACACTGCTGTCATGCGTTGTGCTCACCTTTACATGATACATAAAGTCTATTAGGATCAACATGAGAAGTTTACTCCACCGGGGAGAATTACTGGAGGCCTGCAGTATAACAGAAATATATTTTACATATCTGGGAATAATGCTTTTTTTAATGTCATGTTTCCTTCTTGCTGTGCTGGTTTAACTCTTTGTAATATTGAATAAAAGAGGCACATGAACTTTCTCTGCTTCCCTTGTTGGTGGACGCCTGCTGCAGCACTGATGCTGTACAACCTCTGCTACACAAGCTAAAGACCTGATTGTTACCACAGTTTAACCCTGATCTTAAAGATGACGGAGGTCTCTAGCCCTGGTCAGTGAGGTAGAAACCTAACTTAGCCACGGTCATCTCTCTGCGGAGACGCATCACCTCCCAGAACATCTGCTCCGCTGGACCGAGGCAAAGAGACAACAAAAGATACAACATGTCAGCTGCCTGGAGGAACTCGGTTTGCAAACAGTGGTGGATAGCATGGACAAAAATAACAGTCAAGATAAGTGATTGTTACGTTATGATTATGTTGACGCAAGTACAAAAGTATCTCAAGTAGTGAGCTACTTCATTAAATGCAATTTATAATATTGATGTATTTAAGGTGATAATCTTATTTCTTTCTGTCAGACAATCGCTATGATACATGTGCACTCAGCTAAAAATATTAAGCTAAATGTATCTGTAAAAATAGCATGGAGTGTGTAGCCCAATGTAATGTACAAGTACATAATATGCTATTGCAAATGTACTTGGCCAATAATAGAGTAGTCTGCGTAACAACTATTCTTAAAAAGCACAATATATTGAGAAAGATTAGTCTATGAAACAAAGAACATGTACAAAATACAATATAATGCATTACTACCAATCACTGTTGGCCTAGTAAGAATCTAAGTATAAAAACTGACTCTTACTAACTACATTAAACAATATATTAAATTCACTTTAGTGTTAACTTACCATCATGTCTCACCAGGCCCTGCTGGATGTAGCGGATATAAGTAAAGAAATTGCAAACAGCCGTGATCTAGAAGGGGGAAATAAGGACAAAATAAAGACGAGGTCACATGTAGCAACACTTGTGTCTGATGAAGGCTACAGAGATAAGGGATAGTTACCCGTGCTCGGCTGGAGGGAGAGATGCAATAGTAGCTCCCTTTGTCACCAAGTTGAATGCGATGTCTGCAGAGGCGCGACATGCCGCTCAATGCACATTTTCTACAGACAGAAACACAGGCTGTCAGAAAATGAAAGAGACCTGGATACACAGTCATGTTTTATCACAGCAAACGTAAGATACATCTCATCAGGTATTATCAACAATTCAATGTGAGAACACAGTCCAGGTGCAAAATGATTTAGTAGTGGATGGCAAGTGCACACTCAGAGAAAGTTAGTCGCTGGAAGAGAAACAAGAGACATGCAGAACTGGTTAAGTTACAGATTTCTTTACAACTTTCCCAAAGTCTGGAAAGACAGAATTCATTTCATGCTTCAGTTCTTTGTGTTAGTGAAAAGCTGAACAGCTGATTGTTCCTGAGAGGACTTACGTCTCTATTGCTGCTCTAAAGCCACTGGAAGAAAAAAATTAAAGATTTTTTTAATCAGACAGTGATTAGAAACCCCTCCTAAAATACCTTCAGCTATGACCTCTAATCATCAGAGGAGATTACAAAACCAAAGAAGGATGGATTATCAGTGTTGACTTGTTTAGCAGTGAATGGTGAGATGAGATGATAGATGATAAGAACAGACTGAACTCACTTTGGGCCGCCACACTCGACAGCAGAGGCTTTAACCATGGGTAACGCTGACATGGCCACCGGCTCTATGGTCAAAGAGTTGTTTTCCACTGCGCTCTGCACCAGCTGTGACAGCTGTGGACAACAGGAATCATTATCAATAACTTCAGACACTAAAATACAGCACACACAGCGAAGTGTTCATGTAAAGAAGCAATGAGATGCTGACCTCAGACTTTGTGAAGGAGAGGCAGGGTCCGATGTCTTCTCTGTAGACTCGACTCAAGAAGGCAGAGGAACGCTCCACACTCAGGTTCTCCTTCCACATCAAAAACTCTGCATACAGAACGGAGTCCATCTGCAAGAAGAATCCATCACTTATTAAACTGTCAACTATAGGAAGTGATACTTCCTTTCTTCCAACCCTACATAACCCAGTTTAATTAGGGAGCGTTGCGATGCACAAGATGACAACACATTCTAAACAGATACAAGCAAACTGGCTTGCTATTACAATACATATAATATTGTGCAAAAACACTAAAGAGGTGATTTGGAAAGTCTAGAAATGACAACAGAGCAAGACATCCCAGCACATTTCCAAATATCATTCAATAACTATTTTTGATCGATAAACATTAGAAAAACCTGGAAAATGGATTGTCCAAAAACGTTTTGGGCTTCACCAAAAAATAAATAAAAAACAACACCATTAAGGAAAGTCAGTCAACACAACTCTAAAAAGACATAAGAGCAACAACAAGACAGTATATATATATACAGGATGTACTGAGGCTATAGGTGCTTTGAGATAAATGCTAATTAAGTCTTGCTAAAGTTGATCATTCATAATGTTAACCAGGTTTAGAGCCTAGCATGATACATTGGTTATATTTGCTAATAAGCACCAAACATAAGTAAAGCTGTGGTTAATGGGAATGTCCTCAGTCAGAAATGAAGAGATTAACGAAGACAAACCATTAAGAAGATGTGGAACTATATTTACAGGATAAGTGAAAACATTTACCTGATGGTAGCACCAGAGGAAAAGTTAGCAAAACCGTAAATATCTGAAACATCTCAACAACTATTGCATTCATTGGAATTAAATGTGGCGATCACTAGAGCAAACCATGGTTAAGAATCAGGAGAAAACACAGAAAGCTGGGTAAAGATTTTAAAGAAGTGAAAGAGACGAAAGGTGCTAAGAATTCACTTTTTCTACCAGCAAATCCATTAATCTTATGACGCTTTTGTTCTTGCTGCGTACTTTCACAACCTATTTTTCACAGCCGAATGTGTCATCCAATTACTTATGTGAAAATTATTTTTAAAAAAGGGAATATGTCCTAAAATTGTTACTCTCGAAATACAAATGTCAGCTTTTTCCACAACCAGACAGACATTGTTTTGTGAATAAATCATTAGTTGCACTTGTACTTTAAAAAGGAAATGGGCAAATGGCTAACAAATTCAAATAATAACATTACACTTAGCTAGAAAACTATGCTTTAAAATATAAGGGTCCATATCCTTCAGAAAAATTGGATTTAGAAGCAACACATTTCATTTTGTATGTCTTTCTGGACAACTTTAGACTGATGCTCTCAGACTGATAAAGATTTTACCGAAGAGATACAGCGTATTTTTGTCACTTTAACAATAAGGAAGGAATAACACGCTCATTGTCCCATAAAAGCACAGTTATAGAAAATACGTCATGCAGCTGGTTGAGGTAGGGCAGTTACCTGTCTGCTGTCAGTGCACAGCCCCTCCCCCCGCTCCTGCCAGTACCGGTCAAAGGTCACATTGACAGACTGGCCAGGAACCAGGCAGAGAATCAGAGAAAGGAGAGCAGGAACAGCAGGCTGAGAGACGAAGAGACATCAGAGACAGAGAGGAAGAGCAAGTCAGGGAGAGGTTAGTACTGAGGGAAAGGAAAATAAGAGAACTCAAGATACAAGTGACTGGAAACAGGAAGGTAGAAACAGAGAAATGCCAAAGGAGACAAGAGGGACATTTACAACCTCATTGCGGTTACCTCTCTGTCCTCTTTGGCCGCAGGCTGAATGGAAAGCGAGGTGTTTTCTTGTTTTCCAGGTACAGATGGAAAGGCCCCGCTTGCGCTTTTGTTGCGGATGTGGCTCCCGACGTGTCTGTACCCCACCCTCGCTCCCGACGCCTGTAGCTGAGGATGCAGCTGGCGGTTTGGGGAAGAAGGTGTTGATGTCAACACAAGAGTCTTGAGCGCTGTCACCTCTGCCTGAAGAACATCAATCTGGGAGACAGAAAATATACAGAGAAACAAAAAGTTAAAGAGACAAAAGTCTGATGATGGGAAGAAAATCAATAAGGGAGGGAATTCTAATGTTACAAAAACATCACACACCTTTCCCTGAGCCTCCTTCAGTTGTTTCTCCGCTCCTGCTTGTTTGACGTTAGCTTCATTCACCATCTTATGAGCTTCCTGTAAGGATGGAAATGGTCATAGTTACACAAGTGTTGTCCATCTATGCTGTGGTTTTTAAGAAGTCGGGAATCTCCAATCAGTTGGGCAATTTAATACTGAGGTCTTTTGGGTCCTGCTTCTAGTGGCCTTATGATGAACTGCAGTTTGAGGTTTTTGCAGTCAGCAGAGAGCATCTGTTGTCGTTACCTCGAACAGACTGGCAGTCAGCTCCTCCAGCTCCTGCTCCAGCTGATTCCTGACCCGCGACAGACGCTCACACTCCTTGTCCTTTAGTTTCAGTTCCTGAATGTGAAAGAGAAAATGTCACAACCACATTTAACAAGGAAGGACATTTGCATTGTCAACTTTTTTTCAGGTTACACAATGCTTCATGTGTGTGCGATACTAGAAAATAGGTTACAACACCTTCTTTGCAGCGTCCAGCTGTTCCGTGAGGATCTCAGAGCCCTTTTCTCTGATTTCTTTTTCTTTGATCTCCAGCGACGAGCTGCGATGCCGGGAGAGGACGCCATGGGCTCTGGATGAGGGGGGCCCAGCCGAGCCTCCTCCCTCCACTCTGGACTTCGGATCTGGATCCAGATCTACCAACCTTCACACAAACAGATATATAATCATTGTTATTGAGTGAACAATCATTTTTCATATCCACTCCTGGATTGCTATAAAGACAGTATGGAATAAAGGGGTTGGTGTGATGATAAATTAGGACTGATTACACTTCAATTTGATTGTCCCGTTTGCTTTCTATATATGCTTTCATTGTGACTGCAAAGGGCTGCATATGTAAGTCAACTTCTGAGATAACTCTGCTGCAAAACATTGAACTGCAGCATCAATGTGAAATACTGTTCATTGTCGTTTACAAATAAAAACATTTTTCAGTATCATTAGCATCATTTTCATATGAGTAGGTAGTACGGATCACATAGTGAGATCATCATACAAATATTGATAACTAATACCAATATACATTCAGTTGATAGTTAAAAACATTTAGCTAAACATTCATATAAATCGTTCAAAATGTTTTGCTACTTTAGTTTTCAAATAATGCTCAGTTTAGAGAGCAGAATGGAAGCTGACCACATCAAAAATATCTTTCTCCTTAGTGACTCTCTCACTGAGTTATAGCTGGAAGTGTTATCATTAACAATGTTAAAGACCTCTCAGCAGTGGTTTATAGTAACTAGGTACATTTACCCAAGTACAGTACCATTTTGAGGTACTTCTACCCAACACAATTTGGAGGTAAAGCGTGTAATTTTACTCCACTACATATATTTAATATCTTCAGTTACTTTGCCGATTTGGATTAATAATAATAAATCATTAATGTGAAATATAATCAACTCTTAAATCAGACTTTAGTTACACCTGGAGTAAATTCACAATCTACCCTACAGCATAGCCTACACGGTAGGCCAATTAGAATCAAAACATGATATAGCTACTATTCTGAAATTGGCCAATGTGCATAATGAGTAGTTTTACTTTCGGTACTTTAAGTATGTTGATGCCAAAACTGTAGTTATTTTACTTGAGCAACATTTTGATTGCAGGACTTTTACTTGAAACAGAGTATTCCTACACTCTGGTACTTTTACCTAGGCACAACATCTAAGTACTTCTGTCACTTCAGCTGGTGGTGAAATCTGCATTAGAAATCCCAACATTTAGATTTAATGTTGTGTAGTTTTTCCATTAAACTCATGCTCAAAGCTCACAAACTACAACACATTAGCCCGACCTTGCAGCTAGCTGCTCGTTAGCTCCCGGGTACAACTTTTGACCAGGGAGAGGTTTCCCCTCAGTATCCGCCCTTACCCTGTCAGTGTCCGGCGAGCAGATATAACCCACCCGTCCTTTCTGAAGTGTGTCCCCTCCAGGGTCCTTCAAGGGTTGTTCTCGTGTTAAATGAACAAATAATTGACGTTAACGGAGCTAACGATAGCTGGTTTTAGTGAAAGTAATCTCAGCCGCTTTAAATCAGCGCAGGAATGCGGACGCTGACGTAGACAATAACAACAACAGCAGCAGCAGCCGCTCAGGGAACAACAATAAATATCTAAAAGTGTAACACCGACTTTGTTATCACTTTTGCAGCTTTGTCCTTCTCTGTTGTGTCTCTTCTAATTTCCAGTCAAGAAAAACGATTGTCTCTGCTCCCAGTTTCTGCCTCTTTCTCAGCGGTCACATGACAGAGCATCCACTCCCAGATCCAAGCTAACATCAGCACTTATACCATAAACTCAGTTACTTCCATGAGTTATACTGACACCTCATCATTATGTTAGCCGTTTGTCTCTTAGTGGAAATATGAGAGGCTCTTACAGCTACATATAAAGAAGACGTGGGCTTTTATGCTCTTATATATAAAAATAGGATATGATTAGCTTTCTCAAAATTATGAATTCATTTCTCAAAATAGCCAACTAAATAACAATCTCCAAATAGTAAATGTGAGTCTAGAAATAATGTAGGTTCAAGACAGTCAATAATTTAAGACAACTCATGATTTTGAAATTCTAACTCATTATTTCAAGAAGGTTTATCCTTATTTAACGATACTATCAAATTCGAGATTGGTAAACCAATTTTTGAAAAAGTCCTGACAGAGTTTCACATTATTTCAAAGGCATTCAAACATTCGGCCAACATTATGTTCTTCAGATAGCCTATAGTGTCTTCGTGACATTGATTGTCAAACAAAGTGCACTGCCAGTATTGTACAATTGTTGTTTTAAATATAAATGTTTAGTCTAGTTTTTAAAGAAGGGGTGTTTTTTACCCTAAATATAAACAGAGGTATAACCTTTATTTCCCCTAATTTCCTGTCAGCTCTCTCCTGTACTCTCTAATAAAGGCAAACAACAACATCAAAACAAGTCCTGATCAGACCCCGCACAGACCTCAAACCTGCATTAATGCACTCACTCTAAATATGGTGCATAGATTTCACTTTCTTTCTTTCCTTTCACTACATTTGCCTAAAGCCTTTAATGCAGAATAAGGCTTTACATGCAAAGCTTAGTTATCAAATGGCATTACTGCCATTGTGCTAACCTGTAGGGAGCCAAATCTAACACTTCATGATCTAGCACTGAATCTTTTTTTTAAAAGTCTTGTCTCCTGTGATTATGACTTAAAATGAAATGAACAATGAAGTTTTAGCAGCTTTTTTTGGTCGGGATCATTATTCTAAGTGTTTGTTGTTCGGATAGTCATTTGGACCAAGAAGCCCTCCTGATCTAAATAAGACTAAAAGCATTGATGTTCTACAAAATTAGAATAACAGACAAATGATCCTGACAAAATAAAAATACTTTTGTTTTTAACCTGGCAGAGCTGAAATATGTAAGGAACTTAGAAAAACTCTCCTGGAAATACCTTTTGTTTAGCCATTTTTAAATCATAAACAGAGGGGATAGACCATTAAGGATCAGACTCAGAACAAGGGTCAACATAATTTCTTTCTCATCTTACAGGGCTTCCATAATATTTAAGTATATTGGTGAGATCAAATTCATCATCTTTGTCACTCACCGTCCAACAACACATCCTATCTCCTCAGCGTCCCTGTTGCACTTGTGTCTGGCGGCTGGCTGTCCCAGGATATCAGGTTTCCCGAAAAACACGGTTGAGGAATACACTGATATTCCAGATTTCCCTTTGATGATTTCATATCCTGGGCTGGCTGTTGTTGAAGGTGGTGGAGAAGAGGAAATCTGGACGCTGTGAATTCCCTCAAAATGATCCATGTCTCTCTCTCTCAGGCAGTGCAGAAACTCATCAGAAACCTCTAGACGTCTGCTCTGGATTTACTTTAAGTCTGTTATTATATTTTTCACTTCAATGGAGAAAAGAAAGAGTTAAAGAATGCAGCTTTAATTCTCCTAAAAACTAAATAAGTTTCACTAAACAAACCTTCACTCAAAGTCCTGCAGTAATCAGTGGACAAGTCATGACCTCTACAGTGTTTGAATAACTTACACACCTCCCTCACTTGCAGTACTGCAGAGCCAGAAAAGCTCTTATATTTGCAGGTTCTCATAAGGACTTTATTTCATTCTTAAAAACCCATTGTAAACATACCAGCCTTTGTTAAGAACTGTAGCGTGCAAGTATCACGCACATGTGGAGACTTAATCCAAGATGATATAAGGACAGAGAAATACACAATATACTCACCAAAGTGTTCAACACTGATCTCAAAGTGTTATAGAGCATCAAAAAACTGTCAAAACTGAAAAGAAATACATCTTTAAGAACAAAAGGATCAAATTGAGTCCGTACTTCGCCCTGCTGTTGGTCTCCTGGTTAGACAGGAAGGGTTAATCACTAACACCTTCTGCTCAGTCAGAGCCAAGCGGTGCACATTTCTTCCAGCAGAGGGGGAGGACACAACCCCACCTGATCAGGAGTTTTCCATGAGTGCATACTTAATGAGGCTTCAAACAAACCCTCTTGGTGTTTGCTGATATTAAAATGTGTTCAGCAAAACAGAGATAAATAACAGCTACGCTATGAATACATTGTTTTAGAGATATATTTCCTTAATCTGATCACAACCTTGTCATGTTTTAACCACCCTATTTGTGGCAGTGTGGGTGCTTTCCTCAGATTTGTTCAGATTAACAATACCCGGCCTCACAATGCAGCTTTGTTGCTCAAACAGATTAACACGTCAAGTGACCGGAGGTGCAGGAGTCCCTTGCTCTGTTTTTCTTTCCTGCTTACCTTTCATCAACATCATTCCAACCGACACAACACATCTCGGGCCGCAGTGAGAACGATGGCCAGACAATTTCAAATTGTTCGGTGAGTAAAAATTCACAGCTTTGTGTTTTAGACTGTTGGATATTGTATTTTGCCTGTTGTAGCACTGTCAACATCTCTTCAGAAGAATTGGCTTAATTAAGATCTCTAAAATTAAGGAAAGTATTAAGTGAAATGGTTATTTAAGGGTGTATAAAACGGTAACCAGTTTCAGTTGATGTGGTGAGTGCAAACAGTTGGATTGAAGAGTAAGTGGAGAACTTAACATATCTAATGCTGCTGTTTTACTTTATTATTATTTTTAGATCTGACTAAATAGGCCTTATGAGATCTAGGTTGACCGCTGACATTGAGCTCAGGCGAAGCAACAAGAACAACACCACTGGTTTCCTTCATGTCACGACACAGTCAGCCGGAAAGTTGGGCAGAAAGCAGCAGCGATGACCGTCACATACTCGCGCAGGGTTGCTGATGCAGGTCTGGGGACCTTCTTTCACCTGCTCCTGCGATGGAAAGGCAGCATCTACAAACTGCTCTACAGAGAGCTCATCATCTTCACTCTCCTCTACTACTTCTTCAGTATTGTTTATAGGTACTCTTATAGGAGATATCAGTAGTACACATTCATGTCCTCCTGTCTTCATAAAGAGTGACCTGAAGTTAAAAGTTGTAATGAACTCAAAAAGTGTTTCCATCACCAGGTTTGTGTTAAAGGATGACCAGAGGAGGCTGTTCGAGAAGTTCTCAATATACTGTGACCGCTACGCAGAGCTCATCCCTGTGTCCTTTGTGCTCGGTGAGTTGAGGCTCATTGTTTCTTCTGCATAAATCTGAATGTCAACACAGTGTTGCTGGAAACCTTTACAGAAGGTGGGCTCGAAATACCTATCTTACATTTTGTTGTCAGGTTTCTATGTCACCCTGGTCGTGTCCCGTTGGTGGGGCCAGTTTGAGAACGTCCCCTGGCCGGACCGCCTGGCAGCATTAGTGGGCGGCCATGTTCGTGGAGACGACGAGGCCTCAAGGCTGACCCGACGAACTCTGATGCGATATGCCAACCTCTCCGGTGTGCTGATCTACCGCTCTGTTAGCACAGCCGTCTACAAGAGGTTCCCCACCATGGAGCACCTGGTGCAGGCAGGTAGGGGGAGGTGAAGTCGACTAAACTCGATGTTGTTGGTCTGGCCAGTTTAATGGCAGCACAACCATGCCCATATCTATAGGATATGTTTGCACTGTTAAAAATAAGAAACCGTGGGAAGTGGACCGGCATGTCACAGGTTATGAATAATGTTTAAAACATATTCACCACTTAGCAGTGGAGGAAAGTAACTAAGTACTCATGGTGCCTGAGTATTTACATTTTCTGATACTATACACTTCTACTCCACTAATCTTTAAAGGAAGGTGTACTCCAGCAAAATCATTTGATGATTAGATTACCTAGATACTTAACAGATTCTGAAATTATTATCAACAAATAAAGTATGATATATCATCATAGATTATGCACCACAGCAGTATAACACATTGCAGCAATGTGCCCCAACATTTACAAGCTGCAACACTTATGTAATGCGTACATTAATCTATCAATTACTTTATTCCAATAATATATCACACAATATTCTGTGGACCAATCTGCGAGTATTTTTACCTTAGGTACCTCAAGCACTTTTACTTTATAGGCTACTACGTACTACTAATTACTTTTACACAATGGAATTGCTACTTTTACTTAAGTTAATAATCGGAAGATTGTTTCTAACCCTGCTTGGAACTTAGATACTGTTCAGAGTCACAAAAACAAACTTCTTAAGTGCTTTCTCTATTTGCTTCATTCCTTCACTCGTTGTGTTTGTGCCTCTCAGGGTTGATGACGTCGGAGGAGCTCAGGCATCTGGAGGAACTGCGCTCTCCTCACAACAAGTTCTGGGTTCCCTGCATGTGGTTTGTCAGCCTGGCTCTGAGGGCTCGGACTGAGGGTCGCATCAACAACGACGTTGCACTCACAGCCCTTCTTACTGTAGGTCTTTATATTTTTGCTGATCAAAGGAACCTGAACATCTTCACCTTGTTGCTCTGAAACATTTTATAATATTGCTTTTACTTCTCTTTTCAGGAGTTGAATAGTTTACGGGCAAAGTGCATGAAGCTGTACGGCTACGACTGGATCAGCCTGCCTCTTGTCTATACTCAGGTTTGTTGAGCTGTAACTGAAATAAAGTAGATACCTTTTTGGTAGAACAGATTTTACAGTTTTTACAGTGTTATGAATCATTAAGTGTTAAAAACAACTAATAATCCTTTACCTGAAACGATTAACTTGGTTTGATCATAGCAATCTGACAACAATCAGAAATAAAACAAATCAATGCAAACCCATATAACCCCTGACTAGGTGGTGACAGTGGCGGTGTACAGTTTCTTCCTGGCTTGTCTGATTGGCCGTCAGTTCTTGGATCCGGCTCAGGGTTACTCAGGTCACGATCTGGACTTCTACCTGCCTGTCTTCACCCTGCTGCAGTTTTTCTTCTATGTTGGTTGGCTGAAGGTAAAGATTAAGTCACACTGATGCAACACAAGGCATTTTATTTATTCTTAATCCTTCTGAGATGCATTATGGTCTCTTCTTTTCATTGTGTCAGGTGGCTGAGCAACTCATAAATCCTTTTGGTGAAGACGATGACGACTTTGAAACCAACTGGCTCGTTGATCGCAATTTACAGGTTAGGATTCCAATTATTTCACACTCTTTCATGAGCCACATATTAAGGCGGTCCTGTTCTTGCACTAGCTGTGGTTTCTGTATTCTCTCAGGTGTCCTTGCTGTCTGTGGATGAGATGTACGACAGCCTGCCGCTGGTTGAGAGGGATATGTACTGGAATGAGTCTGAACCTCAGCCTCCCTACACTGCTGCCAGTGCTGAACATCGCAAACCCTCCTTTATGGGCTCGGCCCTGGACATCAGGTTCAGTAATGCTTCTATTTTTTGGGGGACAATTCTTAAACACTTATAGAAATGACTTCCCTAACCATCAAACCCCCTTTGTAATCTAAACTAGTGTTCCTAAGGAGGATATGGAGTTTCAGTCCAATCTGGAGCAAATTAAAGAACACGAGGAAGCCAACTACTCCACCCCGCTGCTCGGAGGGCTGGGTCGTCTCCTTGGTGTCCAGTCTCTTAACTTCCCTCGCTCCTCCCGGGTCTCTCTGCTGCGCCGCCGCCCCGGAGCTCCACAGAGCCGCTTCCCTCTGTACCTGCACCAGGAGCCTCTGAGTCAGAGCCGCCATCCTTTCAATCGTGAGGGAGATCCAGACTATGCCTTCTCCACCATGCCCTTGTATGAGCGACCAGGGTTCTACAGCTGCCCACAAACTCCCATTCACTGCGTGCCCCCAACACCGCAGCGCCCTCGACCCGCCCGGCGAAATCAGAACGAGTGGAACCACAGCTGCAGCTCCCTCGCTCCTCCAATGGTGGGCTCACAGATGCTGCCTCCGGACTCTCCCAACCACGTCCCCCAACCACCCTCCTCTGCTTTCCCCTGGCTCAGTGGGGATGGTGAGGTGCCGAATGCCCCTACCTTTTCCTTCCCAGACCCCCCACCTCAACTCTGCCCCATATCTAAAATCAGACCCGGACAAGGCCTACTGTCTCGCCGCCCTCCACGCTTGACTCTGGACACCATCCACTCAGCTGACAGCCATCCCGGACCCCAAAGTGCTCGGGCGGCAGGAAGTGGAGCAGAAAGGGTGTTCTCGTTCACTCCTCCCTCTCGCACAGCAGCAGCAAATCCCAGTAATCCCACCAGCAGCTCTGGCAGCATTAACGCAACAAGCACCAACAGCGCTGGCACAACAGGAAGTCTCTGCAACGGTACGAGTCAGACTAATTTTAGCAACCAAGGGAACTTCAGCAGCAGCATGAGGGGCAGCAATGGGGGCATCAACGGCGGGCCGAGCAACAACATGAACGCAGTTTCCACTTCGGCGTCAGCGCAGCAGGAAACCAATCAGCAACACTCACCCAATGATTCAGGAATCTCATTGGCCGAAGGGGACCTGCTGGGCGTTCTGGTGGACAGTGGCGTGAACAAAGCGGCAGGAGCGAGAGAGGACTGAGAAAACAAGGTGTGCCATACTGCTTTGCATCACATTTGGCATGCAAAATATTTCACACAAACAGGCTCTATGTTACATCTGAACTGCATTACAGTCTTCCGGAGGCCGACACAAACATTAGAAGTATTTGTTGCACACACTGAGTTAATCTGTACTTTCTGTTAAGCTCTTATCGAACAATTAACCTACTTATAAGTTAAAAAGCAGATTATGAGATCTTACCGCCAACATTTGAAGGAAAAATAAGAAACACTTTCTAGTTTCTTCTGCAGCTCAAGGACAAGAAGTCAATTTTGTATATCCGTACAGAAACTAGTCTCATTGGCATTGTGTCCATCAGTGTACTCTTTAATAAATATTACATATCATGTTATGTTTCCTTTGTTTTTCAATTAAAAAATGAAACTTGAAATGACCTTTTACTTTTGTATGTTGTTATACTCAGTGATGCAAACACACGTATGGTGAAAAAAGAGAGAACTATTCGAAGCAGAAAAAAACAGCGTAATATTATATATACCATCTGACAAAGGCCTGCGCTATAATGCTTCAATTATCTGGCTATTCTTTATAATATACTCAGATCAAGAGGAGACATAGATGTTAAGTTATAACTCAAGGGTTTTTATTATTATTTACAGCAGGGGTGGGGAACCTTTTTCCTTTCAATTTTTACAACATCCTCCGAGGGCCGTACAAATGATTGAACTCAACCTCTGCTTAAAAAAACTAAAATCACAGCCCATTCATTTGGCCTTTCTTTCATGTTGTGCAAAGAAAAAGCAACCTCTTAATCCAGATATATTACCATGACTCGCGCATGCATGCATGTGCACGGTTGTGGCAGAAACATATGGACACAAGATGTGTGCAAATGTATTTAGTATCCTATCCATGTGAACATGATTTAAGTGGGGGGGGGACCTAACCTCCTCTAGGGGGTCCGGGGCTCCCCGGGAAATGTTTTTTTAAATATTGAAGTTAAAAGCATCAATCTGGTGCACTTTGAAAGCAAAATTAAGATATCTATGGATACATCTTTCAACACCAATATGAAACAGAACTGTAAGCAGATTCTTCTTTTTGGATATTTTACAAATCACTCTCCTTTTAAACTCTAACCCCCCCCCCCCCCCCCCCACCCCCCCCAAAAAAAGAAAACTCTTCGGTTCTCCACGAATTACACAAGTCACCCAAATCAGCGGTAAAAAAGCGGGAGGCGCCGAAAAGCAACTAATTCGCATCACTGTATACAAGGATGTCCTCTTAAATTCACAACTCCAAGTATATATAAATTATGTTCTGTAAAGAAATTTCAGAGAGAAAGGGTGGACTGACATTCAGCGCTGACCATAAAAAACTCAGTGTAGTCCAGAGGAGGATTTAGGATTGTAGGAGATCCGGGGCTTAGCCCAGGAGTCGTTGGGTTGGGGGGGTGGGTGCAGGGGTACATTGCTATTTTTTATAAGTGGGGGGTGGACCGAACATCCTTTAGGGGGGTTGTCGCCTCCTCTCGGGGGGTCCGGGGGCATGCTCCCCCGGGAATATATTTTTTTAAATATTGAAGTTGAAAGCATCAATCTGGTGCACTTTGAGAGCAACATTAACCCTACCTTAATAACACCTTAAAGCGGACAAAAGGCACTGGAGAACACTCATTAACACCCTTTAATGAAGCAAACTAATGCCTTAACTCACTCAAATAGTCGTTTACTTATTAAGGTGAAACGAATGTGCGTAGAGTTTTAAAGGATGCGGATAGTCTCACCTTGATTCTGGCGCATTGCTTATCGTTTTATGGATCTATTCTCATCCACCATCTTTGTTTGTGACGTAAAGAGTGTAACGGCCCGTCCACACAGCGGCGTGCGTTGACGCTTGCCGGCGGGCGTGTCTGACACTCGACCAACAACCAATCACATGAATCTCCCGCCCCTGACACACAAGCAGCGGTTTGATTGGCTAGAGCTTGTACTGGCATATGATTCGATTGGCTGACGCTTCTGCCGAGGCGTCAAAAGTTGAGCATTGCTCAACTTTTGCAGCGAGCCACGCCAGCAACGCTCCGCGTCGCTTCCCACGATGCAGTTCGGCTAAAAGTGACGTCACCCCATTCAAAGTGAATGGGCAGAAGCGTTGGAAGCTTCAACGCACGCCGCTGTGTGGACGGGCCGTAAGAGTCACGTTTCTGAATCGGACACTCTGAGTGGATGCAGTCACAGCCAATCGGAGTCTGATTCAGAGGGTTGCCTGTCAGTTCTGTTGTTATGTGTACTGAAACGAGAGCCGGTATAATTCCACGTGTGAAAACAAAATAAAAATTGGAATACGTTATTTTAGTGTCTTAAAAGTAGACTGAGTTATGAAGGGTTAACGTTACATCTTAGGATAATTGTTAGTCATGTTCTGTATACATACTAACATATAAGGGTATACTTAGTGTGGTTACTCCATGTTTATTAGCTATAACATTAACGTTACATCACTCTTTTTCACTTCTTACTCAGTCAGCCAGAGTGCAGATATCACCATTAGATTAACAAAACCTGAAACATCATCCATTTCTTGACTGCTGGTGATGACATTGTTGTCAGCTGCTGATACTGCTGCTGCTGATACTGCTGCTGCTGCAGCTTGTGGCGCCTGCTTCGATGACAATAACTTTCTAATATCCATAACTGTATATGTTTAAAACTCGTCAGGCACTAGGAAGGATCACTTCTTCTTCAGGGCAGGCTACGCAGTACGCAGGCTAATGTCCCACAGTGGCTGCCTCTCTGGTGGACTCCAGTACTGCACATTACTCCCGAGACGTTTAAAAAAAAAAAAAAAATTTAAAAATTCTTTTTTTTTTTTTTTTAAGTGAAACATCCGGGGCTTTTCAGAAAACATCCGGGGCTTGAGCCCAAGTAGCCACCCCCTAGCGCCGCCACTGGTTTAGTCTAGCTTTCCTCGGCAGCTATGGTGTGTTTGTCAAAGAGATACTCAGCCATGCCGCTCTGAGGCGCTCCCATAAGGCGCAGGTTGGATATCCAGTCTCCCAGTTGCTTGATGGATTTCACCTGCTCGTCCAGAAAATGTGTTTCTATGAAGTCACACAACTGTGGAAAAAAGGAAAAGACAGTTTAATCTTATTTTACTGATCCTCCAAAAGTTAAAATATTTTCTGTTCTCTTAGGTTAGTTTATTTTCATCATTATCTACTTATTCAACGTAAGTATGCTTATAAAAAAACTAAATAAATCACTACTTTTGAAATAGTGACAAAGCACAGGATATGTATACTGAACATAAACACCTACCCTTTTATATTAATTATTTCGTACAACCCTCGTTAAATGTATAAACTGAATAAAAACAAATAATCAAAATATAATATAGGTAAAAAATATATAAACATTAAAAACCCTGAGATGTGTCTTTGTTAATCATTTCCGTCAAAAAAATTGTAATAAGTGAATAACAATATTTAATTTATTGTTAAAATCTATTCCACAAAATTAACTCATTTTACTGTACACAATTGTCTTAGGTCCTGCTGACTCGTTTGGAACAGCTCCCAGATACAGTCTGTAAGCTTTACATTTGTTATGTTATCCATTAAAGGTGGGGTAGGTAATTTTGGAGAAACCAGCTCGAGTGTGCTAGAATTTGAAAATACACAGCCGGAAAAAATCTGCCACTTCCTTACAGAGCCCCTCCTCCAACACACACGAACGCGCACATGACCAATGAGGGCACGAGATAAGTTTGTGCACAGATGGAAGGCTGACAGGCAGGTAGGCCCAGTGGCGGTTCTAGAACATGTTACATGGGGGGGCAAAGGGGGGGGCAAGAGGTCATGCCAGGGTGGCATGGGAGGGCGGACAGTACGTGGTATTTTATACTGTATATAACCTATTTATTGTTAATTCATGCCCTAACACAAGTGTTCTTAATGCACAAGAGAAACAAGGTGTTCAGACAAACAATCGGGTGCCCTTTGAGTCCCCCAAGCTTACCTCAACCATTTTAAATGAAAGGAAACTACAAAATGTATTTTAAAGCAATGAATTAATGGAACAGGTTTTTTTGCATTACAATGTAAAACTAAATATGTATTTTGTTTTTAAAAAATTGGTTGTCTTAGTATTAGACAGACATATTTGCATGTCCTCACTAAGTATTACATATTAATTTAATATCAAACAAATCAAAATGGCCAATTATCCCAAAATGTTGCTGCTAATATAATAATATGCTTGTCGACTTTAACTGATCAAAAATCAATTCTGAAAAAATACTTGAATTATTTATGAAATTGCAATATTGTCCCTCAGTTTGTTTCAACCCCGTCACGCCATACCATTGGCATTTACCCTCCTATTAAAATAATGGATCAGTCCATGTGTGATCTGCATTGAGGGAATTACATCACAAAAGTGTCAGTTTCTTCTCTTACCTATATTTCAGTTTTTGTATTTTCAGATTAAGATTGACAAGCTCAACATTTTAATGTATAATTAAGTACACAAATGACATCACCCATCTCTTCAGAGAGCTGAAGGTGACCTGTGCAGCAACACATTTCAATCAATATTTGTCAATACTAAGAGCTGCTAGATTGTGCTGCTGTGATGGAATATGTAAGGAGAATAAGAACATACCATGTGGTCCAGCTGGAGTTTCATCTGCCTCCTGATCCCTGCCTCTGGCCCTCTTTCTGACACTTCATCTTTATTCCTCACATACATTTCTTCTTCTTCACTAATGTCTTCATCTCCTCCTCCTGCTCTGACCCTCCTGGTCTCTTCATCTCCTCCTCTTCCTCCTGCTCTGACCCTCCTGGTCTCTTCATCTCTCTTTTCCTTTTCCTCTTTCTGTTCGTCCTGATCACTTCTCATATGTCTTTGTGTTGTTGTTGAATCACTCCTATACTCTGGCCTGCAAGAGTCTACTTGTGAAAAGCACTGGTACAAATGCTTGTATAACTTTACGCGTTAGGCGGGCCATGTAGCCTAGCTAATATGTAGCATATCATATAACATCAGAAAGTATTGATCAAGCGCACACAGGCAGCTGTGTTTAGATCCAGTTTTTACGGTAAAGGATGTATCCTGGTTTCATTGATCTGGCCTCATTGCTGTGATGTGTAGTTTACGTGGATTTAATAGTAGGCTACCGCGTAGTTTAGCAAAGTGATCGATCTCCCAGCTAACGCTGTCTGCGTAGTATTTTGTAACGTAACGCCCCAAACAGCGCCCGTCTGTTAAACGCTATCGATTCAAACGGCAGCGTTTTATTAATATTTAGTTTCAAGCTCTCATCCTTAGTAAAAACAAAACTAGTGGAAAGGGAAATGCTCCCAGGGGAAGCTGATCCATAGGTGCTGGGACAGCTCGCTCGCTCCCTCTCTGCAGCGGTGTGAGCCGCGGGCTGTGTGAACGCCGCTCCGCAGTTTAATGCAGGGCCGTAGCTGCGTTTTTAACGGTCCTAAAATTATATTTAAAATGATTCACTTTTAACTAATGTAATGCTTGTTTCGTTGCTTGAGAAGCTTGTGGAAATAGTGTAGGTTTGTTTTAGTACAATTTTAGGGAAACAAAAGTTAGGGGGGCAGCTGGGGGGGCAAGGCTATACAGTGGGGGGGAAGCTGCCCCCCCGTAGATCCGCCCCTGGGTAGGCCATCCAGTTACTTTAGCCGGGCCGGCTAAAATGATTGGTCGTGCTTTTTACAGTACTACGGCTTCCACAGATGACATTTTTTAATGGATTTTTTGTCAAAGCACTTAAGATATTCATTGCTATCGGGATGTTAAAGGTGGGGTAGGTAAGTTTCAGAAACCGGCTCGAGTGCACTAACATTTGAAAGTACACAGCCGAAAAGAATCCGCCCCTTCCTTCAGACTTCCTTACAGAGCACCTCCTCCAACACACAAAAACACGCACATGACGTCAGCAGACTGGTGAAAGTACTGCTGCAATGCACGCCCAATGACGGCACGCCCAATGAGGGCACGAGATACATTTGTGCATGCACGAGATGGAAGGCTGACAGACAGGGCTGCAATCCAATCCGTTTAGACGGCCCGGCTAAACGGATTGGTCATGCTTTTTACAGTACTACGGCTTCCACAGATCACATTTTTTTTAATGGATTTTTTGTCAAAGAAAGCACTTAAGATATTCATTGCTATCGGGATGTTAAGAGCATTCCATGGAATATAACAAAAAGTGTATCTCGAGCCGGTTTCTGAAACTTACCTACCCCACCTTTAAGAACATTCCATGGAATATAACAAAAAGTGTATCTCGAGCCGGTTTCTCAAACGTAGGCCTACCTACCCCACCTTTAATTGTTCAGTTTTAAAGTACACCAAATCTCTAAGCTGGAGAGCATATGAGGTTACAAGTTATAAAGCCTGGTGTGTAAAGCATCGTTTTGCTGTGTGTGTGACAGAGTGAACACACACAGCGCTAAAACAGCGGTTAATATTTCTGCTGCTTACATGAGGATCATTGTGTTCAGCTGCCAGTTTCTGCAGGTCCAGCAGGGATTGGTTTACATTTTTTTCCAGCTGCAAGGAACAATCCAGAGCCTCCAGGCTACTCCCCCACTCATCTCTATCAGGTTTCTGAGATGCACACAAGAAATTCAGCAATTCAACACTGGCATAATTTTACAAAAATACCCAACAAATATATTAATAATTATATACTAAATTGGTACTTGGACACTAACTGACAAACTAAAACGTATCATCAAAATGCAATAATGGAAAAACAATGAATTGCAAATCTTCATCAAAAACAGGACTTTGTATCAGTACACACCATAATGTCCTGCAGAAAAATGTTGCCTCCACGCTGGTTCTGCAGACTCATCAGCTTCTCAGCATGTTTACGCTCCTCTTTGGACTGTGTGTGGAAAAACTTTACAAAATTTGGAAGGGATTTATCATCCCTATCAAAATAGTATGCCTACAAGACATAAAAAAAAGACCCCAACAACAGTGAGCAGTGAGCTTTGAGCAGAAAAGATGCACATTGAATTGATTTTAGTGCATTTCTTACCATAGAGAGATAAACATAGGAGGCATATAGCTCCAGGTTTATTTGCCTGTTAATGGCAGCCTCACAGTCCTGGTGGAAGTTTTGTCGGATTTGTGAACTCATTTCTGCATAAATCACAACAATAAATAAAGGAGAAATGTGATTCAGTATGTTATAAACACATTATACAAGTGACATAAGACATAAAACCACACCATCTAATATCACTGCAGACATCCCGATACATTATTCTTTTATTAAATGTTCAATTGTTTGTGTCACTGCGACTCCTGCTAAATGAAAGGATTTTATAAGTAAAATGTTGGATTAATTTGTCCAAGTGTTGAGATGACCTTGAAAAGTCTGTCTTGACACCCACAATGGAGGCAGGGTGCAGAATTATCTTTATTGTTCACTGGCACATGGGTAGAGAATAATAACATTTGACTATCCACTCGATGGATTACCATTAGTTTTGAATTGTGAATGATGCAAATCTAATATCCACTTACACATTTTAACAGCATTTGACTGGTTAATGTTATGCCCTCAATTGAGGCACATATGATTTCAAAAATAATTTACATTTTAATATTATAATTGTTGACATGCAACACCTTTCCAAGTTAATGCACCTCACCAGTTTAGTGGAACTAGTATGACCAAATGAATAAAGTGCCCTTTCCAGGTCTGTGGATTGTGCTGATTTGATTGCATCACCCCCTGCATTGATATTGATCCACACCCCACTGACCTTCATCTCACAATAACTTAATGGCATGCTGGGAAACTGATATAATGTACTTTTAAGTGTGACACCATTGACAACAAAGCACAAAAAGCTATTAAAATGTTAATTATTGATGGAGTTAGCAGCGTTAGTTACTCTATTACACAAGGTGGCTAACGAGCTATGCTAACCACAAATTACTCTACCATAGATCCATGGTTACCGTTGCTAGGCATTGCTAGCTAGATCTCCATCATCTCAATCTCAGACACTCCGACAGGCGGGTGACAATTTACATGCCTGCTAAAACGTACCTGGTTTGTAGATCTCGGACGTTTCACACTCGTTGCAGGTTCTGAAGCAGTTCAATTTGTAGACAGAAGTTTTAAGACTGGCTGACGTTAAGTTATCCACGCACTGCCGTCATAACGTGGGGACGTGGCTCCTCTGATGATGGCGGTTAAAGGGATGGGTCATGTTATTAATTAGACATGTGCACATTGAAACTGCTACATTTAAATGAACTATTTAAGAAGTTCAAATATCCTTTTTCTGAGCACTCAGGGACTTTCTGGTCATGCTATAAAATGACCAATGTCTGGCAAGTCCTTTTATTTTTGAACGGTTAATAAAGTAGGGCCATATTGCAAACGGCTGCTGGAAAGATTGACATGCCATTGCAGGGATAACGTGCCACGACGTGTATTTTATACTTATGGCCATAACCCCATCAGTTGTTAAACTTTAAAGGATATGCTACTCACTGTCATGGTTTGCAGCTAAAGCTAGTCAAAGTGTGTGACATAAAAAAAAAAAATCCTAGTAGGATTTAAATGTGATGAAGTCTCTTTTCAAAACGAACTTTAACCACACAAGTGTGTTAAAAATAAATCACCGTTTTATGTAACCCTTCTCTTGCGTTTTGGGTCAAAATGACTTATTTTAATCATAAATATTGTGTTTTTCATCCAATTGCCTCAATACCTTATGTTATCCTCCACACTAGGCCTCTGAACATATACACTTGATCACCACTTGCATTGAATTTTGAATGATTTATTTAACAGTGAAACACCCTTGATGTTTTCGGTCAGATTTGACCGCCATAGAAAATGAATGGGTATGTGAGTGTATTATGTTCATCCTGTAGATGGAAAATATCTATATACACACACGTTAAGGTTACCTCTCCCTTTCTCGCGCTGTATGATACAATGTATCATACCTTCTCACAGGTGCTAGCTCTGTGCCACTCGAGAAACACAAACCTCTCACTTTCTCGCGCTAAATGCGCCTCCCTTACTCTCAAGCAGTTATATTTGTGCCTTGCTCACATTTGACTCATTGACACAATGAGCAGGCGACCGATTAGGCCATTTTCTGTACGAGAGGCTCTGGACACATTTTTTGAACCAGATGAAGAGGAGGAAGATGTCTCAGAAATTGAAGACAACAGCGATCCAGACTAGAGCCTACAACAGACCAGGAAGAGGCCCCTGAGGTGACATTCCACCATTTTGCATAGCCAACCATGTGCATGAACACACACACGTTCTGTTATATTTCTCTTTCAATAAATGTTCGTTGAAGAAAACAGTATCAGTGTCTTATTTTATATTCATCACAGTGAATGCTGAACTTGATGGGCCCGGACCATGACATGAAACACTGGCTTGCTTGTATCAAATCAATACACCCCATACATCATTGGAATGGGAAGCATCTCTGCTACAACACTAACTAAAGCATTTCCATCTCCAGTAAACACAGCAAGTATTTTTGTAATATACAGTAATGTAAAATAAGCACTATCTTTGAACTTACTGCCAAAAATAATATGAAATTCACCCCTGGTGTCATTTTGTCTGTCATCCCTTGATTCTACTTGCTGTGACTGTTCAAATGAGATGTCAACCATCAAAATTGGATAAGGGGTTCCAGAGATATCACTGTCCAAAACACACCGGTCAATTTTGACCGAAAATAGCATGGGACTATGATGCATGACTTCACGCAAGAGAAGGGTTAAAGACGCATAATAAAAACACATTTATTATTGGCACCTGGTAAATATAGTACAATTACCTGAACACAGGTATTTTAGCACTGAGCAACAATACAGAAACATTATTATAAAATACAATCAAAAGCTGAAACCTGGATTACATTTTTAATAAATCCCAAACATAACAATCTACCATCATTTACAATCAGAACAGATTATAAAAATCAAAGCTTGCACTTGGCCGAAACTTTCAACATTCACATCACATTTATAATACACAGCAATGTTCAAGTCCAAGGTGAAGGGTGTCAGTGTACAGACATTACTTCCTTCCATGTGGAGGAGAGTGCCACACAGCAGAGCTGGTGCGTTTAAAATAGCGAGGCTTTTTCTTGTTAAAGATGGCTTCCAGTTTTGGTGGTTCAATTATTCCCAAAAAGCTTTCAAAATTAGGAGGGTTGAAGTACTGTTTCACAATGATCTGCTGCAGCATGTGACCTGGGAGGGGAAACATTTAAATACAACATTTAAGACAGAACTTGAGACCCACATCACACTGTGACATTGGGAATACATAAATAGGTCTTCAGTTATGTTAATAATGATAACCAAATTTAGGAATAGGTCAAAAAATTACAATTGACTATTGGCTCATAATTATTTTACATCATGCCTACCTTCTGCCCATGATGGGATAGGTTTCCTGGGCGCAGACTCATCATCAGTTGAGTCGTCACTGTTTTGGTCCATCCCATAATCCTCTGCCGTTTTGGACGTAGTAGGTTTGTTTCGCCCCTTTGGAGTGAGGGAGTATGATTGTGGGGATTTCTGCAGAGGGTTAAAAAAACAAAAAAACACTTTATAAGACTTTGCTCTGATTAGAAATGATTTCCATTATGTAGAAACACAATTATTATTTATATGTACCTCCAAATCCACGGTCACATTTAAGCCAGCCCCTTTTCCTACAGGAGTGCTCAATACAGAGCGCTGCAGGGAGCAAGAAGAAAGTGGTAAATGTATATTTTACACAGCTTACAGCTTTCCCCGAGAGGTTTTAGGCTTTCCATGTTTATCGGGTGATTTTAAAACAGATTTTCTGATTTGATGTTAACATTCTTACCTCAATTTCCACAGTCACATTCAAGCTAGCAGTAGCCTTCTATACAGAGGAGAGAAAAAAAGTACATTTAGCTCCTCATTAGTCCTTGAAATGTAAATATGATGCTTGTCTTAATGCGTTTGTTTTGATGTGATAAAATCAAAAAATTACGGTGATGTAAACTCTTAAATGCTGAATCGCCTGTCTGTACAACAAATCTACCATTAGATACTAATAAAGAAATGTTGAAATAGTTAACTGAGGATATTTATGTACGTATTGCTTCTTATCTGCACTACAGCTTAATTTCCTTTTGCAGGTTTACCTGTGCTTCAGCAGCCTTTTTAGCAGCAGCCTCTCTCTCTTTCGCAGCCACCTCTACAGCAGCTAATCTCAGCTGCTCCTCCTCCTAGTGGAACAAAAAGCACATTAACAACCAGACAGCTGAGCAGCCAGAATAACAAACCCAGAGTATAGAATTCACTTTTGAAAGTAAGAGTGGACTACTTTTCAACAGAGTTATTCCATGGACGTCAGCATAACATGAAGGTCCTAATGAAAGCCTACGATACATTAATAAGCGTTTTGCAGGATTCACTAAGTTACATAAGATGAACTAATGGGAAAATGTATCATTAACTTTTGAAGAAAGTTTTCCCTAAAAACATAACTTGCACAAAATGCTTCCTGGGTTCTGTACCAGCAGTCGTGACAGAGAAAGTTAAAATCACCAAAAAAGAAGACGCCATTGTACAGACTTCTGCACGCTAGGGCTGAACGATTAATCGATTTGAAATGATGCGATTATCAAATCACAAAGCCTGCGATTTTTGTTTGTTTTTGTGTTCTTGTGTGTCAGTCCTCCACACCAATCAGAAGTGCTGTGCTCCACATGTACCAGTCATTGTTAACCAATCAGAAGTAGCCCATGATAGTAGGTGATAGACAGATTGATCCAATCACCTGCCAAGGATTTTTGAAATACTTTTCCAAATGGCTTCCAATGGAGCACTCCTAGATGGTTTGGTGAAACAAACCATCCGAGTCAGGTTAGTAATGCTCCATCACATGTTTTACATCTATTACAGGATGAGTCTTAAACTGAAGCTTGACTTTAAAGCAACCCAACGGAAGTTTCATGTCATTTTTGTTCTTTCACTCGTAGCTCGGGCTGCTAGAGACGGGAGCACGTTGATACGACCTTCCTAGCCGGAGATATGGCCGCATTTTACAATAAACTTCCGTTGGGTCGCTTAAAAACAAATATCGCAAATCGAATCGCAATATCTGTCAGAAAAATCGCAATTAGATTATTTCCCCAAATCGCGCAGCCCTACTGCACGCACAATCTCACTTAAAGCTTGTAGTGGTGTTACATCGTCAAAAAAACAACAACATTCTGATACAGGCTGTATATTCTACGGTTCTAATACCTAGAGGTGATGCAACCATACAGTTAGGCCTGTCGCAATAATCAATAAATGTACTTATCGTACGATAAATAAAAATGGACTTGATCACTTTTCTGAGCTCGATAAATTGCCGTTTACATGCGTGTTTGTTTACATAAGGATGTGACCAGCATTTTAGCCCGGCGCATTGTGAGGGGCGGGGCTCACACACAGCCCACGACACAGGCAGGTCAGGAAACTCTGCGTGCCGCAGCCAAATTAATAATATAGAGACAAGCAGGAGACAACGTGTGACTTACTCGAGGGGAATTTAGAGTTAAATGGAAGTGGTTGCAAAACCTACCTCCATCTCCGGTGTGGGAATATTTTGGATTCAAGCCACATCAACGAGGCGAACCTACGGACTTGAATGAGCCGGGCGGTGTGTCGCATTTGTTTAAAAAAGGTAGCAACAAAAGCTAGCAACACGACCAACCTTAAACTGCACCTGAAACACAACCTACCCATTCCGTTTTCCCAGCTGGGAGCAAACACGGCAGCTGGAGAGCCCCGAACTTCCCTACAGTTTGCAATTAAAGATGCATTTGCCCGACAATGCAAACATGTTGTTGTCCCTTGCTCGAAATACAGATTTGGATATGGCCTGTTGAGGCATCTGGGTCTTTGTATGGACAGTGGACTGTACACTTGACTGTTGTTTTAAGGAGGGTTTTTTGCTTGTGAGACAATGTGTGCTCATATTTATATATATCAATTTGCTCTAATTAAATGTATTTATTATATCATTTATATATTATTTCACATTTCATTTGCAATGTTGAATGTTCAATACAAAGTTCTGTTTGAAAGGATGTACTTGAATTATTATTATTATACATTATCATTATGTCAGTGGTCTAAAATGGTCTATAAAACTTTGCCGACAATATTATCGTTTATCGCAATAATTTCGGGGAAAATGTATCGTCCAACAAAATTAATTATCGTGACAGGCCCACATACAGTTCTATATTCTAAATGATTTACTACTTAGCTTAGTATATTACTGTTGCCCTTTGCCCAGGCAGATCTAAAGAATCAATGATTTCATTGTTGCTTTACGTCTTTGCATTATAAAAACCCATTTCCTATTGACTACTAAATCACTGTTCAGAAACATGTTTTAGACATCTTGGTTCCAAAATATAATTTCTTACCAGTCTTCGGTTTTCCTCAAGCGCCATTCTTTTCTCCTTCTCTCTCGCAGCTCTCTCCAGTTCCCGTTGCAGAACGAGAGCTTTTTCTTTTTCCTCCCGCTCCCTGAAAAACAATACAAGTCGAGACAAACTTGTGAGTCAAATCTAACAAATCTCTTTCCCTGTCTTCACTAGAGCAAGTTTCAGTTCAACACACATTAATCAGAAGGGATCAGGTTACGTATAGATCAGGCTGTCTCAATTTCATCGCGGGCCACATCAGCATTATGGTTAAACTCAAAGGGCCGGTTGTATCTTTATAAATATACAGTACCAATCAAAAGTTATTTATTTTAATAATTTTCTACATTGTAGATTAATACTAATCAAAAGACATCAAAACTATAAAAGAACACATGGAATTATCTAGTAAACAAAAAAAGTGTAAAAAAAAATAATCCAGAATATTCATTTATATTTTTGATTCTTCAAATTCGCCCCCTTTTGCCTTGATGACAGCTTTGTACACGCTTGGCTTCTCTATATAAATATATATTAAATAATGTATTATATTACATTATTGGCTCTGCATTGGATTATTAAAAATTCCTGTAATAACTTCATAATTAAGTACGTCTGAAAGCAAAAGTCTAGGGCAAATCATTGAAAGCAAATATTCAACAATTACACCAATTGTAATGTATATAATATTAGACAATAGATAACCTTTCAGTAGCAGCTAGCCTCTCTCTCTCTTGCTCTCTCTTCAGCTCCAGCGCTCGGCGAGCTTCAGCCAGTTTGCGAGTTCGCTGTTCCTCTTCCTCGGCCTTCTTCTTGGCCAGTAATTCCTGCTGCTTCTTCTCTTCCTCCTGAAAAAAAAAAGCACACACCATAAGATAAGCTTGATTGCAAAAAAGAAAAACCTGACGAGAGACATACTTTGGATTCAACAAAGGAACATTGTGTGAGTATTTAACGTCTTGACAGCGTTCATTTTAAAAGTTAATAGACTAAAACGCTAAGAGGCTCTTGGATTGAGTGCTATACGGACCAATCAGAACAGGCTATACATTAGAACACAAAATAGAGCTGTCTTACGGCTTGCTGAATCTTCGTTTTAGCCTCCTCTTCCTGCTTCTTCCTCTGCTCCAGGTCCTCTTGACGTTTAACAGCCAACTTCTTCTTCTTGTTCTCCTCGACCTGGCGCTGCACAATACCAAAAGATTAAACAAATCGGTTTGATATGCTTTGAGGGGGAAATACATATTCAGAGTCAGAAGATGTGTTTCATACCTTATCATTTCTCTCATCAATCTGAATCATTTTTTGCTCGGTTTTCTTCTTCTTTTCTACTTCCCTCTGCTCTTCTTTGACTTTAGCCTCCAGCACTCTCTTCAGTCTCTCGTCCCTCTTCCTAGAACACAACATGTCAATGTTAAATCAAACGAAGTGAAGAAATTACTAAATTGTTCAGGGGGTGATAAGAGGTAGAGTTTTAACCTTTTAAATTCGTCATGTTTCTTTTTCTTCTCTTCCTCCATCTTCTTCATCCTTTCCTCCTCTTGCTCGTGCTTCTTCTGAAGTGCTTCCAGTTTGTAACGCTCTTTTGTCTGTGAACACAGAAAACAAAGATTTAGGAAACGCGCCAATTCGAAATTCGATTGATAAAGACGGTAAAATATCAGAAGAACCCAAAGTAGCAGGTGGAGTGAGGAAACAAACAAAGCAGAGTGGTGTTATTATAATGGTTAGTTAAAAAGGTAGGGTAGGTAAGAATGGAGAAACCAGCTCGAGTGCGCTAGAATTTGAAAGTACGCAGCCGGAAAAAAATCTGCCCCTTCCTTCAGACTTCCTTACAGAGCCCGTCCTCCAACACACACGAACGCGCACATGACCAATGACGGCACGAGGTAAGTTTGTGCACAGATGGAAGGCTGACAGGCAGGTAGGCCATCCAGTTATTTTAGCCGGGCCGGCTCAGATGATTGGTCGTGCTTTTTACAGCGCCACGGCTTCCACAGATGACGTTTTTTTAATGTATTTATTGTCAAAGCATTTAATGTATTCATTGCTATCGGGATGTTAAGAGCAATCCATGGAGTATAACAAAAAGTGTATCTGAAGTGAATTACCTACTCCACCTTTAAGCTAAATAAAGTATGTGCTCACACTGCTGAATCTCAGAGGGATCTTCCTTTCCTTTCATCATTAGACTCATACTACTGGAACATTTCAATAGACTATGTGTACAAAAAAAAAAATGGACATTGATGAGTAACTTTAAAAGAAAGAAAAAACAGCTAACTTTAAATCCTCAAAAAAAATCAAAATAGAACCTGTGACTCTAAACAAGCTAGAGAAAAACTCAAGTATCGTCATGTCTGCCGTATTTAAGCTAACAGTTTCTGACAACATAAAACCCACTTGGACAAGAAACTATAATATATTACCTATAAAATACAAACCAGACACCAAAAAGGGGTTGTCTCCAGTGGGATCTCCTTCAACAGTAAATCGTAATCCACTGAACAGAGACCAGTTTTATGAACCTCCCGAATATTGACAGTTTCTGGTTCAGATGGAGTTTTACTTCAATTTCTACTTCTGATAAACCTATGTTTCTAAATCAACCAACAGTGATGTTATCGAAGATGTTTTAGGTGGTTAGAATGATTGTTAGAGTACAAAGAATGAGCATTAGTGGCTCATGAAACCAGAGACACCATCAACTAACACGTGGTTTAAGGGTTTTGTTGCAATACAGTAGCCTCTTTCACAAATGTATTCTGCAAATATGCCGGACTCCATTATTGTGATTATTGACCGTTTTCATGCATGTATGCAACAAGTCTAGTACTTCACAAAATTCCACTTTTTGAATCTGTGATTACTGCAGCTTCCACCCTAAAGTGCTCACAGACAACATACAGTGCCTCCACATTACACTTACCACTATACGAGAACTCAACTGGGGAGAAAAAAAAAAAACATCCAAATAAGATAAACACTAAATTTAATAGCTCAAGAAAAACACAAGTCACAATATATTGAGAAGCACTCATTTCTAATAAAACTGTCAATTGAAATGTGTAACTTTTTTTTGTTGTAGTTACAGTACGATTTAATTTCAAATGTTCAATTCACTGCAATACTGCTGTAAGGCAGTGGAGTTAGTAGGTTCATGCCAATTGCTTTGTTGGCCTCCTCATTTCCCTCACTTGCTTCTTAGCCCCGCCCTGTAATGCTGCGTTCACACCGGACGCGATGTGAATATTCGCTTTGCTCTAATCGCTCCGCTCTAGTCTAATGGTATGTTCACACCGGACGAGATGCGAATATTCGCTTCGCTCTAAAAAGCTCGAGTTTCACCGCGGCTGCCAGCTGTGTTTACTCGCATCATTCAAACAAGACGTGCTGGCTCGGGAGCTACAACTACAACAAAATGAACATATTTTACCGTGATTAAATTGTAATACACGTTTCTAAATGATGCCGAAGTAACAACATACTGATACCGGTTAGTAAAAACCACAAATTAATGCTTGACAAGTCTGCAGACAAGACGGCAGGCGAAAAACCCTTTTAAAATGCTTGTTTTCTGAATGGAGATTGGGTCGACCAGGCTAAGCTAACGTTGTATATGCTCATTCCACACTCATAACAACGGCCTACAGACATAAATAAACCAGCGACTGTATTCGCCATTAGACCGCTGATTGGCTTCCGCGAGAACGCATAACGTGAATTTGACGCTCGAGTTTAAAAAAAAATGTAACTCTCGCGTTTGACGCGGCACAGTTCAATCGCGTCATCAGTGAAATAAGCAGAGAACCATCTGGTCCTCACTGAACTGAACTCTACTGTGTTTTGCCACTAGTTTTACAGTTGTGCTCCAAAGTGTGAGGACTCTACTGCATGATAATGTTTCTTTGCATATAGTGAAGTGCTTTCAACTTACCTTTGGATCCATTTTCAGAGGAGTGTTTTGTTTGATGAAGGATTTAAAAACAGCAGGGCGGCCGAGGGAATTTGGAGTCATCATGAGCAGCTGATTCTTCTGCACAGTGTGGAGGAAAGACTTCATGTGGGGTCTCATTGCCTATGGATTAATAACAAACTAAATTATGTTTTAAAATATTACCATTCGATACATATGCCCTCATTATTTATAATTTCTTAACCATAACACTCTGCAAAACATAAATGTTCTTACACTTGCGCTTTTCTTTGGAGGAGAGTACTTCTTTGTGGAACTTTCCTCTGAAGCATCTGGTGCTTTGCGTTTTTGACTAAGACGTGACCTGGAGACACAAATACATTTTTCATATAAAGACACAACACAAAATGTATTTAACAGTCCCAACAAGTTGATATTATCTTTAATGTTATTGTAATCAACTAACAGTGCAGTCATTTTGTGCTACACACACACACACACACACACACACCACTCACATGCGAACTGCCATCAGATGTGTCTCTGGAATTGAAACACAAATACATACTTGTATGAGTTGCATTTAGTTAGAAAACTATAATATACAAATATAGATTTACGTTCAACCAGATCTAAAATGGAACTGATCAATTGGAAAAATGGGAAGTTCTCATACCTGTTTTCTTTTTGGGAGTGAACACTGAGAGTTCAGATGTAAACGGTGATAATGCCGCCGCAGAGTTTGCGGCCGCTGATCGAGTTATGCGTCCGAAAGACGGTTGCGGGATCTGGATGATCTGGCTCTACAATTGTTTGACAACATTTTTTGCTGATCAATAACCAAAAAACAAAGTACTTTTCACTTTGACATTTTAAAAGAAAAGTACATATTCATACCTCCAGAGTTCCAATACATTCTTCAGCAGCAGGATTTTCATCTGAGTCTGTACTTACAGCTTCTGGCATTCTATAGCAGTGAATACAACCATAGGGGTCAGAAACTGATTCTTATTATTAATAAGCCAATACATTCAGAAAAATGTTAGTCACTACTCACGCCTCCATTCCCTCTACCGAGTCCACAGAAGAGTGCTCTGAAATCACCAAACAATAATATACACATTAATCACCATCCAGTTTCTATTTTTGTTACGTTTTATGTAATTATAAACCAAATTAAGCTAATTTCTCACCATCAATGTTGCTGCTACATATGGAATTGCCCATACGAGACACCTGCCTCTTCAGTATGGAGCGACGTGAGGCGCGACGAACAGACTCCAGGGTCATACTGTGCCGCAGACCGGCCAGAGAGTGGCGTACTTTGAGGGAGCAGCGCACAGAGCTCCGTCGTGAGCTCTGCCGTGAGCTCCGAGCTGCGCCCGCTATTGCAATCTTGGCAGCTGAATGACATGCAGAGACCTGCACATCTTTAACACTCTCTGCAGACAATCGGTCTGAGGCAGAGATGCTGACAGTAACCTCGGGTGATGGTGGGGACTGGGCGTCACCACAAATGTAATCTGGCTTGTCCACTTCTACCAGCTCTGGCTTGTCCACTTCTACCAGCTCTGGCTTGTCCACTTCTACCAGCTCTGGCTTGTCCACTTCTACCAGCTCTGGCTTGTCCACTTCTACCAGCTCTGGCTTGTCCACTTCTACCAGCTCTGGCTTCTTGTTCTGAACCTCCTCAGGTTTTAAGCTCACATCCTCTGCCTCCTCAGACTGTGTTTGTAGTTTATTGTTGTTTTTGCGGGTGGTGCGTTTAGGCTGCCAGGGGGGGTCGGTCTGAGAGGTGGAAGCCTCAGGAATGATCTCTTCTTCAGTAATCAAGTTCAGTGATTTGACAACGGAACCACGAAGGTTACTGCGCTTTCCCTTTGAAAATCTGAAAAGGAAAAGTTAGATGTGAAATTTTTTAAAACTAGGGCACCAGTGTGCAAAAAAGCACACGTCCCACCGTCCGGGACGTGTTATTTACAATATCAGACAAGTAGATCTTTCAATTGACTTGTCCGGCAGACAAGTGACGTTTTTCGCCCTCATTTATAGATAAATTCAGTTTACAAAAGGCAGAACTCGTCCGCCATTGTTCGTTTAGAAATGTTAGTTTCGGTTCTGCTTGTTGATTCAGGAAATGCATCGCGCTACTTTCTGTACTGTAGACGGGGGCGGGTCGGGAAGTGTAGCACAGCGACAGGGTTCAAACTCGGTTCCGAGTAGGAACAAACAACAATTGTCCGGTACCGGGATTAATAAGAGTTGTGAGGACAGGAGGCGAGGCCGAGCCCCGCAGCTCTCTCTCTCTATGCTCCGTATCAGCTGATCGCTGCATGGTGCAGCTCAGCGTCTCTCTCTACACCAGTGGTTCTCAAACTTTTTCTGTCAGGCCCCCCCTTTGGAGAAAAAAAAAAAAGTCGGGCCCCCCAACACAAGTCAGGCTCAGTGGCGGCACCAGAGATTTATTTTGGGGGTGCTGTGGGGTAGCTTGACGTTTCATAGAGGGTGATCAAACATTTAGGGTTCCCCATAAATGTACCAGTCGCTACAGTGGAATTTTCTACTGCAACAATCCCCACGCATACACACAGTGTACCCGCGACTGTTACAATGAAGGCTCGATAATCAGCTCACGGCATATAGGTGTAAGCAGGGGTAAAGTGCTATTTTTACAGGTGGTGTGTGGACCTCACATAGGGGGGTCCGGGGGCATGCTCCCCCGGGAAGATTTATTTTTAAATATTGAAATTAAATGCATCAATCTGGTGCACTTTGAGAGCAACATGAAGAGATCTATGGATACATCTCTCAACACCCATTTGAAACAGAACTGTAAACAGATTTACTTTTTCTTTATGGATATTTTACAAATCACCCTTTTCAACTTTATTATTTTTTTACTGTCATATAGTATTTCATACCTGTTTTTCATTTATTCTCTTATTTTTGTATAACTATAATGATCATATAAACGTGTGCCTCGGAAATAATTGTTTACATTAATGGTGACCAAAACATTTGAGACCCACCGAGATAACACTAAGAGAGTCCTTTAGTTCACTGAGTCTCTCAGTCTGACAGGAGAGGACTCTCCTCCACTTTGTTGTTGAAAAAACTCCTTATATAGTGATGCAAACACAGGTATGGTGAAAAAAAAAAAAGAGGACTATTCGAAGCAGAAAAAAAACAGCGTAATATACCATCTGACAAAGGCCTGCGCTATAATGCTTAAATTAACTGGCTGTTCTTTATAATATACTCAGATCAATAGGAGACAGAGATGTTAAGTTATAACTCAAGGGTTTTTATTATTATTTACAGCAGGGGTGGGGAACCTTTTTCCTTTCAATGTTTACAACATCCTCCGAGGGCCGTACAAATTATTGAACTCAAACTCTGCTTAAAAAAACTAAAATCACAGCCCATTCATTTGGCCTTTCTTTCATGTTGTGCAAAGAAAAAGCAAATATCATACCATGACTCGCACATGCATGCATGTGCACGGTTGTGGCATGACCAACAAAACCGAAAGATATGGACACAAGATGTGTGCAAATGTATTTAGTATCCTATCCATGTGAACATGATTTAAGAGGGGGGGACCTAACCTCCTCTAGGGGGGTCCGGGGGGGCATGCTCCCCCAGGAAGATTTTTTAAATATTGAAGTTAAATGCATCAATCTGGTGCACTTTGAGAGCAACATGAGGAGATCTATGGATACATCTTTCAACACCCATATGAAACAGAACTGTAAGCAGATTTTTCTTTTTGGATATTTTATAAATCACTCCCCTTTTAAACTGTATTCTTGTTATTTTTAACAACTTTTTTGTTACTGTCATATAGTGTTTTATACCTGTTTTTCATTTAGTCTCATTAATAACTATAATGATCATATGAAGGTGTGCCTTAACCTCACTGAGCTGAGGTTATTTGAGCCTCTCAGGAGAGAGCTCTCTTCCACCTGGTTGTAGAAAAGCTCTTTAAATTCGTTAGCCATAGCTAGCTAACCAGATGCTAATAACTGCTAATAAGTCGTGGACTTCGGGTCGTGGCTGAACCTGTCTCTGCGGTCCTGCCTTGGGTCTCGTCATGCTGCTTCCCTGATGGCTTCCACAGGATTGTAGCTGACATCCTCGTGGATTCATCTTCTTATTACAGACACATGCATTTCCTAACATTCGGTCTATATGCTGTAAAATGTATTATCTCTTCGATTTACACACGGCATCTATTGCACGTCTGTCCGTCCTGGGAGAGGGATCCCTCCTCTGTTGCTCTCCCTGAGGTTTCTCCCATTTTTTCGCCATAAACTGAGAGTTTTCTCTGGAAGTTTTTCCTTGTACGATGTGAGGGTCTACGGACAGAGGGTGTCGTTTTTCTCATACTGATATTCTGAACAATCTGCTGTTGTATTTGCTGTAGGCGATTTTTATTATATGTACAGCACTTTGGCTCGACCAAAAATCGTTTATAAATGTGCTATATAAATAAAACTTGATTTGATTTGAATAACAACAGATCGCCACTGTGCTTACAACTAAAGACACAGCCACGCAAAAACTGCGGCATGTGTACGGCTCCTTATGGGTACTGCAATATTTGAAGAGCTGGAGCGGCGTTCCGGTGCTCTTCGTCAGCACTCTAGTCTACACTCCTTTCAGACGAGACATATACCACGTGAAGAAACGTTACGCTCGTGTTGTGTTCATTGAACCCGTCCTTGGCCAGGAAAAACAGGCACTCGCTTGTTTCATTATTTTGCGGTCTAGATTTCTTCTTCTTCTTTTTTGAAGTGAGAAGTTGTCCGTCAGTCGGACGGACGGACTTTCTTATGTTCTTTCTCTAACACGTAATGAAGATTATTTATCGTTTTAGCTCCTATGTTGTTAATATTGACCGCCATTTCCTTTATGAAGTAAAGCAGCCTCCCTGTCTGTGTCCTCGCGCTGTCCTCACATCCCCGGATCCCCAGACTCGGAGGAGCACAGGGATGTCAGTATTGTTTATGAAGCAGGGTATAGAAAGTACATCATTGAAATGAAAATACTATTTATTTACTTTTACAAACAGTGAGCAGCAGCAACATGTGTATTGCTGGACATGTGTAAGCGTGCAAGCCTCTTTGAGTTGTAGAAAAGCGCTAGGCCTTAGGCTATAAATATCAGTGTTTCCCCTACCATTGTCTTGGAGGGGTGCTACCCCCTGCCAATGGAGCCCTGCGCCCCCCCCTGAAATTCAAGGTGTTTTTAAAAAAAAAATTATCTTTTTTTTTATTATTGTATTACATTTTTTATTTGTATATATATTTTTCTCCCAGTTTGTCATGGGACTTATTTTTACCCTCTCAAAGAACCGGAATCGAGAACCGAAAATAACCGGAATCGAAAAGCAGAACCAGAATCGTTCAAATCCAAACAATACCCAACTCTATGTGTGATGCAGTAAACTCTTACCGCTCACTTACGTTAGCGGTGTCGTAAAAACCGTGGGAAAAATGTAAAATACGATGGCGAAGAAGAAGATTCCAGTGGCCCACATTTGAAAAATGTATTCGGACAAGTAAATTGCCAAACTCACTTGTCCATGGACAAGTACTCTCTAAAAACTTTTTCTCACACTGGGCACCTTTAAATGTGAAACTTGTACCCATTGCTCAGACAGTATTGAATGCAACAAACCTTCGCCTGGCTGGATTCTCTTCCTGATGCCCTGAAGATAGACGCTTCTTGCGACTCTTTTTCTGTGAGGGTGTTTTTGGCATCAATTCTGGTTCTGCATTAAAATCCCTGAAATGAAAAGAAATCGTTTCACTTGTAAACCCTTAAAAAGACAATTCTAGGGAAGAATAAAGTTCTGGAAATGTATATTTAGTTCACCTTGAGAACATGCGGTTGGCTTCTTGTTGGATCTCCTCGAGCCAGACCATGTGGACATTTTCAATTTCATCGGTGAATTCCTTTGCTTTGCCATCAAACGTGTGCATGAGGGATCGTACTGATGTTAGTACGGAGTTCATGTTGACAGCCTGAGGGAAAGACTGCACCATTAAATAAGCACAAGTTGGTACACACCTCAGATGGCAAGTATAAACTGATACAAGAAACATCATGAGAGAACATACTGGTTGCTTAAATGTGATTTTTGGCAGTCTTTGTTTTCCTTTTAGCATGCCTATTTGAAGACACTCGTTATAATCTCCTTCAATGGCACCCTGGCCTAATCTATCCAACACAATCCACTTATATTTTGTAATGCACCAATTACTAACCAACAAATGCTGCCGCCATTATATACAGAAAACATGGAAATCTAAAAAAGGGCCTTTTTATTTGAATGTGAATTGACTAATGATGCTTTAAATATTGTATCTTCCATTATAGCAACAATGCAAAACGACATTGTCTGTTTGATCAATTGTCCTCGAAGACAAAAAACAAAACAAATATAAAGCTCAATTTCAAAGTTAACAGCTTTAAACAGTTGGCTTTTAGTTTTATTTGTCAACACCATACAGTCTATGGTCAACACTCACACATTCTGTCACATAAGAACTTTGATTTCCTAAATGAATAATCAGAAACATATCAACGACTCATTTCAGGAAATTGTTGGCATCAATCTACGTAATTTTAGTTTGCTTTGTTTTTTAGATCCATGTTGTCTTTGTATGTAATCCGTGCATGCTCATGTCTTCTATTTTCGCGGACGCATTAGCACAGGTTAAAACTGTTAGTTATCAGGATGGTCGACAACAACATAACGCTTGCAGTTATTTGACATTAGTAAGTCTTTAATATACGCCTCATATAAACGGAAACGTTTGAATTTGTGAACAACGGTAACGTTTTCCAGGTAACACGTTAGCTTAGCTAGCATGAAACACTGATCTGCTACCATCGAGGCTGCAACACCTACATTCAAATCAAGTTAAACCAATAGTGTGGCAACAGACTCCAATATGTTATTTAAGTTGATGACATTATTGTTCATACAAGTGCTTTGTAATGGTTTAAAATGCTAACGTTACGACGTAAGGCGGTTAAGCTAACGTACAAATAGCTAAAGGTATTTTCCATCCATCCATCTTCTCCCGCTTATCCGAGGGTAGCAGTTCCAGCAGAGAGCCCCAAACTTTCTTTTCCCTAGCGACATCAAATATATGTCAAATATACATATCCTTACCTTAGATGTCCAAGTCTCTTAAAAAAGTAAAACCGATACTCGTTTGTCTGCTTTAAAAACTAAATCAATTGCATATTGACGTGAATATAAAAGTCTTAAAATCTTCCCATTCTTTTGCGTATCGTGTGTCAACTCTCAACAGGAAGGTAACTACACACTGCTCCCCGCAAATCCGCTGAAACCGTTTAAATTGTTCAAAACTCCACCACCAGCCAATTAAAATGCGAGGCTCAGTGACGTGTAGAGGGGTTGTTCGATTTGTCCTCAACTTGTCCGGGAGGGCGGACTGTGCGTTCAGAACAATAGCGAGGAATGTCACGGGTGAACAAATCGAGCGAATCAATGTAGGCGTAGTTACAGCGCCAGCGCAGATTTTTGAATCAACCAATGATTTCCAGAATATTCTCCGCCCCGCCCACTGAATTTAAACCATGATTTAAACCTTTATACAGTCTATGATTTAAACACATGTTTGACACTTAATGTTTCCTGTACTTTTAATTATGTAATAATGTCAAAAAACGTTTAAATATTTTTAAGAAATCATTAGCATAAAGTAAGGGACTATTTCCGGGGAACAGTGTTTTTAATAATACAAGGGAAGATAAATGTCTCCTCTCCAGCAGTTGGTGCTGCCTCCCTCCAGTAAACAAAGCTAGAGGATAAGTCACACAACACAACTAAGGCTTGACTGCATTGTTTAATATAGTTTTACTGGCTCTGGTTTTACTTATAACAAACCCACAAACAAATCAAATGTGAAGAATAAGCTTTGCACAGTGTGTAATGAGTTTTATTTGAATATATATAATTTACAATACAATATCATTGATACATGACTTTGTAACATGGCATATTATTATGATAGTACTATAGGAATTTCATACATTTTGTCCATTATTGCTGAAGTTAATGGCAGCATACAACTTAACAGTAGCATTGATATGAAGATATGAAGATATTTTGTATTGTGTATAAATGAAATGATGATGATGGTTGCTGTTTCAGAGAGGCCAACAGAAAGACATCGAAACCAGTTTACAAACACACCCGGGCTCCAGAGGAAAAGTTACCGGCTTCCCTGAAAATATAGATGTATACAATTAATAATCTCTTACTGCGTCAATGCAAAAAATAAATATGAAAAGTGTAATTAAGGAGCAAAGTAACAATAACACTTTACTGAGTACTGAATAAAATCATATCAAACTTGGTCCAACAGGACAATGTACAGATAATAGATACACATGATTCTTTGTGTAATAGTATTGTTTTATTAGTAGCATCTTGGTATCCTTTATTCAAATGATTGCAGCACCGATTGCCCAGATGTACTCCTATGTGTTTTGACAAATGGTATATCACCCCTAGTATTCTGGCAAAGGGTATGACACTCCCTAAGGTCCCTAGAAACATTTGAGCAATTTTTCTTATATTATGAGACTTGATAGCAATTATTATGGTATTAAAAGCCTAGCTGTCACTTGTCTGAAGAGCCAATTATTTTTTCAATATAAAGAGAGTACGTGCTCTTCATTCTTTTTATTTCATTATTTTCTCCATGGGTAAGACAGGTGGGGCAATTTCTGGATTTGTCAAATATTTTATGCTTGTAGTTTGAGATTCTTCATCATCTTACTTTGTCACTCAAATACTATGATTGTATACTTAGTGTTTCTCTGTAATTTATCATTGTAATGTACAGATTATCTGCTTGTCTTTTTCTTGGGCTGTAGTTTGGAGGTTTAAGTGTGTTCTTCATTATAACAAACATATAGAGGCGACAGAACCGTTTTTAGCCTCATTGTGAAGTACATCTTAATTGCAAGATGGCATGGCTATAGTATAAATACACCACTGTCGTTTGGATTGTTTCCCTATAAGCATAGTTTTCACTATGCATTCTATCTGCCTCTATATATGTATTGTATGAATTATATATGTATTTTCAGTTACTAACCCCAGCAGCAGGAATGACAGACAGTTTAAAAACTAAACATATAACTTTTTGCAAAAAGCATTTTATATTTGTATCCTTTTTTATTATCTTATCTTATTGTTTTGATTGTCATTTAGTTGTATGACTACCAAAACCATAACATGTCTTATGTCTTATTGAAGGGAACCTGTTGTCTTTGTGACAAAGGCACCAACAATAAAACCAAGAGGAATCACGAGTGAGGTGGGGCAGGGGTTAAAAAGTTGTCCATTTCCACTTTAAGTGTAAAATAGACCTTGTTCTTAAGACAAAATTGTTTACCTGGTGTGAGAGGGATTTTAGTTCCTGATGCCTTCAGGACCACCTGCAGATCGCAGGGCTTAGTGCTGCCAGCTGTTTGTCCCTGTTCCCTCAGTATGATACAAACCTCGTCTTTCCTCAGCAGCCAGTCCATCTGACTGCCCAGGTAGCTCACACCGCGGACACAGAGCTCCGATATTTTCTTGGGAAGATGCGGGGAAAAGGCCAGGCATTCCTTCTGAACTCTAGGGGGAAAACAGCATTTTAATCTTTGTTTTACTGCCTTCCTGCTGTCTACATATTGAAGTGTTTTTTCATTAACTGACCTGAAGCCAGTATAACCAAAGAGCACAGCTTGCAGGAACCCCCCCATCCCTGTGAGGAAGTTAACTGCGCCAGAGCCATCGGATGATTCACTCCATACCTGTGAGGAGAGGTAACCACACATTCACTAGATATCCAGCAGAAAGGCATTTATTAGCATTGTGTTGTTGTCTGAGTCAGAAAGACACCTGGAACGGTTTCTGGATGTTTTTGAAGCACTTCTCAAGTAAATGTTGAGCTTTCTCAGCCTCCCCCAGCTCCAGCCAGCCGATTGCAAACATACCCTGGTAACGGAAAGCAAAAGCATTGTTACAAACACACACTTGATTAAGAAGGAACGTCAACCACAGGCTTTTACTTTCAATGCAAGTGGACACTGTTAAACATAAAAAATATATGTACCAATTTCTAAAATGTGTTTTATTTTACTAAACCTTTGTTGAACTATTACAATAAATGTAATTATTATATATTAAACGTACATAAAAAAGTGAGCTCCACTTCTATCCATAACATCTGCTTTTTATGTTAAACCAAAACAATACATATGCAAATAAATAGGATGAAAAATGGTGGGTTAATATTAATCAACCCTTAATGTTTTGTACCATGCTGATTTCAGAAGCTTTAAGAAACGAGACTTTCTACCTACTTTTTACTCATTGAAGTATTTTTTAAATGTTATTTTTGCTTTAATTGAGGATTTGATTTATGTTTGAACACTCCCTTTGGCACTGCTTTATATTTTATTCGTAATTAAAGTGTAATCACAAGGAAAGGGCACTCGAGTCGGCACTAAATCTCACACACAGTCCCGTACAGCATACTGTGTCTCACCCATGTCATGGCCGGACCATCAGGGTCTGTCACTGGCTCGTACGCCTCCAGGTCATTTCTCCTGATCTCTGGGGACATTTCCAAACCAAGAGGGTATCCCAGCATCACAGTGTCTGCCTGCTTCACTGGATGACCTGTGAGACGTACACAAGACATTCTCATCATGTTGTGGACATTTCTTCTTTATGTCAGTATTAAAATGGACAAAACAAACACCTTTGATGTAGCCGTCGTACTCTGGATGGTACTGGGATTCTTCGTCAAAAGGTATTTTGAGTTGATCCGCCACCTCTTTCCATTCCTTCGGTGCAGGGTCTTGGAGGAGTTCAGCCAACTCTACAGCGAACTGGAGACTGAAAAGTGTGAAGCTTTTAGTTTTATTAGTGATGATGAGTCAATATGCAGGGATCGGGGAAATATTTGAATACTAGTACCTGAATTTGGCCACTGTGTTTGTGTACACTGAGTTGTTGACATTGTAATAATACTCATCAGGTGGCATGACACCTGAATGGCACAAAGGGGAAATGCTTCATAATATTTCAATAAAAAACATGCATCATATCTAAAATGTATACATGTAAAAAATACATTAAAAGAGTTCTAACAATCAACAATTTAGTGAATGTTGTCCAGTGTAGATAAGTAACATGTCCTTAATTTAGTTAATAAATATATATATTCTGATAATTATGTGAAGCTAAATTGACATCTTAATAGAAATATCCTGGCTGTTATTCAATAACTAAAACATTACAATCATACAGTATGCTTTGATTAATGTCATATTTGTAGGTATCTAACATGTCTAAATATAAAACATTTATTATTAAATCTGACATTACAAAATCAATATTTAAAAAAAAGTAAATAAGGGACCACAAATGAAAAGTGGCTTTAGGCTGGTACAATAAATGTTCTGTGTATTGTCAGTGCTAAGAAAACATGTATAAAATAGTTTTAACACAAGAAACAAATTCTACTTTATTACAAATCGTTTTTTTTTTTAAATCACAAGTTTTTCTATATATAGATAAAATAAATAAAGTCAGACATTTGTATCATTTGAAATGTAGCTTTTATTAAATTATTAGCCTGATAATCATGCTAAGCTAAATGGAACCTCTTTCTAAAAATGATTTGTACCTAAGAGATGATACTTCTTGTCCTCGGGGTTCCATGATACCCTTGAAACCCAGTAATCAGCCACCCCGTATATCACCTCCTTGCCCTTGCCCTCTGTGAACATGGACAGATCCTGCAACAAAGAGATCATCACACAGGGTGTTTTTGTACAGAAGTGAGAAAGAGACACTATGACAATGAGTGGGGATTAAAGAGCGTACCTCAGTGAGGTAGAGATAGTGTTGGAAGGCCAGGGTGACGTCTCCATTTATGTGAATCTCTTGTTGTCCATAAATGTCCTCGGGACACACCTCCCGGCCTGACACTGCACTCTCCCACGGGAACTTCAGTCCCTGCAGAGATAACATCTTTCACTCAGAAGACTCAGATATGGTTTCATGGTTATTGTTAAAATACAAAACAAGACTACAAAGATAAAAAACATAAAACTAATATTAACCCTAAATAAAACTAATATTAACCCAAAAATAAACCAAGCACCGCTGTTATTCTGCCACCAGCAGTTGGTTTTGGTTTCCTGCTGCCGCCACCGACACTCCTCCTGGCCAGCACACATTGTGTGTGTCTACTTAGGCTGTGTCTAAAATGGTTCCCAATGAGTCACTAACAAAAGCACAGGGTTTGC